CATGAGGAACTCACCTTTGAGATTGGTCATCTCTGTCATAAGACTACTTTGGATAGTCTTAATGGTGTTTGTCAGATGAGCGTTCAATTGGACAATTTGAAGTTGAACTGGGCGCTTGTCTGGCAACCTTGAAAGGACATCTGCCATCGAGTTTGGCTTCGGTGCTTGTTCGGACATCGAAAAAATGAAGTGGTTTGAGAATGACGGTTTTACTTCAAAAAGCTTGTTATGACGGTTAAGTCATACAACAAGTTTAAAATAATATCTTGTTCTTCTTCTGAACGTTTGTTGTCTCTTCCGATAAAAGTTTCGAACATGAGAACCAAAAAACGTTTTTTGAGATTGCGGAAGAGTTCAGGCAAACGTTCATATTCTGGATATGTTGGGAGCAGTTCGAAACATCTGAGCTGACTTTCGGACAAAATTGGGACAATGTCAACAAATTCATCTTTGGTCGGACTGCTTGAAGGTAAGTCCCTTACATGTAAGTAGCTCTGGTAAAGTCTTCTCATTTCTGCTAACTTTTGGAGTATAGCTTCGTAGTTTAGAAGTTTTAATTTTAATTGTCTTATTCCACTCTTGACATCTAAACGGTAACTATCCATGAGGTCAAGAGTAGCTTTGGTAGCTTTAAGTGGAGCTATCTGTTCCTTGACTTCTGCAATTTTGGTTGCAATTGTGATTTGAGCTCCTTCAAGTTCGCCGTCTATGTCGTTCTCAACATCTTCAACCATAGCTTGAAACTCTTCATCGGTCCATTGAGTTTGGTGTGGGACGAATTTAACTTGCTTCATTCAAAAATGAAAAAAATGTTTTTACTCAAAGCGTGCCATGTATATGGCTATAAGAAACTTACCAGAAGGCTTCTTCTTCACATGCGTAAAAACATAAAAAAAGTGAAGTTAAAATGAGATGTTTAAAGAACTGGCTGAATGTCGCCTTCACAGGTTATGTAGAACGGCTGACCCGAGAAGTGAAGGAGAGACTGAACTGCCAATTTCATATGGGGTAGGGGGTTCTCCTTGTTTGGTATTTTTATCCAAGGACGTTTGTTTAGGAACTTAACAAGAACTTCTCTTTTGGCGTCCTTTATGTCATCGTAGGCTGTCCCGTCTGGTATTTGAATTGGAATTCCAGTCGAAGTCTCGAGCTGAAGTGTAGACCTTCCAGAAATAGAGATGAACTTGACCTTGGGCTTCATGACCTTGCGCAAGTAGTCTTTTACGCAGTCGTTAATTTCAATTAGGTAAATTGCCTCGTCAAGTCCTTCTGGCATTCCGAGTCCTTCCATCCGACAGGAAAATATTTTCCAGTTGTCCGTCCGTAAACCATTCAAATTTTCGAAAATTGAGAACTTTTTGGTCGAACTTCAGAAAATATTTTCCTTCCGACGGTTAAGCCACAAACGAATGTCCGACGTCCCACCAACCGAGCCCATTCCCAAGCCAGAAAAACCGAAAGCTGCAGAACCACAACAGTCTCCTCAGCAACCTCAGTTCCAGCAAGTACTTCCACCAAATTACTACCAATTTCCACCTCAAGGTTACTACCAATTTCCACCACAAGGCTTCCCGAACTACCCTCCTCCTCAGCTTATGCCTTACTTCCCCAACCCTTGGATGTTCCAGCAAGCTCCACCCCAGCAATTCCAATCTCAATCCCAATCGAAGAGAGACCAAGACTTCGAAGAAGGTCTGAACCGCTTACGCAAAGAGTATGCTACAGCTCCAATGGAAGAAGACAGGCTTTCAGTCTCTTCCCTCAAATCGACCGATTCGACTCGTACCACAGATTCGGTCAAAGACAGAGACGACTACCTCAAGCAGTCTGAGAGACTCTTCATCTTACAGCCATTTACAGTTGGAGCTCTCAAGAACATGCGCAATTACGAAGGTCAGACACCAGCTGGAGACCGCAAAACAGACGTACTCGCAAGAGCCGTCCAGCTCGTCAAGACAAAGACTGAGATAGTCGACTTCATTCTTGCAGCTTGCCCATACAAGTAAAAAAATAAACAATTACGAGTTAAACTTTTTATTCTTTCTTTTCTGAGTTGTTTAGAGCTGGTTTCTCTTGTAGGAACCTTTCGTACTCTTCCATGGTCATGTAATCGCGAATTTGGTACGCAATTCCAGGTTCGTTGTTTTTGAACCTTACGTATGTAACGCTTCCATCCTCCTCAGGGAAGTAAGCTGCTAACATCTGACCAAGTTTTCTCGGTGACTCGGAGCTCATTAAAAATGTCACTTTTTAAACGTTAAGTTTTTAGTCTTATTTTACCCTTTGTTTGTCAAGGTAGTATTGGAGCGCAATTTCTCCAAATTCTCTGTGTCGGAGTTCTTCAGCATTTTCCAAGGTGTACCTGGAGAACTCAAAGAAGTTGTCAAGAACATACTGCCATGCTGCTCTTCTGAGTTCGTCGGTATTTTGGAAGTGTTGCACCTTCGAGTCTTCTGACATGAAAAAAATGACCAAATTTCATTATATAACTGTTATTTTTTACGAAGTGAACTTTTGCACTTCGTTTAAAATACACTATTTTTGTGTTATGAGTGACGAAGTGAAGATTTGCACTTCGTAAAAAATCCCTGAAATCGTGAAGAACAGCGAGTAGGGGAAAAACCCCAGTCGCCAAAACTCTATGAAAATCGTGAAAAAACTCTATGAAAATCGTGAAAAATTGCGAGTACGGAAAAAACCGTAGTCGCCTAAAACACATGAAAATCGTAAAAAAAACTCTATGAAATCATATCTTTTATACAAGATAGAAAAAATAAAATTAACGTTAGTTTTTTTAAAATATTTTTTTTTATTTTGTATGTAAAGACAGGAAATGTTAAACACTGAGTTTGAAACAGTTAAAAAGATAGACAATGACACCAAAGTGGTTAGAATAGGTGATTTAAACGTAAGATACTCAAAGAAATACAACAAATATTCTTTGTCAGACATTATATCTCCATCTGGAAATAAAACATACCATTGGGTTGGAATTGCTTCAACTCAGAAAATTTTGACAAGAAATCCTGAGCTTATGATATCGGTAAGATTCTATGGAACTACAGCATATCTCATTGACAAAAGTCTTATACCAATAGTTTTGTTATGGATTGACCCAGTTGTTGGATATAATTTCATAACATATGGTTCATTCGATACGGAACGTTGTAGTGAAGGCTTACTTTACATCGTTCAGAAACCGAAGGACTTCAATACAAAGAGATATAAGATAGGAAGAACATATAATATAACTCAAAGATATGACAGTATAGTCAATAGAGTCAAGGTTGTGTTTGTGAATAATATGAGAGCTGCAGAAACAGAACTACTTGAAAAGTTTGAGAAAATGTATGGTGCTCCCATAAAAGGTAAAGAAACGTTTGAAGTAGATGAGATAGATAAAGCTATAAAATTATTTGACGAAGTTGCTGAAAAATACATGTAAAGCGTTTATTTTTCAAGCTTGACACCAAAGATGGCTCAGGTAGCTCTATAAGGTAAATTGTCTTGTCAAATCCTTCTGGCATTCCGAGTCCTTCCTTCCAACAGGAAAAACTTTTCCTTCCTACAGGAAAAACTTTTCCTTCCAACAGGAAAAACTTTTCCTTCCTACAGGAAAAAATTTTCCTTCCTACAGGAAAAAATTTTCCAGTTGTCCGTCCGTAAACCATTCAAATTTTCGAAAATTGAGAACTTTTTGGCCGACCTTCAGAAAAAGTTTTTCCTTCCGACAGGAAAAGTTTTTCCTTCCGACAGGAAAAGTCCTTCCATCCGACAGGACACAAACGGATGACTGGAAGAACTCTTCCTGAATGTCTTCCAAAGCCAGAAGAACCGACAGCCCCAGCACCACAACAGACTAAGACTCAAACACTTACATTTTTACGCTTGACTTTTTACAATTTGAACTTTGTTTGCGCAGATATGAATTCTGAAAGAAGTATGAGGGTCTTGTATGACTTTGTACTTCTCCCATAGTTCATGTCTGTCAAACTTACCTGCCATGGACTCTTTCATAAGTTCCATGAAATCGTCTTCGGACAATCCGGGGAAAAGTATAATATCAGTAAGTATTCTCTTTACATCCTTACTTAAACTCTTGGCTGTCTGTACACAAATGACAACTGAAATGTTAAAGTGTCTGAGCTTCTTAAGAATTCGACACATGTCTTGTTCTCTATTCTTTAACAAAGGATGAGAGGCGAAATCATCTAAGATAAGAAGACATCTGTGAGGGTAAGTCTTCCAATCGTAAGATTGCAATTTCTTCGAAATGTATTCTATCTCTTTCTGTTTGTTTCTGAAGTGTTTCTTCTCTAATATTCTCTGCATTTCCTCATTTGGGTCTTTAAACTTCGAATTGACATACTCATTTATAGCATTGTACTTCAAAACTCTTCTTTGGTACTTCTTTATCCAATCTAACAACTCAGAGTCTTTTATACATACTAACTTAGACTTCTTTATAATATCTTTGAACGAATTGACGGTTTGGTCAAATTGACCCGAAGTACTACAAATGACTACTAACTCATAGAATGGGTTCTTCTCATCTAGTTCTTGTTGTTGTGCAGCCATTTTAAGATAAGTGAAAGTCTTACCCGACCCAGGTGGTGCAATTAGACCTGTTATACCATTCTGAGCAAATAAGAACTTGTCATGTATGGGTTTTATCTGAGCATTTTCTAACTTCCTCTTGTTCTTATTTAAAACATTCTCAAATTTCTTGTCAATGTCAGCAAACTTTTTTTCTAACATATTTTTAGAAAAATTAAAATTTTTATCTTTTAGAAAATGTCTAGCGATTTCGCTATCTATATTCGAGACAAGCTTTTCGACAGCAAAACATCTGTCGACCATAAAATCTTACATAGTGTAAACAAGAAAGGGGAATTTGTTCTAAAGTTCTGTTTCTGGGAATATGACAAGAACCATAAAACATTAAGCAGAGCAGTCTTAAAATTTGTCAATGACAGACTTGTTGACAGAGATGACGCCTCTTAGAGAGATGAAGTCCAACAAAAGTTCTTAGAATGCAAAGAAGACACATGCGCTGTTCTTGAAGATGAAATAGAAAACAGAATAGATGAGCTATTAAATGACAAAGCACTTTTACAAAAATATGGTTCTGAGAAGTTTGACATAACTCCACCAGAAAAGAAGAAGAGAGAAAAGAAAGAGAAGAAAGTAGAAGAAGAGAAGAAAGAACCTGAACCAATTCCAGAGAAGGTGAGATATGACATGTAAAAATAAAATTTTATTTTTAGAACATTTCTGGGTCAATGTCAATGTTCTCTTCCTCTTTAGGAGCAAACACTGGCTTAGACTCTAAAATCTTTTTACCCAATTTACCTTGAACTTCAACTATCTTAGACTCATAATATTCATAGTCGTCTGCTTTCTTTGGTTCATAAGGTATAACAAGTTTGTATGCTTTGCCTTCTTTAAGGTTTGAGAACCTTCTGTCAAAACTTTCTTTGACTGTTAACAAACCTTCTATGTCTAAGTCTTCAAATTTCGCACCATTTTTAGTCACAATAGCAAACTTAACTGGTTCGATGTTCCAAACTTTGTCAAATGTAGACTTTTCAAAATGGTAGAAGTAAACATTCAAATATGTGAATGGGTCTAGTTCTTCTTTAAGTCCTGACATGTACTTGTTTACTGAGATGAATTTCGTCATCTTTTCTATCGGATAAAAAAATATTTTTTTTTAAAATTTACTCAGAAAAATTTTTCTTTGTATATACACCATTCTGTACGTCTAAAAGATTTTTGACGTTTGCCAAGAATGTTCGTTTAGACGCTGTCATATAACCATACTCTTGACAATATTGTTTATACGAGTCGTACAATGACCTTTCATCTAAACACTCAAAGTCAGTTTCATCTATGAACAGTTCATATACACTCTTGTTTGCTTCTAACAATGTTTGTCTCTCTTCGGTATGTGGAATTTGTCTTGGATTGAACTTAGAAATATCTAATGTCATGAAATATGAGAACAAGTGGTTGTAAAAGTCAGATGTCAAAGTTTCTGCTAAGTCGTCAAAATATTCTGTATCTTGCATATGAGCTTCTGACGTTCTGACAACTACATATCTTCTGTCAGAACTTTCTAACTTCATCGGAACGGCATTGTTTGAAACCATGATGAAATTTGCAACATTTTCACAAACTCTTTGGTCTTTATATTTTCTTTCAACAACTCCAACTTTGTCTGTTATAAGACTCTTCAAAGCATCCGAGTTCAAAACTTTTGTTGTATCTATACTTTGAAGTTCGTTACATACTATAAGTTTCATATTCTCTATTGAAGAGTTAAATTTACCGCAGATGTTTTCTAAGTTTGTCATATTAGGGTTCGAATAGCCCTCTAACAGTTTGCATAAGATATCTGTAAAGAAAGTGTTCTTACCTGTTCCTTGTTTTCCAATTACAATGAGAGCAGTTTCATTTTTAGCACTTGGATGTTGTAAGATGTTTGCAAACCAACATAAGATATACTCATAGACTCTTTCGTTTCCATTGCATATAATTTCTTTGACATGGTCTAACCAAGCTTCTATAACATTTTCTTTCCATTCTACTTGTTCGTATTTATATCCAGTGAAGATAGAATAGAAGTTTGGAGATGGTGTATAGAACTTTATACCACGAACTGAAAAATCTTCAAGCTTTGACAATAAGATATCCCAAGCATCTAACATCTTCATGCCAACTTGTACGACTTTTATTTTCTTAAGTTTCTGTCTACATTCTTGTTCTGAAACTATGGTTGCTCTTGGTTTGTTAAAGACAACATCCCATTCTTTCATGACATAACATTCTGGGGCAGAGTCGACATAAATGACTAAACGTTTCAAATTCTCGACTGCTTTGTTATAGTCTCTAAATGGACACATATTTCTGAAGGCTTGGAAGTCATAAAAATCTGAAACATCTATTCTGTACATTTTTATAAAAATAAAAAAAATATTTTTTTTTATTCTTGACTTTGTTCTTGAGCTATTTGTTGTTCTTGAGCTATTTGTTGTTGAAGTTGTTCTTGTAGTACAATACTTTCACCAGTTGCATCTTCCAATTCGAAACTTTCTGCCGTCATTGACAAATACATAGGACATAAAAGTTTTACAGGAACAAAGTTTGCGTCAACTAAGGTTAAGTTTATGTTTGCTAAAGTGTTTGAGTTTACTAAAGCTGAAAACTCTGCATTCGAATGAACAATAGGCAAACCAGCAGAGAAAGTGTTGTTTATACGCATGAGTATCTTTTGGTCATAGTAGTTTCTGTCGACATTCGAATAGCACTTTGAACCTAAGTTTGAAACAATATATAAAATAGGTGTACTTAAAGTCAATGGAATAGATAGACCTTGTATGACACCTTTTCCTGTTATAGGAAACTGTTGGTAGTAAAAACCAGATATAAGTTTTGTATTATAGCTCATATCGTTTATAGTAAACTCAGTCGGACATCCAAACATAATGAAACCTGCTCTAGTTGCAGCACATGTTACATCCGTCCTTAAAGTATTAAATAAGTCAACAAAACCTGTTGGTGGTATATCTGAGTAAGTATCTTCAAAGAAGTATTTTTTACCATTCACAACAACAAAGTCTTCTGGTGTCAAAAGAGCAAAACAGGCTTTAGTCGTCATCGTGTTTAAGGTCAGTTTACAATATCGTCCTTGAGGACTTTGTAAGTTTGTTGTTATAGAATTATATGACTCAGGGTTTTTAGTCGTAATAGTATAAACCACTATGTCTTCTGCCATTTACTTAGCAACTAAATTTTAATGAAATGTTGTGGTCGTCAAATATTTTTATAACGTCTGGGAAACTATATTTTAAGTTCAACGTTTCACCTCCTTTCATAACGTATATCTTGTCAATGACATTATATGAAACACCACAGCAAGCAATGTCGGGTTCTATTTCTTTGATGTTTATATCGTCTGCCTCTGTCAAAAGTTTCAATAGTTCTTTCAAAACTTCATGAGGTGCGATGACATATGAGTTCACTTTTACAGGGTTGTGTTCGACCAAGTTTAACATTATACCTAAAGCCTGACAAATCTTCTCCTGAGTTTTAAGTTTGTCTTTCAGTTGCATGTAGTCGTTTCGAATATCTGCAACAGAACTTAAGTCTCTGCTAACTTCAGGATATGTTGGTTGTTCTTTTACAGGAACTATTGTTATACCATCTTCGTCTTCGTATGGTTTCCCCCACTTCAACATCTCTTTCTTTGACATTGACAACAACACTTTGACTGTTTGTTTGAGTTGGTGAATTTAACTTCACATCTGCCACCGCCATTAAACCTTTTGAAACACTTACGCTTCTATTTTTCGGAAATGACATTTTACTTAGAATAAAAAGATGGACGTATTTGAGTATCTTCTTCGAATTGAAGCAAAACAAGTTTACACACACAAACAATACAAGTTCATTGACAGAATAGTTCTTTTATACAAACAATGGAAAATGTTATAGAATAGCAATATTTGCTGAACCAAAATATTTTCATAAAGCAAAGAAAGTTGTATAACTGAAATGGTGAAAGTTTCTTGAAGCAGACAAAAATATAACAACAAAACTGACCGATATTTCTAAAGGTAAGTTTATAATACAATACTATGTCAAAACTGGCGTACTGTCAATATTTGACGGAGAGAAGTCAGTTCAAGAACAACTTACTGACCCGCTGCAAAATCTGCTCGATGGAAGCTGTCGTTATACCAATCTGAGGAGCCCCAGCAGGTTTCATCGAACGAATTTTCAAAAGAGCATCTTTCCGTGAAAAGTGCTATTGGTTTTAAACTTCTTTGCTTTCAATTCATCTGGACCGTCTCTGTCACCAGTATATTGTATTTGAACTGTACCAACAGTTGAAATACCACCCATAAAGTCTTCTGAGTCAGCAAATGGAATGCCAAGCCAAAAGTTTGAACGGTCTCCATTTGTATATTGAGTTTTTTGACCTCCTGTATGAGTCCATACTTTCACATATGGCATAATAGAACTTTGCATTTCAGGGTTAATGGTTGTTGTGAAGTTGTTGTTAAAGTTCATAGCATCTAATGTCAAGTTGTATGACCTCATATCCTCAACTGTAGAATATTCTTCTCTTGGATAATATTTGCCATCTATGTTTATATGATATTTAATACCGGGGTTGTAGAAACAAGAATAGTCATTTATAGTTCGTCTGAAAAGAACAAACATAGTATCTGCATGTTCATTGCAGTGTTAAGGCAATATCTGTTCTTGCACCTGGGTCAGCACTTTGGTTTCCAACTTCACCTGCAAAGTCTTTGACAGATATTTGGTGTATAGGGAACAAAGTGGAACTGCAATATATTTGGCAGCTAAAGCATTTGAAATATCTGGGTCCAACATATAGACTGCAAGTCTGCTTTCTATTCTCTTGCATTCAAATTTTTCGCATGTGAACTTAACTGGGTCCCAAGCAGTTCCAGCAGCATTGAAATAATAGTTTACTTCAGTGTTGAAGTTTGAGAAACCAAAGTCTAAGTCAACTTTGTCTTTGCAAAATTCGGCGAATGACGTTTGATTCGCCCCCTTTACGTCTGTAAGAGTGAATGGGTCTTGCGTTGGTGCAATGACTAAGTTATTTTTGCTTGGAGTAAGTTCGATAGAAATTTTTCCTGCCCAGTTTGGCAAGTATCTTAAAAACCTGAAGATGAGAAAAGACAAAGGAACTCTAAGTTTCAGTTTTACTTTGGTTACTGCTGCTGCAGTTTGTCCAGAAAGGTTAACATAAACTCCTGGAACGTTAGGGTCAAGTCTTCTTATTTTCTCAATAGTTGCATACTGGTCTGTTTGTTCTCTAGCTTGTGGTTGTACTGAGTTTCTCAAGCGAACCATTCATAGTTTGCCCATGTTACTGTTTGGACTAAGTCAGAGTTAGAATATATCTTATATCCCATGAAAACTTCTGGAGCATATTGGTATCCGACATAGAAAATTCCATTGCAACCTTTCTTGTCAGACAACTTGGCAGAAGGTTTTATTTCAATGTCTTGTTCCACGTATAAGAAAAGAGTTGTCAATAGAAATAATATGAAACCTGTCGCAAGCAATATATCTGTTGTTTGAAGAACCTTCTCCAAACTCACCTACGTTTCCATAAGAAACAGCAGTTGTATATTCGTAATTTCCAGGAACTATTTCTGACCTTCTAATGGCATGTCGCATTCGTTATACCATTCGGAAACATTTCCATTCATGGCATCCAAAACTGTTGGCGTTATATTCTGAGCGGCGTACATTTCATATGGGTAAAAATATAGAATAGTTGGATTATATGTCATAATAGAACCCACGGGACCAAGCTTTACTTTCTTCCTGACTGAGTGTTTTAACTCTTCTTTTTCCTTCATTGCCACTACTTTCACTAGATGAAGTTACTTCTTCACTACTTCTACAACTCTTCTCTTTGGTGTCGCTTTGGTAAACTTGCCCTCTGCTTCAAGTTGTTGCATCTTTGCCTCATGTTCATCTAGTATTTTGCAAATTTCCCATGCTCTTTTTGCCTTTGGGCTCTGGTCGCCCATCTCAGGTAACCTATATCCTAGAAAGAGTTTGGCATAGTTTGTTGAGTCTTCGCGTATTGTTTTGCATGACTCTTTCCTGAGTTTGCGGTTCAAGCTCTTCAAACAGGCTGTCCATATGGAATAAGCTCGTTTCCAAATATATGTTTTTGTAGCCATTCTGGTTTTTCTTTCCATTTACCAACAATATCTTTTGTGAATGGGAAAGCTTCTTACCCAATCTTTCAGTCTTGCGTCATTTATTTCCGTAGTTGGTTTTATTTTGTCAAGGAACATGTTTTTCAATACTAACATTTCTTTGGTACTGTCCATTTGAGTTTTCTTAAATATTCATCCCTTCTCGATTCATCGCCTGCAAAGTAAGTTTTTATGACATTTTGTAAACTTTCGTTTGCAAGGTCATGTACAATAGGTTCTCTTCCTTCTCTGTCCTAACTCTCTTTCTAAACTCTTCACCAAATATACCATCTTATGGTTCTGTGTAGTTCTTTGAGATAAATGTTCTAGAACGTCAGGTGTTATATTTCCATCAGCCATGTTCATTTCATACTGGTCCAAAATATCTGCATCTTTCATATCTTTCAATGGCATTAAAGCCGCGCTTAAAATACCAGCTATATCTCGTTCACCATTCACTTCCATTGCGTCTACAACTTCTTGGAATTGAGGTTGTAAGTTTATGAACCACCTATCCGGATTAGCTTTATGACCCCATCTCATTGTAGTTCCATGTCTGCAGAAACAAAAGTAGGTCTGTTTCCATCTTGGCTAGGTTCTGAATGAACTTTAAACAATGTTTCATTTTATATGTTTTCTTGAAATTTAACCTTTTATTTTCACCGAGTTCATCCAAAGATTGAACGTTAAATGCTCGTAAGTAAAAAGGGTTGTTGTATTTGTGTACATTTTCTTTCAGTACTTCCATTCTATGCTGAATATTTTCATCTGGTGTTGGAGTCTTTTGTATGTCGGCAAACATTTTTCGATATTCTTCTACTGTGTCAGCCGAATTTTTTTTAGACTCTTGGAAATATTCCATATTCTTCGCATACACTTGTTGAGGGTCAAGATTTTCCGGCTGTTCCAAATCTTCATCTAGTTCTGTGAGTTAGTTTCCAAAGGAGGGACTTGTTCGTTTCCTTCAGGCTCTTCTAGCTGTTGTTGCTGAACTATTTCTTCCATGTCTGGTTGTATCTGAACTTCTTCCTGTTGAGTTTCTTGTACCTCATCTGCTGGCATTTCATATATTCCGAGACCGTTTTCAACAAGTTCCCTATCTAAGTCATCCGGACTCATAAACCTTTCTTCTTTCGTTCCGTCTCTATTTTTTACGCGTTTCATGAAGAGAGTTGTATTGTCATTTAGCTCTGACACCAAATATCTCGGAGTAAATTCGTTCATGTCATTTGGATGATATGCTATTAAATCATATCCCTTAGCGAGCTTGTATTTTCCAGGTTTGAGATTATATCCCATTTGGTGCTGAACCATAAAGCTAAATAGGTTCGGGTCAGTATTTCCTTCCTTGAACTTTCTAATAGCTTCTTTATATCTGTCACTAAAGTCAATAGTATCTGGGTAACTATACTCTTCCTTCAGCATTTTTAAGAATTCTTGGTTTCCTTGTTCTCTACTTCTTTTATGTCCTTGCTCTGGTTGTGGTTGTTGTTGTGCAGGGTTTTGAACTGTTGGTTGTTGTGTTGGTTGTGCTGGATTTTGAACTGTTGGTTGTGGTTGTTGTTGTGCTGGTTGTGGAGGTGGTTGTTGTGCTGGTTGTTGTGTTGGTTGTTGTGTTGGTTGTTGTGTTGGTTTTGGTGCATGCCTGTGTCTATGTCCATGTGACGATGTAAATGTTTTAGGTAGTCCTGGTGCAGGTGCTTCTCTTGGAGGGTTTGGTGGTATATAAGTTCCACTAGCTAGTATATAAGTTCCACCAGCTGGTATATAAGTTCCACCAGCTGGCACATATGTTCCATCTGCAGCGTAATGTCCTACCTGACTTTTCGTTCTTAAGAAAGCATTTACTAGGTCTGTTTTGGTCTGTTGTAACTCTTTTTCTTGACTTTCCACAACAGTTGCTCTAACGGCGTCATAGGCACTTTGAACTGCCTGTCTCGTTGCTGCATCTGTTATTTTCGTCATATTTTGTGCTACTTCTTTTAACTCTTTGTCGAAACCTTCAGACTTCAGTTTCTTTCCAGATGAGAAGTCGTTCACTTGTTTCACCTTACTATGAAGAGCTTCGAAGGCGTTCTTAAAGTCAGCATTTGTTAAAGCTTCATTTGAACTGTCTTCATCCGCTTGTATTTTTGTCCTTATTGACCCTATGAGTTGGGCTGCTTTAGCGTTGGCTTGGGCATCTAACCAGTCATTGTTAGCTTTTATATATTCTGCGCTTTTCATTGCCTTTTGCATGGCTGCGTCGTTATTTTTACTTTCTTGTGCTAAGTTTTCATACTGTACGGTTTGGTTTTGCAACTGTAAAAGTTTTTCTGCCTTTACATTTGCTTCAACTTCTTTTTTATACTCATCGCTTTCCATATATGTCTTCAGGGCTTTTTGTTTTATCTCTTCATCTTTCAGTACTTTATATTGAGTAGTATGGTTTTTCAAATTTATGACATCTTGTTCCATTTTTGCTACTTCTGTTGCTTTTTCTGACACTTTTTTCGCATATTGCTCTGTACTTAGTTCTTTCAGTTGTTCTTCTTTCTTCTTTTTCTCTACGTTTAACTCATTGAGTTTCTTTGTGTGTCTGTCATATTCTAGTTTCTTTTCGTTTTCACTTATTTGCTTCTGTATGTCTATGTTTGACTTTTTGACATCTGTTATTTGATTTTTGAGTGAACTCAAATTCATTTGACTTTGAGGGTTATAGGCTGTTCCGTCTGCAGCTCCACCATAGCCTGCCATTTTCGCTAAAAGTGCCGCTCTTAAACCTCCACTCTGTGCACCAATGACTCGGTTTAAAAGCATAGGATTGCTTGACATTTGTTGCAACATAGTGGGGTCATTCAGCATTTGTTGTTGCAACTGTTGTTGTGGTGTCAGTCTTACTATTGGATGTTTCAATGCTCTCTTCCTCTTACGTATATTCTTACGTAGCTTACGTGGCATTTTAAGTGAAGTTAAAAAGCGGCTTTTGACAGATGTTTATATGACACTTTTTGTTCAGCACAAAAAACTACTCGGTCAAAGTGTTGTCAGTTTTGTAAAATAACCGTTCTATCTTGTTTTAAAATGGAGAAAAGGCTTCTCAAAGTATACTTCCTTGGAACGCCTGTAACTTTTCCTGTAGCGACGATAGACCCTTACTTGTCCGGACAAAGTTATACTATTTTGAGTGCTCTACAAAAAAGTCAACGGCGACGACTCTCAAAAACCGTTGTGTAAAAAGTTTTACCGTTGGACAAAAAAGTATATATAGAAAACAAAAAACGTTTATAGTTCATTCAATATTTGAGATGGAACGGTTTGCCAACGGTAACTATTAAATAAAATAAAAAAATAGAGGGGGTTACCGTTGACAAAAACGGTTTATTTCAAACTTTTCTATGAGTGGTCCGAAAAAAACAGTTCATTTTTCATAATGGAAGGAAGAAAAAGTGTCGCAAACAATTCGTCGACTACCTCTGCAGTTAAAGTTCCTACAACTTATGTCTCACCATTCTCAAAACCCTTACGACCTCCTATAATACCAAAGCAAGTCCAATCAGACTCAAATCAGACACCAAACATACGCAAAGTTCAACTAAAAACTTACACTCCTACAGAACCAGAAGGTGTCTTCTCATTCTCAACAACAGAAGCAAGATATAGAAGACTCATTGCAGCTTATCCAAACAATTTGTCCTTAACAGACAACAATGACTATGATAGATATTTCAAAAGTATAATAAAACCAGTCGAAACATTAGAAAACAAAGTTCAAAACCCGACAGTAATGGTTGACTTTTTCTTGTCGAATTTGCCTTATGTTTCAACTATGATATCTCTTCAAGCAATTGACGAGTTCATTATTTGCTGTGAACCAAACTTAAGAGAACAGCTATATGAAACACTCAACGACTTTCGTCCTTATCCTTTAACTTACAATTGGAAAGAAGATGAAAACAAACGCGGTTCTTTCTCCTGGAATCTTTCCATTGTTGCTCCAGCTGGTGTAGCTGCACATCCATTCGAAATATATCCAAAATTGCATTACGAAAACAATATGCATATTATAACAACAGCCGCTTTAGAGATTCCTGAACGGGTGCCAGATGGAGAAGAAGTTTCAATAATATCTGTTCAAGCAAACCGAGTTGCAATGCCACTTACAGTATGCAAATTCACTCACTCAAGCAGACAATTCTATCAAAATCTTGAGTTCGTTTTTACTGGCACAGCCAAAATGCTTCTCAAAAAACCAGAACAAACCACAATAACCATCTTCTTATCTGGTTATTGTGAAGATGAAGACAATTCGGACGAAGAAGAAGAGGAGGAGGAGGAAACAAGCGAAGACTCAGACGATATCCAGTTCATTTCCATCCGTAAAAAACATTAAAGCAAACATTTCAGAATAAAAACTTCATTTTATACTAACATCTTCGGGGCTAGAGGGCACGAAGTGCCTGGAGGCCCCATTACCTTTTTTTTTTTTTTTTTTTTTTTTTTTTTTTTATCAGTCATAGTATTGTTTGACAAATATACTATGGTGAATAATCAATGATGTATATGCGACGAATATTCGTATTTCAAAATCAATAACTGTTCTAACAGATGTTAAGAATATGTTATTCTATATGGATGAGCATTGATCGTTCCATGGGGCGGCGACAAATTTGCCCAGCCAGTAAAGTATTCAATTTTTTTGCATTTTTTTTAAGGGTGCACACGAGAGGATCATGTAAACTTCAGAATTTAGCTTCTTAACTTAAATCATGGAATGTCTCAAAGACAAAAGTAGCATACAGCATGTAAAGCTAAAGAAAGATAATCATAATTAATACCTTAATTTTTAATATTACGCATTTTTAGGTGCAAAATTTAAAAACATTCTAATACAATAGAGCAGTTTCCAAAAGTAGCATACAGCATGCAAAGCTAAAGAAAGATAATCATAATTAATACCTTAATTTTTAATATTACGCATTTTTAGGTGCAAAATTTAAAAACATTCTAATACAATAGAGCAGTTTCCAAAAGTAGCATACAGCATGAAAGCTAAAGAAAGATAATCATAATTAATACCTTAATTTTTAATATTACGCATTTTTAGGTGCAAAATTTAAAAACATTCTAATACAATAGAGCAGTTTCCAAAAGTAGCATACAGCATGCAAAGCTAAAGAAAGATAATCATAATTAATACCTTTAAAGTTTAAAATCTTGATTTTTTTTAAAATCAAATATTTATAACTTTAATACATACAGCTTAAACCTTATACTTGTTTTCTCTTGTGAGAAAGCAATCTTACAAAGCTAACAATCCTAAAAAATAAAGAATTAAAATTTAATAATTTAATCTAACAAAATTTCTCTCTTTATCCTTTTGCACTCTTTATATGCAACTCAAATCCATCATATAATATTCCTATAATACTCTTGCCTCAAACAATGACGAACAAACTGCTATTCTCATTTAATTACAGACCAAATCTATTCAAATTTCTGAATTTTTAATTTTCATTTCAATTTCAAATGGAATTAGAAGAAGAAACTATCTTTACTGTTATGGATCTTTGTAAATTTGGAGTTAAACAAGAAATACAAGCACAGTATGGATATGGTGAACGTGTCAGGAAAGAAAGATCTCAGATTTCATTCCACTGCAAATATCCAAAATGTCCTGCACATTTTAATGTTGCAATCTTGGATCAAAATAAATACAAACTAATCAAAATAGTTGAAGAACATGATCATTCCGCCCCAAATGACAAAAGTCAATATTCGTCTGTCTTTTATCGCAAATATTTAGAACATTACTTCCAAACAGATGACAATCAAAGAGCGATAGCACAGCTAAATGCATTCAAAGATCTTGAAATTCCTCTTACAGGTCCGTCCATTCCAGAGATGTACGCTCAAAAACCACGTGCAATCAAACGATTTGCAGAGAGAATACATGCTCTTCAAACTAGATATTCTCCTGACGATGTTGTGTCATTGCAAATCTTTGTTCAGACAGTACAAGAAGAATCTCCAGATGATCTCATTGCATTTGAAGTCTCAGACAATAATATGTGTTTCTATTACGCGCCTTTTGAAGGCAAAGCTTATGCGCATAGTATCAAGACATTTCATATAGACAGCACCTATAAATTGTTGCGATCAAACATTCCATTGTATGCATTTACTGGCAAAATCAAAGATTTTCACATTTTCCCTTTTTTATGTTTCTTTTGTCAACCAGACACTTATCAAAACATTCAAGTTTGCGTGGGCTCCTATCTCAGATGGGTAACAATTGAGCCAGAATACATTAGCATGGACTGTGCTCCACAGATAGCTCAAGCAATAGAAGAAAGCATTCCACAAGCTCAAATACTTTGGTGCGGAGTACATGTTCTTCGTGCAATTCTTCGCAAATCAAATAAGTTTTCTTCTCAAGAAAAATTTGAACAATTCTATAATTTGATGAAGGATTTAGTCTTCAAATTAGGTGCAGAACATGAGGAAGAAGCAAATGCTGCCTATGATCAAGTTCTGGAGTTGCTCGACACAGATCCAACAGCATCTCAATACTTTAACAGACAATGGCGTTACAACATATCAAGATGGATTGCTCGTGACAGGCGTGAAGGCGACGCAACTAACAATATTGCCGAAGCTCATTTTAGAGCACTCAAACATGACTATTTTCCTGATCGAAAAAATCTCAGAATTGATGATGTTATTATAGAAATTTATACAAAAGTGATACCATCTTTCGTTATCAAACTCAAAATTGATCAAAATCCAGCAGATGACCGTGTTATTAGGATCATGGAAAAAGCAACTAACGCAGAAATTGATGTAAAAAGACAAAGAAAAATCGAGAGTATTTCAATGCTCAATAGATTGCTCAATGCTGTTAGTGATGACTCAATAGATCCCACTAAAATATATCCTACCTTGAAAGTATTATTACAAAGAACTCATTTTATTTAATTTGAGGATGTTTTATTGTCGTCTGGAAAAGTGACAAAATTATTATTGTCGTCTAAAAAGGTGACAAATTATTATTGTCGTCTGGAAAAGTGACAAAATTATCATTGTCGTCTAAAAAATAGATTTTTCAAGCATGTTTCGGTACCTAAATAAAGGAAGAACATCAATTCCATCTATGTATATAGTATGCAAACACGCATGATATATGGAGTAGCTCTTTATCTGGCTAAAAATCCTATTATTTGAAAATTCGCATTGTCGTCTAAAACCGCCAGACGACAATAATAATACCCCATTTAATTTTGATTTTAATTTTAGATTAAATATTATAATTCCATTTTAATTTTTTAGGATTGTTAGCTTTGTAAGATTGCTTTCTCACAAGAGAAAACAAGTATAAGGTTTAAGCTGTATGTATTAAAGTTATAAATATTTGATTTTAAAAAAAATCAAGATTTTAAACTTTAAAGGTATTAATTATGATTATCTTTCTTTAGCTTTGCATGCTGTATGCTACTTTTGGAAACTGCTCTATTGCATTAGAATGTTTTTAAATTTTGCACCTAAAAATGCGTAATATTAAAAATTAAGGTATTAATTATGATTATCTTTCTTTAGCTTTGCATGCTGTATGCTACTTTTGGAAACTGCTCTATTGCATTAGAATGTTTTAAATTTTGCACCTAAAAATGCGTAATATTAAAAATTAAGGTATTAATTATGATTATCTTTCTTTAGCTTTACATGCTGTATGCTACTTTTGTCTTTGAGACATTCCATGATTTAAGTTAAGAAGCTTTAAAAAAAAAGCAAAAAAAAAAGTAATAAAATAAAAAAATTTTTAGTATCGATAATCTGAAATATGTTGTTTACTTAAACCGCGAGCGAAGCGAGCGGCTTAGTTTCGTAATTTCGTACAATCTTTTTTCGAATTTGTTCTTTTCTTAAGCCGCAAGCGAAGCGAGTGGCTTAGTTTCGTAATTTCGTACAATCTTTTTTCGAATCTGTTCTTTTCTTAAGCCGCAAGCGAAGCGAGCGGCTTAGTTTCGTAATTTCGTACAATCTTTTTTCGAATCTGTTCTTTTCTTAAGCCGCAAGCGAAGCGAGTGGCTTAGTTTCGTAATTTCGTACAATCTTTTTTCGAATCTGTTCTTTTCTTAAGCCGCAAGCGAAGCGAGTGGCTTAGTTTCGTAATTTCGTACAATCTTTTTTCGAATCTGTTCTTTTCTTAAGCCGCAAGCGAAGCGAGCGGCTTAGTTTCGTAATTTCGTACAATCTTTTTTCGAATCTGTTCTTTTCTTAAGCCGCAAGCGAAGCGAGCGGCTTAGTTTCGTAATTTCGTACAATCTTTTTTCGAATCTGTTCTTTTCTTAAGCCGCAAGCGAAGCGAGCGGCTTAGTTTCGTAATTTCGTACAATCTTTTTTCGAATCTGTTCTTTTCTTAAGCCGCAAGCGAAGCGAGTGGCTTAGTTTCGTAATTTCGTACAATCTTTTTTCGAATCTGTTCTTTTCTTAAGCCGCAAGCGAAGCGAGTGGCTTAGTTTCGTAATTTCGTACAATCTTTTTTCGAATCTGTTCTTTTCTTAAGCCGCAAGCGAAGCGAGTGGCTTAGTTTCGTAATTTCGTACAATCTTTTTTCGAATCTGTTCTTTTCTTAAGCCGCAAGCGAAGCGAGTGGCTTAGTTTCGTAATTTCGTACAATCTTTTTTCGAATTTGTTCTTTTTGTCAACCGCGAGCGAAGCGAGTGGCTTTTTATTTAAAAAAAAATTTTTTTTCTTTCTTACTTTTTTTTTCCCTTACTTACAAATTTGATAGTAACTTTCCAAATCTCTCTATCATATAATAATAAATTAATCTATTTTTTTTTCAAATCTGACGCTTTACATTTCTGATATGTAAACCTGTCACTTTTCACTTCACTTCACTGGGCAAGTTTGTGCCCCCTCATCGTTCCATCAGATTGATTTCCTCTGAATTGAGAATTTGATTCTTATTCGTCATTCGTTTATTTCGACGATACTATGCATAAAGCAATTTCTGCAGATGTATATCACGAGAGAATATTGATTGTCATGTAATCATTTAATTTTCATGTGTGGTCATTCGCTCATAAAATTAAGCCTTAGAATGACTCTCAATAAAACAAGATTTGATCATTCCAAATGTGTGTCAAGAATAAATCTATCCTCTTGGATTGAAGATCGATTTTAAAAATTTTGTTTGGATAAAAACTTAGATTTTGCGGCATATAAGCTAACTCATATAGTAAAATAGATATATCTGATTTCTATCCTTAAAATTCTTTTTTTCGAATAAATTTTTGATTTTTTAAAAAATGATAGCAATTATATTACACTTAAATATTTCTAATTGTAAAATGTTCATCGTTAATTTTAATTGAAACAGTTTATTTTTTGTGAGGAGATAAAAAACTATAGTGATTTTGATCATGTAAATGTGTTTGTAATATTAATCATATGAGATGGTTTGCGCTTTCAAATTTTTTAATGTAAAATATGGTAATATATCATTAAAATATTAAAAGTGAAAAGTGAAATGTTTTTATCGTGATTCGTTTTGAATGGTTTGAGAGAGTCAAAGATTTTGATAGAGTTAGATTGAATGGTTGTTCGACCATAAATTAACAATCAATCAAGAATCTTATTATATGTTTGAATTCATACTAAATTACTATTGAAATATTTTGAAATGTAATGTGGTCATCGGGTTATTGAAAAATTGATTCGAAATTAAAATACAAAATGGGTTTCTTCAGGAAAGAACTCCTGTATGTTTTAATCTTGGTATGTGGATCCACATTTGTTGGTCAGTCTCTTGGTTACTATTCTCCAGCAGGTCCTCAAATTGTTCCAGATCTTGGTTGGAAAGATAGTACTGGTACATGGTTCAGTACTCTAAGCTCACTTACAGCCATTATTGGTGGTCCAATTACAAATATCATTGTACCAAAACTCGGAAGAAAGCTTCCATGTTTCATTTTCTCATGCATTGCATTAGTTACTTGGATCTTGATTGGTATCACAAAGAGAAGTTTCTCATGGTTAGCTTTTGTTGCCAGATTCATTCAAGGCATTTGCGTCGGTGGCTTATCAACAATTTGCTCAATGTATATTGTCGAAATTTCTCCACCAGAAAACAGAGGACAGTATGGCCCACTCCACCAGTTCGGTGTTACTCTTGGTATGGCATACTGCTATTTGCTTGGTATTTGGTGCGGATGGCGTTTAGTTACTTTCCTCTGCATGGTTTTCACAGTTCTCCTCTGCTGCCTTATCTGGTTTGTCCCAGAGAGTCCCGTCGTTTTGGCGCTTAAGCATCAGGAAGTCGCCAACATCAAGAAAGAAAGTTTATTCCAAAAGAAAAACACACCTTCCATCATTGCCGCATTCTTCTTCATGTTCTTCCAGCAGTTCTCTGGTATCAACGCTTTGGATACAAACCTTGAAATAATCTTTGAAAATGCAAAAGTTGACCTTAATCCAAGTGTCTGCGCACTTTTAGTCGGTTTATCACAATGCATATCCACAGCTAGCGTTACTTACGTCGTTGGTAAATTCGGAAGAAGAATTCCATTCGTCATTTCAGGTTTTGGCCAAGGTGTTACACTTTTACTTACATGGGCTGCTGGTGTATGGAATCTCAGCTCAATCATTCCAATTGTTGCCATCTTCCTCGATTTCTTCTTCTTCGGTCTTGGTCATGGTCCAATTCCATGGTTCATTTGCCCTGAATTGTTCGAAGATAGTGTCAGATCATTCGCTATTTCCCTTTCTACAGGTCTTAACTGGCTCTTCGTTTGCATCGTCATTTTAATTTGGCCACAGATGGAGAAAGGAATCGGCGCAAGCTGGGGCTTCTTCATTTTCGCTTGGATCTGTGTTGCTGCTGGTGTTTGGGGTATCTGGTGGATGCCTGACACTCAACAGCCAGAAAATGATGACACACAACATATTGACAACCATTCTGAGGAAGAAAACAAGAAGGAAGCTCCTCAACCAGATATTTCCGAATTGTAAGCATCTTATTTTTGTTTTGACTTTAAAATTTACTATTCTATCGATATTATCTTACCTCGGATTGATTTTGACTCTGATCTTATAAATAAAAAACTATCATTTATAAAAAGTCAATCTAAAACTATCAAATAAATGAATATTAGTATAAATTTGAATTATAATTTTGAGATTCAAAGATAAAATCTGCAGTTAATAAAGTGAAATCTTTTACTTCATGATTTGTGTTCATAAATCAGCATTGAATGTATATATAACTTAATTGTTTGAATTTTATTGAGATAAATAACAATTTCATTCATATCAAGCAATAAACACTTGTAAAAATGTTTCATTTAACAATAGATTTGATGTTCTGTCTAAGTGAAAATCAAGAAAATTAATTCTTTGCAATATCAAAATCAAAAGACGAAAAAGTGCATTTACTTTTTAACAAGATGAAATTTGATATTGAATCAAAACAATACCACACGAAATTAACTCTTTCTCGACCTCTAAAATCAGAGCAAACAGTTACACGGTCAAAACAAGCCAATTTTATTGAGGAATTTTTCAACAATACAATGAAAACTGTTTGCACAGTATCAACTATATCGATCATAACAGTGAGATTAAGTACATTTGATAGATTAAATATGTTTTTATTTACTCAATCCTTTTATTATATCCTTGCAGATCAAACAAAATGAAGAATGATGATAAATTTGAATTTTGGAAAAAGGAAAACTTTGTTTATAAATTCAATTTTATTCTTCAATGAATATTCGAATTATTGCGTACCTGCTTGAACAAGAAGATTCAGGATCTTTTTGTGATTTTCATTTTGATTTTGTTTTTGTTTTGCATAATAAAGTGGAGTTAAGCCCATACAGTCTTTATCATTAAGATTAGCATGAATTGAAACTAAATATTCGACAACTTCAAAGCGCCCCTCGCTTACTGCGATCATAAGCGGAGTGACATTGAATAATCCTTTTTCATTTTTATTACACCCACTTTGAACGAGAAATTTAACTATTTCAAGATAACCTTTTTGTGATGCAATATTGATTGGATAGTTTCCAGTCTTATCTTGTTCATTCGGATTTGCTCCAATTGAAACAAGATATTTGACTACTTCAAGATGACCTTGAAATGTTGCAGCATAAATTGGAGAAACTCCAAGAAAATTCTTTTCATTCGGATTTCCTCCGACCGAAACAAGATATTTAACTACATCAAGATGACCTTGTTGTGATGCTGTAAAAATGCAATTTCCTCCATCTTTTTGTTTAGAGTTAACATCACAGCCAATACTATGTAAATATTTAACAACTTCAAGTTTTCCTCCCGTTGATGCAACAAAAATTGCATTCATTCCCCTTTCTTTATCTCGCCAATTTTTGCTAAAACCATTATCAATTAAATATTGGACAATTCCAAGATGCCCATAGAATGATGCTAAAAGCAATCCATTAAATCCACTTGCATTGGCCACATCTTTGTCACAATCTGCTTCAATAAGAGATCTTACAAGTTGAAGATCTCCTTGAACACATGCCCAAAGAAATGTAGTATATCCTTCCTCACCTTTCTTTTCACTTAATCCACATGCACATGAAAGTACCATTATCAATTTATTTCCATCATCTGATATTTGTTTAAGGTAATTATAAGTCTGCATCATTTCAAAATCCATAGGCATTTTAATTAATTTTGCAATTTTACTAATTGATTGCTGTCATTTATTATTTTCATTATGGCATTTGAATATATCGTCCATGAGTTGTGCATTTTGTTTAAGAAGTGTTGATACTTCATTTTGGAGTTGTTCATTGTTTTTGTTGTTAAGTGTTGCGATTTCATTTTTAAGTTGATTGATTTCTTCCTTGAATTTGTTATTTTCATTTTCAAGAGTATTAAAATCGGTCTTATATTGATTTAAATAATCAATTAAGTTTCCAGATGATTTAAGTTTCAAAATACTTTTGTAACTGTCGAGAACGTTAATCACGTCTTCGAACGAATTAACTGAAACATTGCACTTACGAACAAAACCATAAATTTTAGATGAATTGTATTTCGTTTTACCTTGCGAAAGAAGAGTTTGAAAGTCATTTGGGTTTAGATTTGTTTTCTCTAAGACTGTTGGAATGTCATTTTCATCAATAATATCGTAAAAGTTTCTTTGATCGATGTATGATTGTATATTGTTCGCAATATAATCAAAATCGATAGTAAGACCTCCACTCATCAAAAAAAAATCTGACAGTTAGATTTTTTATGCAAGATTAAACATATTATGCTCATACATCATATATGAATTTTTTATTGAAGAATTATTCTGAATAGCAGGAGGCAGAATTTTCAAAAAAAAATTTTTTTTCATGGTGTCACATGAAAGTTTGATAATAGAGAATCGATAATATGCATAATTAATCATTTTTCACAACATAATAAAAGATAAATTACATGTACAGTGCAGTTTGCGCAACTTTGTTTCTCTCCAATAAACTTGAAATCATATTCTTCGCGTCTGTCTCTCAAAATTTGAGTGAATTTAGATCTATTTCATATGTTAAATCTAAAAAAATGTTATCGAGTTTAAAATAGTAAAGTCGAAATGCTTTATTAATATATTCTATAAAATATTCTCTATAATTTTACACTTCATCTTTTTTGTTGCTTGATTTCGAAGACTTTTCAAATGAGAACAAGGCAATGAGAGTAGGAAGGATGACGAAACCGTGCAAAATACCGAAAACGCCAGATCCGAGAAGGAAAGAAGCGAAAGGTGGGAACAAAAGAATTGCGCAAGGATAAAGGAAGCAAGCAGCGACCAATGTAGTAACAAGAGCAGAAGAAACAGGGGTAGCGAAAGAAACCAAAGAATACTGGATCTTTCCGAACAATGACCTATTAGACTTATCATGAGCAATAGCAAGCATTGGCTGAATAATGAAATCAGCGCAGAAACCAGCAGCGATTGAGATCATGATAGCTTCATTTGTACCAATAGACCATCCTGTGATGTACATGATACCCATAATCAACAAACAAGTGCAAGACATTGAATAAACAACCATCAATGTATATCCAATTCTCAATGTCGAACAGAAAATTACGACAGCGCCAATAGCGAATGAAATTACAACAGTTTCGAAGACTTGTTTAGGAAGCATGTCTTCAGTAACCATTGCATTTCATTGTACACCAGTATGGAAACCATCTAAACCAGCTGCTTGGCAAACAGGATCATATTTAATTCTGTTGGCCAAATTCTCACATTTGTCATATAAAGTTTTCTTTGAAGGAACACTTAGATCCTGTGGAATGAAGAGATTTGCCTTCATACCGATGTATTTAAGGGAATAGTCATCATTACTGAATCCGATTGTATCTGCTTTGAGAGATCCTGGGACATAAGAATCTGGTTCTTCATACAACAACTCAGACAAAAATACCTGCCAAAGCCAAGCTGTTTCTTTGTATTCTGTTGGAGTAATAGGGAACTTTTCTGGAATGGAAATGTTCAATGCGAAAAGAGGAATCCACTTATCAATCCATTTATCAATTGAGAAAATCCAGTTCCATGTTTCCAAAGGAGAGACACCGAAATTAGCTGTTATTGCATTATCAATGATCTCCGTATCATTTCTAATGATATCCCATGCCTTGTGAATACATAACTGAACATTTGGATCTGTTATATTTATAGGAATGAACTCAGCTCTTCCGTAATTATCAATTGTAAATCTATCTTTGAAACTTACAACTGGTTTTGGTTTGAGTCCCCAGACGTAGACAAAAGAGAAGTCATCTAAAGCAGTTGAGAAACCATTGTATGCAAGTGAATAAGCTCTTTGCAATGGATGGTTATCAGGAAGGAATTGGAGTTCTGATTTCGTTGGAATCTTCATTGCAAGATATCCAAAACATGCTGTCCATGCTGCGAAAACTAAGACAATTGGAAGTCTGTAGTGATACAAGAAAGGAGCGAGTTTGTTGAATACGAATCTCTCGTATTTGGTGTACTTTTCGATTGGTAAACCAGCAGCGTTTACATTGAAAACAACACATTTGTGGAGGAAATCGAAAAGTCCTGTATGTGGATATCTCTGATGTGAATCATCAGCTTCATCACGTGTTTCTAGTTGAGAAACAGACTGTATTGTATCAAGCATGTCATTGTGTTTCTCCCATCTCTTTGCCCAGATGGAAACAATGCCTAAATACCATGTAAACGTGACAATAAATGTAAACAACAATAACATGAAACAGAAAATACCAAAGAAGTTCATGATTCTTACTCCTGATGAAGAAAGAGCCAAGAAAGAAACAGCGGATGTTGTAATTGATGTTGACAAAGCAATCAAACCTCTTTGGAGTGCGTAAGCGAGTCTTAATTTGTTGTTTGTTCCATAAACATTTCTCGACTGCTTGAACAACTCAAAGATGATGAAAACACAGTCAGCGCCAATACCACAAATTAAGAACAAACCAATGACATCAATGACATCGACATGTGTGATGCCAAAGAACATTCTAAGGCTGCATAATGCACATGGAATTGGGAAGAAAACACCAATAACACCAAGTAACGATGTAAAGAATGATCTCTGTACAATTACTGCGAAAACAAATGTGAAAAGAAAAGCTCCAATCAACCACCAGACTTGTTGAAGAATAAGAGCAGCAATCTTGAAGTTCAAACCGAAGACAAAGGCAGGATATGCATGTGTACCATATGGAGCACGCTCTGAGAAGGCATCTACTGGTTGTTCGAACTTTACTTGCCATCTTCCGAGTTTATCTTCTTGTTCCTTCTGACGATCAGCTTTATTCTTGTAGCCTTTAAGAGGAAGAGCAAATGGATACATGGATCTAAGTCTACTTGAGGTCATTGTCTCATTATTATAATCATTTCCGACATAAGTAGCAGTAAGACGGACTTCATCGGCTCTGTAGAATTCCTCGAAGAATGATTGGTTAAGCATGTCTGGAGTTGGGTTCGTAACGTTGTACTGGCGCTTGAAATAATTCTTGATATCTGTAATGATGGATTTGAAGGCAATACAGTTGGTATCTTCTTCTAATGAGGATAGTCTGTTCTTCATGTAGTCTAATAGCTTGTAAACAAGATCTTTTCCGAAGCCTGGAAGAGAATCCATTGGAATCTTAAAGCAAACATCGGACCAACCTGGAATTGCGTGCATTTCATCTTCCATCTTCCAGATTTCTTGCATAATTCTGTAGTCTAAGATGTTTTGTCCCTTTCTTTCGAAAATTACAGCTCCCATCTGTGTCAATTGGAACTGATTTGGTAATTTAATTGTTTCACCGAACATGCCGAATATTGATCTGTAAGTATCTTGTTCGGCACCAACGTATGCATCCCATTTTTGTGTGATTGAATCACCATTCCAACGGTAATAGTTAGAATTAGCTTGTGGTCTGATACCATAGACAAGTGTAAGATACAATGTAAAGAACAAAGTCATAAGAATAACGCATATTATTGGAACAAATGGGTGATCATAAATAAAACTTGCATAAGCTTTAGCGTAGGAGTTGAGTTTGAATCCCTCATCACCTTGAGGTTCATCGTTTGTCTTTCCGGACAGCAGGGGAGCTGTATCCGGTTCTGACATTATTGATTTCGCGTCATCACTGCATTTACATGAACTGAGAATTATTCGTGCATAAAATCATTGATGTCATATATAAAGGTGGATATATTTAATTGGATTATAACCTTTCAAAAAATTAAAAATAACATCTGAAATTTCTTTGTGCATGGAACGATTATTTCTCATTTTTCAAGTTTCCAATACATAATTACTATTTGATGTTATAGTAAAAATTTTTATTTAAATTTCTCCAAAGTGTGGCCAAGACTTTACTCAGAATCATAAGTTTTCAATGTAAAGTATTCAATCCTTTCAATTTTTGAAAGGAAAATTAGGTCATGCTTCTTTGAGTTAATCTTTTCAATTTCTACCTGTGATTCCGAATTTTTGGAATCAATTTTTAGTTGTTTGTTAATGCTATCCCAAATATAGTTTAATTCGCATGAAATTGGTTCATTTCTTAAACTTTTTTCGTGATCGATTGACAAGTAACTTCATTTAGCGATTTAACGCTTCATTACTATTGCTATTTTAAAGAACTATTTATTTAATGGTGTTCTAATCCGCCGATTCAATATTTAATTGTAAAATCGAAAATTTATTTCTTATAACACATATTCAAGAAAACATTAGTAAATCTCTTAATACTAATGCTATTTTAACTTAACTATTAGCGAACGGTTTCAAAAAGAAACGTCTCTAATACCCTATATTTCCAACTCTTGGAAAATTTTCATGACCCCCTACCCAGGGTCCTAAAATGGGTATTTTCCTCACACAGACACCGTGGTTTTTTGAGCCGGGAAATAAATAGCGCAGACAGTTTCTACATATAGAGACATGCTTATACTTAGAGTTTGACGGGAATCTAAAGTGATTTTTTTCTGCATCGCGAAATCTAATGCAATCTCAAAATCATGAAGAAACTGCGAATCGGAGCGCAATTTTTTAATATGTTAATATATAAAGGTACCCCTACTACTGCAAATGCTTCAAATGAAAATCTAAGAAATCAGATTAATTTGATCACATTAGTATAGTATTGGTCAAACCAAAAACTCATATGTTGATATATAGCCTATAGATATTCATATTATCTACTTTTCATTGAATTACATAAGATTTAATAATCTCATAAATATTCTTTTTAATTTTCCAAATTCCGTGTGCATTTAGATTGCCTATACCTGTATATAATAATTCTAGAATGGTTTGGTTAGATATTAAGTTTTTTAGATTAATATTTTAACATTTGATAAAACAAGCATTTGTTCCATTTTAGAATCGCCATTGAACTCTAGTTTGACTAACATGATGTTGTATGATCAAATAAATTCTAACTTCATGAGATAAATTTTGAAATTAGAAAATGCGATATCTGACTCAAATATTTATCTGAACACATTTAACATTCAATGATAAACTAAAGTACTATACAGCAGATTCGATTTGGCTTATATTTTATATAATCAACAAATAATCCTATAAAATTGTGCTATTCACGTTGCTCAAAGATGTATTGAACATTCCCTACTTGTGTATTGATAAAATTAGATATAGATTCTAATGTAAATCGATATTTTGAAAATTCATATATATTTTGTCTTGGTTTGGCATTTGATCGTGTTGAAACCGGAATTGCAATATATATCATCTAAATATATAACTATCAAAATATGAGCTATAGATTTTTAAATTATTCTCCTGAATATGAGTGACTAACATAATTATATTGAATTGAGTAGTAAGAATCATAAATATTAGAATCTGACGATAATTTATTATAACTTTATATAGGAACAAGATTATAAATGATGATGAAAATAAAGATTAAATTTAAATCTGAAAATTTGAAAACATTAAGTGTATATGATAGCATTACAAAATTAAATTTTATGTGGAAGAGGAAATAGAGGAATTAGAAGTATTATGAGAAAATAATAAGATATAAAAACAAGATTCTATTAAATGAGTTAATTTATAGAAAGGAATAACAGTGTGAATGTAGTAAATGAATGTTTTCATGATGTATTATTGAAATCTTAAGTTTTGTTAAGAAGATAATAAGGGAATCAAATTTTGTATTAGGAAGTTTGACCGACAAGAGTGTACACTCTTGTCGGTCTGCATGTCTCATTCGGGAGACATTGTCACTGCATGTCTCCCAGAATGAGACACTCTTCCGCATTCATAACTTGAATGCGGAAGTTTGACCGACAAAGTGTATGTGCACTCTTGTCGGTCTGCATGTCTCATTCCGGGAGACATTGTCACTGCATGTCTCCCAGAATGAGACAATCTTCTGCAATCAGAATGTGGTTGCAAAACTTTGACCGACAAGAGTGTTGTGCACTCTTGTCGGTCTGCATGTCTCATTCCGGGAGACATTGTCACTGCATGTCTCCCAGAATGAGACAATCTTCCGCATTCATAACTTGAATGCGGAAGTTTGACCGACAAGAGTGCACAATACACTCTTGTCGATCTAAATGTATCTTACAATCAAAGACACTTTCATACAATCTTTTCGAAGTTAAAAAAAAAATTTAATTATTTCTTTCTTTTGTTTATTAAATCGCCTTACTCACGTACTAATCTCTTTTAGAGACTCTATCGAGCTATCCCCACATATAAACCTGTGACAATAATACATATTTACTCTCTTCATATTCTGATCTCATGACACATTATCGCAAAAACTATAATTATACAACACATCTCATAAAGTCTCATTTTAGCCCTATCTAAGCGTTCAAAACCTATTTTCCACACGTAATCTGATTCTTCTGGCTCCGCTGATTCGATTTCTGCTGTCAGATCGTGAAAATATGCATCACATAAAGAGATAAATGCAAATTGCACAACTTAATATTTTCCTTAAAATTTCTCTTCAGGTTCATACCTAAATAAGCTCTTTTTTTGAAAATTCAATTTTTTCCAAAAATGTATGAATTCAAAAGTTCAGATTATATCTAGTCATTTTCCAACATTAATTTTGTGTTTTAGTTTTTGAGATATTCATTTTATTATACGTATTATTCAGAAAATTAAAAGAATTTGTGAGGGGAAACGGAGGAGATAATAAATATGTAAAGATGGATGAATAGACAATTTGAAAAAAAAAGCAATAATTTTGAGTTGTGTTTATCTCTTTATGTGATGCATATTTTCACGATCTGACAGCAGAAATCGAATCAGCGGAGCCAGAAGAATCAGATTACGTGTGGAAAATAGGTTTTGAACGCTTAGATAGGGCTAAAATGAGACTTTATGAGATGTGTTGTATAATTATAGTTTTTGCGATAATGTGTCATGAGATCAGAATATGAAGAGAGTAAATATGTATTATTGTCACAGGTTTATATGTGGGGATAGCTCGATAGAGTCTCTAAAAGAGATTAGTACGTGAGTAAGGCGATTTAATAAACAAAAGAAAGAAATAATTAAATTTTTTTTTTAACTTCGAAAAGATTGTATGAAAGTGTCTTTGATTGTAAGATACATTTAGATCGACAAGAGTGTATTGTGCACTCTTGTCGGTCAAACTTCCGCATTCAAGTTATGAATGCGGAAGATTGTCTCATTCTGGGAGACGTGCAGTGACAATGTCTCCCGGAATGAGACATGCAGACCGACAAGAGTGCACAACACACTCTTGTCGGTCAAAGTTTTGCAACCACATTCTGATTGCAGAAGATTGTGTCATTCTGGGAGACATGCAGACCGACAAGAGTGCACAATACACTCTTGTCGGTCGAAGTTTTGCAATCGCGTTGTGATTGCAAAAGATTGTGCTATTCCTGCATATTTTCTACGAGCCTGCTTCATAAAATTGAATCCTTCTATCCAAATTAAATGCGATTTCGCTAATCTTTCATCTAAAATCACAAATCAGAAGCATATTGCAAGTTAACTTGAACCGGCATGTTCCTCCTATCCTGTCTTTCAGTTCTTTCTATCAGCCATGGTTCACAAGGAGGAGAGCTTTGCGCACAATCAGACATAAGATTGCGGCAGAGGAACCGGGAAGAGAGCAGCTTGAAGCGGTAAGATGTCCGAATGCTGTCTCCCAGGTGTATCTGTCAGGCAAAGTTCACAAGGAGGAGAGCTTTGCGCACAATCAAACAGAAGATTGCGGCAGAGGAACCGGGAAGAGAGCAGCTTGAAGCGGTAAGCTGTTTTCAAGTCTTTAGTTAACAAACTTTAACAAAAGACATCTAAAAAATTTGAAATAATTGCAAAATAATGCCGTCAGGTAATGCGCACCTAAGGGAGGTGTTTTGCGGGAGCTGGGGTATCTTGGTGAGTACTCAGGAGGCCAAGAAGGGCACCCCAACCGACATTTTGCTGACGCATTGTGTAAGCAACCATTCTGATAACCGCTCAAACCGTCGGGACAAAATAATTTATGAAATTATAAGTCATCTTTCTAATACATATTTTTGGAAGGGCGTAAGATACGCCAACTTAAATATATTATTAAATATGAGAAAATCACTCAACAAAAAAACAATTCTTTCAAAAAGTTTAAAATTTATCTTTCTAATACATATTTTTGGAAGGGCGTAAGATACGCCAACTTAAATATATTATTAAATATGAGAAAATCGCTCAACAAAAAAACAATTCTTTCAAAAAGTTTAAAATTATCTTTCTAATACATATCCTATGGAAGGAGTTTACATTCACAAAATAAAAACCAGTTCAAAATCTTATTACTCCTTGAATTAAAATCATTTAATTTCAAATCCATTCCAAATCCTTAAATCTGTATTAAAATCATTTTGCCAACAACCAACACAATACAAATTACATTTCCATATATCTTCTTGTCCATTTTAATTTTTTATCTCATTTTATTTAATTTTATTTAAAGCATATCGACATCGAGATCCTTTACACATAGTTATATAAAAGTCAAATACATAATAAATTCTTAATTCTAGAGATATCTCAAAATCTCAATTTTTTAATTTAAAATACCTTTCATTTTTCACAGTACTATCACAACAAACAAGCCATTTACTAATTAACACATATAAGAAAAATATCAAATTACAAAACAACTTTCAATATCATTCGCATCGAATTCTATTTTTTCATAATTATCAACTACATGTTATTATATAATATATGTCGGCGCATATTCCACTGGTAAGCTCATTAGTTATTTCCTCAATTTAATAGAATGATGTAATGAAATCATCATTACATATTTAAAAATTCATGAAACAAAAATTTTAAAATAAATTACGATATTGCTCTAGATTTTATTGCAAAAATGTGGCCTACATATTTACAATAATGTATGCTTATAGTCTAAAACTTTATTTGTTGAAATGAGATAATCCATAAGAAATTTGCATCAAATATTGTTGAAATGAGATATGATTTACTTCAAAACTTTATTCTTAATATTGACATACTTTTATTATAGATAAATATAGTTTGCATTGCAATAATAAACTTGATTAAAATTAGATTCCGAATTCCTTAAGTGCTTGAAAGCCCTCCAATTCTTCTGTAATTAGGTTCCAAAATAATAATGTTTCATCTCTACATTTATTCTTTTGAATTGAATTTTTATGAAAATTCTTTAAGTTTTTCTTCAAAAACTTATACCATCTGTTCTTTACATTATTTCCGCTTCTACCACTAAGAGATTTAGCTATAAGAGACCATTTTGGGCCAACCAACTCGAATAAATTCATGATGACTTCATCTTCTTGCTGAGTCCAAGGTTTATTTATTATTTCCTTGAAAAGATAATTGTTGTACCTATCTCTGCATTGTCTTGCATTTCTTCCTGGCATATGCTCTGCAATTTCCTTCCAATGAACATTTTCCATAGTATTTACAAGCATTTTAAGTCTTTCGTCTTCTTCAGGTGAAAACCTTTTGCGCAATGTTGATTCATCTTCAAATGTACTTGGTTCTTTACCTCCGGGTTCATGATTGTCGTCCATTAAATATGATTGTTTTTTATTCATATTTCATTTCTCTGAAAAAAATAATCAAAGAATAATTATTATATCTTATTAGTAATAGGTATTATGGAATAATATACTTGCACGTTAATATTATCAAAAAATGTGAGTTTAAGATCTTTGGAAAAATAAAAGCAATTCAATTTTCAAAATCGACTTAACAATTTTTGACTTATTCTCAATTTTATTCAATGTGTTATACTTATCAAAAGATAAGATGAGTAATATTTCAGAGGTATTATATGCCGCAATAAGGAATTTTCTTTCCGGTTACGACGAAAATGATTTTATAGGTTGAAAGAGACTTTTGAATTTCATCAACGGTTTATTCTCAAAAATTTAATTACCTAAGAATCAGATATAATGAATTATTTTGTTTAATTTAGACTGATGTGGTATTGAGGATTTGATTTAGAATTTTTCATTCAAACTCTCAATTTCATAACCAATCCAATAAGCTGCGAATATTGTTAAATATTATAAATAGGGTATTCTTAGAAAGGATGAAATTAAATTTCATGTTTTGAAATTCATATCGAATATTGCATAATATTATGGGTTTTTGAGTATTACACATACATTATGTTAGAAATCATATCTTTAACTAATCTCAAAATTAGGTTCCACGAAATCAAAATTTGAAATTTGAGTTCAACGAGCAATACTTAATAACTCATAGCCCCAATAAAAATGTAATACTGATTCCAGTATTATGATATCATTCCTATCCTTATTTCTAGCAAAAAAGCACGTTTCAAATTGATAAAGTACTTAAACATATAAAGACGTTATTACTACATTGTAATCGCCAATAGTGAAAGAAAGTTTTTTTATTTTTGTTCCAAACTGAAATTGCTTATCGAAAAGAGTAAATGAAATCACCTCAAAGGCGCAGGCATCCACTTAACGAAAAGGTGTATTTCATTATTCCTTTCTTGATAACAGTTTATCTGATTATCATTCAAAATAAAAAATTTAAATCAGATATGAATTTCGAGATTACATCAAAATCTATTCTCCTACGAAAAACCTTTTACACTGATAATCTCTGGAGTTACAATTCAACGAATGAATATCTACTTAATAAAGAAAGAGACATTTATTTTTGTCCGAAATGTTCTTTCACTCCATCTAATTGGCCTGGTGATTCTACATTTCGAGATGTTATTGTAACATTTTGTTTCGGCAGTCCACAATCAGTTCCTCCATTTATTCGAATGCTTAGGACTGTGAAATGCCGAGCCAAAATAGTAATAATTGCTGACGAAATTGCCTATCAAAAACTATACAAATATTCATTTTCAGACTTTTATCCACTATGTGATGTAATAGTTTATAACATAGGCCAAAGTCAGATTCAGCTGAGATACGAGTTATACCAAATGAAAACATTGGTATACAGAGAGTTCCTCTCAGCATTTTATTATAAAATTGATCGAATAATGATGTGTGACTTAGCAGATACAGCATTTCAGAGCGATCCTTTCAAATATTTCATGCATGAAGATTCTGTATATAACTATATCGAGAATATTACTATCGAAGAAGAAGATGAAACTTTTATTGATATACAAACTTACTTTCAAGACGAAATATCCGAACAAAACTATATAGTTACACCAGCTGCATACTTCGGAAATCCAGTACAGACTCTAAAATTGCTCGATTTAGTACAATCTTATTTCTGGGATGATGATTTCCAAAGAAAGAATATCGTTGATCAATCAATCATCTCATACCTATACTATACGAAGAAATACCAAGACTTTGGTATTAATATGAAAGCTTTAAATTGGACAGGTGGAATTATATCTGCCAACCTTGCATATTTTTCCAATTATGATATTGGAAGTATTAACTGCATGGACCTAAGTTCTGCACCTTTTTTGATACATCATACCAATTATATTAGAGATATTTTACTTTCCATTTATAAAACTTGCCCGAGGATCAAGAAACATAAAGGAGAGATTTACCTGGGCGATCTAGATAGAGAAACTATGGAATCTATTGACGCAGAAGTTCGTAGGGCTATTAGCCTTGATAGAAAAATGCGATACAATAGGCGTAAGGCAAAAATTGAATCACAGAAAATAAAAAAATAGTTTGTTGTTATGTTTTATCTAATGAATTTTGAATTTTACAAGCAATTTTTGAATGAAATATAAAAAGTTAGTGAATTATGTTAAATATTAAGTGAAAAACGTTAGATAACACTATATATTGTTGAATGACATTATGATTATAGAGCAAAAAATTCCAAATTTTTCTCAAAAAATCATATTTAATGAAAAATTTCAAGAAAATTCTATGAAAATTCTAAAATTAAAAAAATTTTGGAAAAATTAAATCGTAAAATCTATAATATTTTACATTGAGAAATATTATTTGCCTTTAAAAATTATAAAAATAATGATTTAGTAAAAATTATAACTTCAAATTGACTTTTTTAATGTTCAATCTAAAATTTAGGTATAAGTAAAATCTTTTATTAACGAAATAGCTCATTTTGAAATACGAAAAAATTTACGTTTATTATCATTCAAAAAATTCATCTTCTACATACGAATCATTAATTGGTTCCATCCTATTGCCAAAATTTTTGTTCACAGAGGCTTTCTTGATAAGATGATACGGATCAAGGATAGATTTCCAAAAGGCAGAAAACAATTTTGCCTGAACTTTATTCAAGTGACAACTTAAAGCTTCAACAATGCATCACTTCAATGTGTTACACCGATTTATTATCATTTTACACTGAAATCTTAGGAAACAATATCATTCTTAATTTATATCCTCGGAATTCCAAATTCATATGGCATCAAACAAAATCTTTTGATCCAAAATTTTCATGAGTTTACCGATAAACATTTTTTAAAACTGATATTCCAAACCCATTTTCCACACATTTCTGACCTCCTTTAGATTGTTATAATCAATACCTCTCGCATGTTATCGACTAGTACAAGCACAAATTATACCAAGAGTTTTCTGAAGTCAAGATTTTCTCAAATTTTGATGAAGCTGAACATAATTTGAGAAACTATAGAACTCCTGGAGCTATTTACCGTTTTCAAAGAATGTCCAAGAATAGCGTATCACATGTTCTACATTGAATCGTTTTTTCAGTTTACAAATTAAGCATGCATTCGATACATTGTTTCTAGTTAAACGATTCAAAGACGGCATTAATAAAATATCCAACAAGATCAAAAAGAAAATCTAAATACGATAATCTGTTTAAATCACTCATCAGAGAAATTACAACGTATGATCTTACAAACAGATGTTTAGATCTGAATGATTTGAAACGAAAATACAAATACTAGATTCTGTATTAATTAATAATCCACTAATACAACTGCCGATTAGGCAAGATTATCAGAAGTAGTAACGTTCTGCATCCATGGACAAAGGGGCTCCACTTTCCTTAGCATCATCTTAACGGAAAATCTTAGAAATCGTTAAATTTCTTGTCAAAGCATCAAAATGATAAATTTTAATGAAGTTAGTAAATTTTTGAACGCATGGAAATAGGGACTCCACTTGTCATCGCAGAAAAGTAAGGAAAATTTTCAGAAGCTGTAAAAATTCTTTTTGATATGGAAAAAGAAAAAAGCTCCTCCCGTGTGGATCGAACACACGACTTCCAGATTAACAGTCTGACACTCTAACCAACTGAGTTAGGGAGGATTTCCACAAGTGATCTTAATACTTTTTCTTTGTGAATAAAAATTTGTTTAACATTATTAAAAGTTCAATTGCGATAATGATCATTTCGTTAATTTAAGAAATCAGCCTAACAAATAGTATCAATATTGGATTAGACATTTCATTTCTATGGTTATTCTTTCAAACCCCAAGCATTACGAATTATTCATTTCATTTTATCACTTCATCACACATTTTTTAATAATATTCTTGCAATACATCATTTCCTTGTTACATATTCATAGTATAATTAAATATACATATATCCTAAATATTTACCGTCAATTTTATGCTATTTTAAATATTATTTATTCACACATTATTTAAGATATTATTTTAAACTTTTGTGTTCTTATCAATCATTTGAAAAGTTCAAATACCCCATCAATCAGACCTCAATTCATTTTTTTATATCCACATGACAGAAAATCTAATGTACAAATAAATAGCAATGAAATAAATTAAAACCTTACATTAAAAATCTTCTGCAATTTTTTAAATTTACATTGAAAATCTTCTTTTAACTCCATTTGAAATCATACTATCTCTAGAATTTATTCTCCATAAATATCTGAACTAAAATTTGACATTGTTAATTAAAAATTCAATAGTGCTTTCAAAATTTTTCAGAAAAAAATTATCATAGCAGGATATCAGAGTATTCTTCTCCATAAATGGATATTTGACCCGAAAACGATTATTAACAAATAGGACTCATTTTTCAATTACAATGTTTTTTTATTTTATTATTTTACTTAATCCAAACTACATTCATTTTTCTTTATTTTGGAAATGGATAAATATCGATTCAATTATTCAATGTAATCAAACAAATTCTAATCCTCATTATCCAATCCGCCATCAATCAATTTCTGCCTTCATTTTTATATTCCTTAGTAATACTCAAATTCTTTTGATTTATAAAATTCATAAAAATTTTATCCAAATCACTTAATTTCACATGTTTAACCTTGCAATTGCATTTTTATCAATTACAATTTTCAATATGTTTCGGTTTAGTTCAAACTGTGAATATTGAACAATTCAAATATAAAATTCTTATTAATTCACTTTTAAAATAATGCTTTCTTTATTATTCGCCCAACTAGCAGTATCTATTAGAGGACAAAAGAAAGATCAGCACACATTTGATATCCTTGATTATTCTGATCAGAAGAACAAAGAAATCAGCATCATCAAACAACTTGAAATTAGATTCGCCCAAGTTGATCTTGGTAGTAAAAATGCTTCAAAATTTATTAAAACAATAGATGATATGAAGGACATTCTTGAACACTCAGTAGAAGTTGTAAACAATGGTGATCAATATACCGTTATCAAACAAACAATTAAAAATATTGCTTCTAAAGAACAAAGAATTGATTTGTCCACAGCTATCATGTTCGATGAAGATGATAAAGAAGTTGAAACATATTATATTTCAAACTTTGGTATTTATCTTAATTTACGTCTTACACATACTAAAACATGGGTTTTCCAGAACCATCCTCTTGTTACAAACTATAATGAATTAAGCTGGGGTAAAAAGACAATGAGATTCTTCACAGATAATTCTCGTTTTTTGAAAGAGGATAAAGAATACAATACACTTTGGTTTGCAGAATCCTGGACAAACAACTGGTTCCAACCAGGAGAATCCAAAACATTTTCATTCATGATACATGATGATGATTATCAACCACCATTTTTAGAGCTTGACAAATCTGTTATTCGGCATGAATACTTCACAAATCAATCAATCCAAATCCAAGGTGCTTACTACACAAACATAATTTATTCAGATATTTCCATTCGCTACAGACTTTTTGATTCAACAGGTAAGGTTGTTATGGAAAAAATACTTCAACAAGATTCTGTAACTGAGGGACGCACAAAATTCGAATTTTCTAAGAAGATCGATCCAATCACAACACCAGGATCATATACTCTTGTAATAATATCATCAAATGATAAATATAATTACACTTTAGAATATCCAATTGAAATTACAGTTGATTATCCAAATGCAAAACCAAGAATTATAATCTTTGATCAAGATAAAACATACTTTATTCCAAATACTGATGCAGTATTCACAGCTTCAATTACAGATGCTAATTCTGCTGATAAGACAATTGACACAAGAGTTTACTTTGATGGAAAAGAAGTTTTTACTAAAGCATTTCCAAACACAGCAGATAATAAGACAATTTCATTCAAGATCCCAAAGGATGCAAAGCCAGGAATTCATGAACTCAATTTTACAGCAAGTGATGGAAAGAAGGTTACAATAACGACCCTTAAAATTACTGTCAAGGATAACACAGTATTATCAGTTGATTTCGAACCAAAGCTCAAAGAATCATATCACAAAGGAGATAAAATTTCATTCAATGCTTATATTGTTGATCCAGATACAAACACTGACACAAGCTTTAAGGTTTCTCTTTTATATGGTGAAACATTCAAGCAGTCTAAGCACGTAGAGAACTTACAAGGCGAAATGAGAATTCCTTTATCACTTACAATCCCAGAAACAGAAACATCTACTAAGGGAACGATCACAGTAAAAGTTGAAGGACAATACGAGTCTGTTAACAAAACACATCCATTCTCAATCTTCCAAGAAGCTCAAACTGGCGAGCTTGCATCATCACAAATCGCCAAGAAGGAAGCTAAAAAGAAGACTGCATTAGTCGCAGTACTTAGCGTATTTGTTGTTCTTGCAGTCATTGTTGCCATTGTTATCGTTGTCTTATGGCTCAGAAAATAAGAAATTAATGGGTCTGAATCCAAATTTCATTTATCGGGAAATAAAAAGTTTATCTTTACAAAACTTTACAATTTTATATCAATCTTAAAGGAACATTCTGGATTTAATATTTGGTAACTACATTAATCCATAATATTAAATCATAATGAATTTTAAGATTGGCCTGTAAATTTGAACAATTAACACCAATTTAAAGATATTTACATATTATTAATATACTCATGCTATATGTATCTCATTGATTCATGAGAATCCCAGTGAATTTCAGGAAAGATAATGTCATTCTATCAAATATACATTTTTTAACTTATTAATCCATGCAAAATTGTTGACATAAAAAGTATGTCAAAAATTCCATCTCTAGCTTTACTATTTTAAGTTTTGAAATTCAATTTGTATTTTTTAACAGAAAATCATAACAAACAAGTAACAAAGACTAAAATCATGCAAATAGAAGTTCTGGTATAATGAGAGTATATTTTATATAGTTTCATAAAAATCTTCTTTAATTTCATGAATAAAAGAATATTTTCTAAAAATTATAAGATCTACAGTATACAATTTTACTGCGGCTAATATATTCATTTCAAATTAATGTCAAATAGCGCGAATATTTTTTCATAAAATGATTTTAAAATTGATTGAATTTTTCAATTTTTTTGACAATTGTATTGTCGATTTTGAGAGGCTCTCAAAAACAAAGTCCAAGAATTAGATAGTCCATCAACACTGCATGCTACTCTAACATCTGACAACGATTAAATATATTAATGAAAGGCCTCGTTAACTTTCAAAAATTTGAATGCAAAATAGGTCAGTGGGAAAAAATCTTCAATTTCAATGATTAATAGCTCTTATATTAAATTTGTAATTTTAGAATTCAATTGAATCGGCTTTATCAAAATCATTTCACTTTGTAATGATTTGGACTTTTTTATTGCAGGATGCAAGATCCATTGAAGCTTATCAAACAGGCAAGTTCACATATAACATTTATCACACTGAGTATGGCCACAATTTCACAATTGTTGACCAAATCTATACAAAAGTAGCATATGAAGATATTCAAAGAAAGAACCAAGATAAAGTTGTTAATATTTCAGATGTTCCCAATATTGAATACTCTATAGATACGTATAATGATCCTGATGGCAATTTCACAGTGATCAGACAAACAATAAAGAATACAGCAACAACTAAAAGAAGACTTGATCTTTGCACAGCAATTAAATTCAAGAACTACTATCCAGAAGATCAGGATATGAGTGCTCAGCCAATCAATAATTTTGGTGCATACATCTACACACCAGCTGTTGAATTCACCTGGGTTTACGAAAACCATCCAAATGTCACAAACAAGAACGAATACAGTATTGGAAATGGTGACAATCCAAAATTCTTCACAAATCGTAATTCTGAGATCAATCCTGATGGCGAAGACTTGAAATGGCTTGCAACCTCATGGACAAACAACTGGCTTGAACCAGGTAAATCATCAACATTCTCTTTCCTCATCTATTATGATGAATACAATCCACCAATCCTGAAACTTCAATCAGAATTAATTGGAGATGAATATGATACAGAAGAAACAATCCCAATTAAAGGATCTTTCTCAAGTTATGTTGTTGATGAACCAATCTCAGCTAGATATGAAGTATATGATCCATCAAGTGATAATGTCATTCTTACTGATACTCTTGGAAGCACAAGAGTCACAGAAGATACAACAACTGTTCAGTTTGATCAAAATATCAAAGTTTCACAGAAAGGAAACTTTAAACTAAGAGTTGTTACAAGAAACGAACGTACTGAATCAGAATTAGTTTGGGAAAAATCGGTTTTAATTTATGGTCCTAATGATAAACCAAAAATCATCCCACTTCCTTTAGATTACCAGTATTACATTCCTAAATCAGATGTCAACCTCGCAGCATATATTTATAGCAAAGATACTTCTGTTACTGAAATCACAACAGAAGTTTATTTCAATAACCAAAAGGTGCTTTCTCAGAAATTTGGAAACAGTCAATGATTCAAGAACCCTCAGTTTCAAGATTCCAGAAGGAACAGCTCCAGGCGATTATAAGATTAAAATCGTAGCAACAGGTGGAGTTTTACCTGCAGAAAAATCATTTGATATTGTTGTCAAAGACAACAGTGTTTTGTCAATTGATCTTGAAGGAAACTTCAATTTGACATTCAATAAAGCGATGTTGTTAATTTCACAGCCGTAGTTGTTGATCCAGATACTAACTTTGATTCCAAGTTTACAATTTCTCTCTATTACAATAAGCATCAAAAAACTTCAATTTCAAGATCAAACTCTGATGGTATCATTAGAGTTCCAATGACTGTTTCAATTCCAAGTGATGAGAAAGAAACATCAGCACATATCTCTGTAAAGGTAAAAGGCACAAATGAAGAATCAGAGACTGGTGTAACTTTGAAGATTCAACAATCCGAAGATAAAGCTAAAGCAACTGCAGCTTCTGTACAAAGAAAGCAGCAAAAACAAAAGAAGGTATTGATCATTGTTCTCGCAGTAATGGCTGTTGTCACAGTATGTGTTGCAGTGTTAGTAATAATTCTTTGGCTTAGAAAGTAATTTTTTTTAAATTGCGTTTTATTTTCAATTTGTAAGTTCTTTTTTAATCGACTTTAAATAGAAATGCAAAATAAGGAAAAATTCGCAACGTTTATCTCAAGTATTCTGATAATGAATTTCCATTATCATGTTAAAGATCATAATTCTAAGAAAATTATTGTGTGATAACAAGGAAAAGTCATTCGTAGTACTTGCATGAGAAAATAGGACTGGAATATGAAATTTACTTTGATTTAATGAATAGAGAAACATACTAGTAGAAAGTACTGGCTTATTGTTTTTTAAGCATATTTATAGTTATTTTATTCTTATCCAATATATTTTGGCATGACTCGATCAGAAGTTGCCTTATTTTACGGTAATTATTCGTATTAAATCAAATTAGATATTGCATAGCACGATTGTATCAAAGAGCAATGCATTTGGTGACTTTGGTGATGAAAATGAAAATGTCATTTTAATTGATCTTGTTCAATATCAAAAGTTCGATAAGAGAAATAACACATTTTGACTAAATACACTCTTGTAATAATAATACAAATTATAAACTAATTCAGTTTTGTCATTTTCAAGAAAGAAAGCGCGATAAATTGAGAAATTTGAAATATTTTAACCATGTAAGTAGGCTATCATTATTTACTAATTCAAAAATTTTTATGATTTCCGATAGTTTGAATAGGCATTCAAAATAAATTTGAGTTACGGCCAAATTAAATCACACTAATTATGTCGTATTTAGATATTGCATACTAATTTTCTTAATTATTTTGTGAAATGAATTTTACATTTATTTATCTTTCACTCCCGCCCATTTTAAAGACTACGATTCATTCAAAATTAATTGACTATTATTCTTCAATCTTTCTGTCAATATTTTGTTACAAACAGATAAATTTGAATACTTTTCTCAGCTTATAGTTTATTTGAAATGCTTTCCTTGTTTTTAACTCGCTTTTCGTCAGCAATCGAAGCTTATAAAACCGGTCCATACACATTTAACATCTATGATCAAGTTGATTCTGGAAATAAATCTATGATCAAGCAGGTTTATACAAAAATTGCACACGTGGATATCGATGCCGCCAGCCAGGACAAAGTCAAAGATATATCTGATCTTAAAGATGAACTTGATTATAAGATAACAACAATAAACGATGAAAACAAGCAATATACAATTGTTAGGCAAACTTTAACAAATATTGGAAAAGAAGGAAAAAGATATGACTTATGCACTGTTCTCGTTTTTGCAGGCGCGCCAGATATTTCATTTTACTCTCAGGTACCCAATTTTGGCGCTTACTTTTATCTTGGTGATTTCGACTCTTATGTTTGGGTTCAGCAAAATCACCCATCAGTTACAAATGGTAAATTGAGAGGTATTGGTGGTGATGAAAATGTGAGATTCTTTACACATTCAAGTTCAAGAGATGCATTTCCACTTTACTGGATATCCGAATCTTGGACCAATAACTATCTCGAGCCTGGCCAATCTGTTACAATTTCATTCATGATTCATAAGAATGATTATGAGCCACCACTTTTGAACCTTGAAAAGGACTTCATAAAGGATGATTATGAACCAACCGAGAAAATCCATATTAAAGGCTCATTCAGCTATTATTATTTGAATACCTATATTTCTGCCAACTACAACCTTGTGAATAAGGTGTCAGGAATGTCAGTTAGCAATGGTGTATTGAAGGATTTCACAACATACTTTGATAAGATGGCAGATTCATTTGATATTGAAATTGGTCCGTTTGCAATAGGTGCTTATGCGCTTATTGTTTATACACGTCAGGGTACTAACACTCTTGAGCAGCATATTGATATTACTATTTCACCACCAAATGCCAAACCTAAAGTTACAATTTTCTGGCCTGAATACAAGTATGACATACCAGAAACAGAGATTACAATACAAGGATACGTTTCAGATCCAGATGCACGTGATAAAACAATTGCCACCGCAATCTATTTCAATGGCAAAGTTATTTACTCCGCAAATGTAACTAACACTGATGAAATCAAGACATTCAAGTTCACTATCCCTAAGGATACACCAGTAGGCGAATACGATATCAGGTTTACAGCTAATGATGGCAAATTAACCACAGAAAGGAAGCAAACAATCATTATTAGAGACAACACAGTTCTTAGTATTGATGTCGAGCCAAAGTTCGAAGAAACATACAAGAAAGGAGATAAGCTCAACTTCACTGCCGTTGTAAATGATCCAGATACTGATTTTGAGTCAAAGTTTGTTATTTTCGTCTACTACAAAGACACTCTTAAGCTTTCTCTTGAGAAAGATAACAAAGATGGCATGGTTAGAGTTCCTTTGCAATTCTCTATCCCAAGTGATGAAACTGAAAAGGTTGTTACACTCAAAGTCAAAGTAACATCAACAACAGAAAAGGCAGAAAAATGATTTACTCTTAACATTTTCGATGAATCAACACTTGATAAAGCAAAAGAAGGAAATGGAACGAAGACAGTTACTTCAAAGCAGCAGAAAATACTAATTGCAGTATTTGCAGCAATAACAGTAGTAGCAGTTGTCTTAGCTATTGTTATAGTAATAGTTTGGCTTAGGAAATAAAAAATTTTAAGTTATGGAAAGTTTTTTAATTGTTATATGATTATTTGTGTTTGCATTTTAATATTTGCAATTCATTGCCAAGTTATTGATCAATTATTATTTTATCCATCAAGATTTAACAGTAATAAGATAACGATGTGTCTAATTCTTAGAAAAAACAATCGGATAGCTTTTAATCGATTTATTCGATCTACAACAAAATGTTTTATTTATTACCCTCAATTTTTAACTTTTGCAACTCCAAAAACCAGGTGTTTTTCCAGAACTACCATCTAGGATGAGTCCTAGGAGCTATAATTCTAGGGTTAGATGATACCCACTTAGTACTTTTATTTGTATATGTTTTAGTGGAATTTGGTGAGGGGTCATGAAATTCGTATCTAATTTGCTATCATCTAAGCTGGTAAAAGTTAGAGAAAGCTATTTACTGGTTGTATATTACAAATATACCTTGTAATAGAAAATATAAGTGTTTGTGATTTAAATTCGCTCAATTAGCTCGAAAATTTGTTTTATATCCATGACAAACTAACACAATCCTATTTATGTGATTTTCAATCTGTTCCCAAAATATATCAGCATGAATATATATATATTGATATTATTAGCAATTTCATCATTAAATAGTACTTTTTTCCCTATTTTTAATTTAGAAATAGTATATTTATATGATAGCGACACAATATTTTAATTAAAAAATATATGTTATCGATCATCACACTCAAATTGAATTTCAAAAATTTTAGAATTTTTCAATTTCAATATTGAAAATATATTTCTTATATCATAGCGATTCATGTTATAATAATATGGAGAAAAATATTGTTTTAAATCTAAAATTTAAAATGAATGATTGGGCATTACATTAATCCAATTTATTATTTATTTGTTAATCTAGTGGAAACAATTAATATTTTGGAGAAACAAAAATTTGAAATTTGAAATTTTGAAAAAAATGCATGAATCGGTAATTAAACATTGATTTATTAATTTATTAGCCATGCTTTTGATGTTGGTCTTATTCTTAAGCCGATTTAAAGAATTAATTTTTCCAAATCGTGTTTGACATTAACACATATAGATATATCAGGAAAAAAGGTATCACTTATCAAGTTATTGGTTTTTATGTATCTCCTAACTTTGCCTCGTTCTGAATACAATTCTAGTTAACGAATTTTAAATAACTATATGAAGAATACATCATTTTGGTTTTATTATTATTAAAATGATATATATTAGCTATGTATATGCTTGTAAGAATATTATTCCGTGAATTGGAAACAGAAAAAATAAATTTAGACAGAAAATGCATATCTTTAAAAAATAATATGAAATTTAGCTTTGATATTATTATCCGATAAAATATGCATGATAATTACTCCGCAAATAAAATTTAGGAAGCAAGTTGTGACGGTTTGGCGGTTTTCAATGGCTCACAAGGAAGGAAGTATCGTTTTATCAGGCAACAAGAGGTCTTGAAATGAGTAAAGGACTGATCACCCTTGAAAGGTTCAAACTTGCTTGCGCGCCGCAGTCTTAAAAATGATATGTTTCACTTCTGGTCGAAAATTTCAACCTCTATGACAGTTGTTGGATGAACAATTGTGTAGCGGGATGAAATCTGAGTGCGGCCTGGGGCTGCAGCGTCAATCTTCCCGGCATCTTTACCGCAATCATCTCTTAGATTGCACACAAAGTTGCGAACGAGCAGCTTTCTATGCGGTAAAGATGCCGGAAAGAGAGAGTCGATGTGAGGTTCTTTTCGAGGTCTCGTAGAATGATAGAAAGTTCCGCATTCATAACTTGAATGTGGAACTTTGACCGACAAGAGTGTATTGTGCACTCTTGTCGGTCGCAGTGTCTCATTCTGGGAGACATTGCCTCTGCATGTTCCCAGAATGGAACAATCTTTTGCAATCAGAATGTGATTGCAAAACTTTGACCGACAAGAGTGTATTGTGCATCCACCTTTGTCAATTAACTATGTTTTATAGAGACATCCCCTCACACATATTTTTTCTAATATAATTTTACCTTTTAATATTTATTTTTTATTTTTTGTGCTTTATATAACTTATGGTGTGTACCGAACTATCTTTAGACTCTACTGAGCTATTTCCACATATAAACATGTGACAATAACGCATACATACTCCCTTCGTATTCTGATCTCATGACATTATCGCAAAAACTATATTTATACAACACACCTCATAAAGTCTCATTTTAGCCCTATCTAAGCGTTCAAAACCTATTTTCCCCGCGTAATCTGATTCTTCAGGCTCCGCTGATTCGATTTCTGCTGTCAGATCGTGAAAATATGCATCACATAACAAGATAAACCCAAATTACTTAACTTAATATTTTCCTTAAAATTTCGCTTCACGTTCATGCTCAAACAAAATCATTTTTGAAAAGTCCAAATTTTTCAAAAAATGTATGAATTCAAAAGTTTTGATCATATCGAGTCATTACCCAATATTAATATTGTATTTTAGTTTTTGAGTTATTCATTTTATTATACGTATTATTCAGAAAATTAAATATATTTGTGAGGGGAAACGGAAGATATAATAAATATTCCCATAGCGAGGAATAGGAAATTTTAAGGAAAATATTAAGTTAAGTAATTTGGGTTTATCTTGTTATGTGATGCATATTTTCACGATCTGACAGCAGAAATCGAATCAGCGGAGCCTGAAGAATCAGATTACGCGGGGAAAATAGGTTTTGAACGCTTAGATAGGGCTAAAATGAGACTTTATGAGGTGTGTTGTATAAATATAGTTTTTGCGATAATATGTCATGAGATCAGAATACGAAGGGAGTATGTATGCGTTATTGTCACATGTTTATATGTGGAAATAGCTCAGTAGAGTCTGTAAGATAGTTCGGTACACACCATAAGTTATATAAAGCACAAAAAATAAAAAATAAATATTAAAAGGTAAAATTATATTAGAAAAAATATGTGTGAGGGGATGTCTCTATAAAACATAGTTAATTGACAAAGGTGGATGCACAATACACTCTTGTCGGTCAAAGTTCCACATTCAAGTGATTGCGATTGTTCATTCTGGGATAATGCAGAGGCAATGTCTCCCAGAATGAGACACTGCGACCGACAAGAGTGCACAATACACTCTTGTCGGTCAAAGTTTTGCAATCACATTCTGATTGCAAAAGATTGTTCCATTCTGGGATAAATGCAGAGGCAATGTCTCCCAGAATGAGACACTGCGACCGACAAGAGTGCACAATACACTCTTGTCGGTCAAAGTTTTGCAATCACATTCTGATTGCAAAAGAGTGTTCCATTCTGGGATACATGCAGAGGCAATGTCTCCCAGAATGACATTCTCATGCCAAAAGCAATATATTTCTTATTTAAATTTGCATAAACTCCAATTTTTTTTCAATCTTAATTAAATTTTTTTTCTACTTCTTTAATTCGTTTCATCTTTCTCATAGAATATCTATTCCTTTTACAGACATGAAATCACTAATCAGGCTTTTTCAATACTCATATATTTCATATAAATCATTGTTATTTTTTCTCTCATCGCATATTTTATTAAATTTACATATTTCCTCTCACATATCCCTCTTCACATATATTGAATCTCCACACTCATCTATTAGAACAATATATTTTCGCTTAATCTCATATTATTAATTAACAATCTTTCCTATTCTTATTTCGAGTTAATATACCAATATATATATATAGAATATATGCCGAATTACATATTCAGATATATTAAATTCAAGAAATTCTTCTAAAATTATTCTCCTATTCATAATAAAATCATATTTAGTCTCACATCACAATTCTCTCAGTTCTCCAATATCATGTCATATTGGTAACATCACATATATCTCTTATAATATCACTTTAATTTGTATTTTTTTATTTAATTATATTTAATTAGTTCTACATTCTATTATTATAGAGGTTTGACAAATTCATCAATAGTTAAAATCGAAATCTATGCAGATCTTTGAATCTAATGAAAATTACATTTCGATATCTTTTTGCAAGCTTAATTTTTTGTATTATCTTAAAATACATTTAGTAATGTTATGTATATATTGAATTCAAATTATGACGCAGTATTATGCAACTCATCTTGAGATTCACATTTCATTTTCACAATTATTGCATATATACATCAATAACATATTGTACTCATATAGCTACACGACTCTAAACTCAATGACATCAAATAATGCTTCTAATATTTAAAATTATTTTTGCATTTTTGATTCTCAGCTTAACTTCTATAAATGTCACCAAAACATTTCATTCCTACCAAAAAATAATATATTAGTAATTAAGCGTTTATTATCATTGTTACTCACATCATATTAATTCATTTTTGTAATTTTTTAAATAAATGACTGGAATCATAAACCCTATGTACCCATATCAACATGTTAAAATTTCAAAGTCTGAAACTTAGTATACATTGAGTTTCATGAAATCAGATAATCTCGTAGATTTCTTAAATATTATATATTGCTGGCCAATAATGATACAGCATGATTCTCCATCATATCAGCATTCTAAACATATCTTTATTTTGTCAATTGGCATAAATTAAGGGTGCTTTTAAGGCGATAAATGGTATTTTAGATACCTGGGTCATGAAAAAGTTGCAAAAGTCAAAAATTGAGGGTATCTCCATTTACATTTCTAAGATTTCTAAATATTAATATTTGTACTAAAGCTGTAAATATGGTCCATTTGTTGACGATATAATCAGTAATATTCTTTTTATTTTGTTAATCAATTAGAAATAACGTAAATATCGTTGCGGCCAACACTATTACATCAGAATTTTCGACTGATGGGCTATGCGAAAGGTGAATGAAATCACTTTACGGCAAGATGATGCTAATGTTCAAAAGCATCAGGTTTTATTTACAGAAACGATCATACTGATCATGGTAAGACCATATCTATTCTCTTAAGGGTGCACACGAGAGGACCATGTAAACTTCAGAATTTAGAACCTTATTTTTAAGCATTATCTTGGCTACCTATTTAGGCTCGAAAAGCAAAAAATATCAAAAAATACAACTTGACTCCATTATGACCCTTTCATGGAGGTAGTTTTTATCCGCTAGTATTTTCCCTTTGAATCTCTTTACAATTCGAAATCAAATTCAAAACTCAGTAGAAGAAAGGAAGAATCGACTTACTACGGTTGTAATACGAATAAATACATATATTTAATTATTTTTATTTACATAATAATTGTTTGAAGCTCATATTCCGTCAAATTTTTAAATAAAAACATTAAAATGTTGAAAATGTTCATATATTTTAATAGGGTTTTGGCACTTTATTGAGGAATTACTACATACATAGTCGAACTGAACTTGATATTTTGAAATTTAAATTATTTATCAAAATTAAAATTTAACTTGAAATTTATAATTATTTAGTCATATTTTGCATAATTCTAAGTAGATTTTGTAAAAAATCAAGAAAGAAAAATTTTAACGTGCTTTTTTTTTCTTTTTTATAATAATACATATTATTATATAATTAACATATTCATAATGTTTCACCCTTTCAAAAATATAATCCTCCTCCTCTCAAATAAACGTACATACGGGTGGCCTCTTTTTTCAAAAAATTAAAATTTGAAATTTTGGGCTCAAATATTAGAGATTTTTTCAACCTTCAACGATATATGTTGTCTATATCAGACCTCCTTTCTTTTTGATACTTAACATTGTTCCTAAATCTTAGCCGTTAAGGCTGTTCTGAAAATATTTTTTTTTTCGAAAAAATTCGAAAAAAATTCTTGAAATTCAAAAATCCCTTAATTCCAGAGGATTTTGGAAAAAAGTTTTTACATGAACATGTGTATATTATATGAAGTATATTGATAAGGTAAAAATCAAATTTTATTGCATATTCATCGAGAAAATAAACTAACGAATCCCTCAAAATTGAGAGGGTAATCCTCCTCCTCTCAAATAAACGTACATACGGGTGCACCCTTAAATCATAAAATTTAAATAAAATTTTCGGCACTTTTGCGATAAATGATTTTTTACATTATTGCGATTGTTATAGAGAAAAATTTTACACAAGGGGATGCAGAACATATTGAAATGTCTTTAGAAAAGGATGATATACTATTTATACATTCATTTGATCCATTAATGTCAGTTTATTTATATTCAACACCTCAATGCTCCTTCAAACATTATATTGACACTCAACTTCATAGTGAATACGCAGATTCTGATAAGATTGCATTTGTAGATTTTGGCGCATCCGTAGGATATATCGAATTAAATGCAAAAAAGAAGACAAACATATCTATTGATGTTTTTATTTTTCCAAACGAATGTGAACATACACGATATATTGTAAATTATTCACCAGTTACTTTGCTTCTCGAAAAAAATTATTCGGATTCTCGATTTAAGATAAGTAACGAACAAGTATTTTGTTTTTGGCCGATTTTGTACAATTCACATGAATGGAGCTTAGATCTTGATTCAGAAACAGATTATGATACTTTTAAATTAATGCTAAATTCCATTGATCAAATCACATTTACTGGGCAAATACGCAAAAATATTACTTACGATTCGCAACTTTATTGGTTTAAATGGTATTCTGACGAAAATAACATATCAAATTTTGTGAATTTAAGCTCTAATCTTATAGAGCAGCATCAATTCAATATTACATATTATTCGAACAGAGATAATTTGACCAGTATTACTGTTTTGATGAAAAACATACCTGGCCAAAAGATTCCAACTACTTATCCAGGAACACGATCAAATGATAGTCTGAATAAGATCCCATTTGTAGTGTTTATAAGTGCCTCATTGATTGTTATCCTATTGATTATAGGAATTTCTATATTTATATTTATTTTAATGAGAAGAAGACGAAAATACAATCTGGAAATGGAAGCAGATATACAAGAGCTGATGGATGATTTTACTCTTGCAAGCAATCCTCAATCGCTTCCCCAACCGGTATCATTCAACTGATTTCTTTTTGTATTTATATATTATTGTTTGTTTTTATGTTAAATTTTTATATGCAGTATTTTCATCTTTCTTTTTTGACTTCAATCGAATGAATATTATATTTTCAATATTTGATATCTAAATAAATTGAGCTTTCATTAATATTTAACTTATACACAAGTCATCTAGCTATTTCATCTATACCTGAAGATAACTTGTTAAATATCTTTTATTATGTAAATTTACATAATTAAATTTAATCTGATCCACCCACAAACAATTCTAAAGATTGTTCTGATCATATAAAAAAAGATATTATGGTTTAAAAATAAATTTGTAAAAAATAGACATGAATTTAGCAACATCCTTTCTTGTTGTCTTCAGACTGAGGTGCATCCAACTTTTTAGTGCCTTTATCGTGTGGTGCATTTTGATATCTCTTATAAGCTGCATACGCTAACTTTTCGAAAGCTTCTGTAACGCCTTTATCTTCCTTGGCGGATGTTTCAAAGTATGGAATGTCGTATTTTTCAGCTAAGCCCTCAGCCTCTTCTTTTGAAACAGCTCTTTCGAGATCTGCTTTGTTTCCAATAAGTAAAACTTCTATATCGCAGTTTTCGTTTTTAATAGAATCGAGCCAAGCGCTGGTACGATGGAATGATTCAACGTTAGAAATATCAAAAACAACTAAAATACCGTGAGCACCACGATAATAAGCTTTTGTAATTGCTCTGAATTTTTCTTGTCCTGCTGTATCCCAAATTTGAAGTTTGACTTTATTGCCATCAATGTCAATAACTTTATTCTTAAAATCAACACCAATAGTTGTCATAAATGTTTGGGTGAAAACGTTATCTATATATCTAAGAAGTAAAGCACTCTTTCCGACAGCTGATTCACCAATGACAAGAATCTTTAAAAGGGTAGAAATCTGTTCACTCATTTTTTTATCCCTGAATTTTTTTTTCGAAAATTAAAGGGACTCTATCGTCATTTTACAAATTGAATAATAATTTTGTTGAACACACTATAAACGCGAAATTCAGATCTTAAAACCGAAACCGTCGAATTATTGTGGAAAATTCAATGAACATCACTTTTAGAATCGTTGGTTATGGTTAGCTGATTGATAAATGAGATTTGATTAGCTTTACTTTATATGTCTACTAGAGTGTTTACAGAAAATTATGGAATTATTCATTTATTTTTCTAAATCAAATTTGGAATCTAAAATTTAAGTCCCACTAATTGCTAAAACAGGATATTTCAATGTGTTATATAAGTGGATGAATAACATACTAGGAATCCTTAATAAAAGGCTAATCTTTTTCTTGAAATCTTGAATTTTTTATTTGTGATGCAATTATTAGATGGTCTGAGAGTATTTTTTATAACCAAGGCAAATTAATATCATTTCAATTACTTATTCTCAATTCAAAATCAATAATCAAATTATTTTAAAAAATGGAAAAAATTAAACCGAACCAAACTCATAATCTCAATCAATCACGACTGCAATAGTATTTTAAGATCATTTTAGTATTTAAAGCGAACATGATTTATAAATTAAATTATTGGAGTTATTAACTTCCAGTGATAGCAATGTACTTCGAGTTTTTGAACTTTAGTAACATTGGTCTTATGCTTTAGACTTTTCTCGAAATTTTATCATATTTTTCATTTAATATTCCATTCTACTGAGGATATATTTATAGTATAGGATATGAAGTATTTACATTCTAATTTGGGCGCGAATTGAAATGAGGAAGGCCACTTAAGTATAGTACAATACGCCCACCTGACTAAATTATGATTACGGGGTACAGGCGTGGAGATAATTGAATAGTTTCCTTTTTCGTAAAAATAATTCTTTTAGGAAAATAGTTTTAGAATAATTTGTTAGTATATCCGATAAGCATCTTAAATAATACGTTTTATTAAATATTCAGGTTTGTAGAAAAAATTTTCCCAACTTGATAATAAATCAATCACTAATATATACATAAGCATATTATTAATGAAACCGAAGCTATTCAAATTTTTGCTAATTGCCAAAAGCGCATTCAAATTTTCAACACATTCACAACCTTTCAATGAATTAAATACCATAGTCCGCTTTTAAGATATTTATCAAAGAAACACAAAATAAAGGATACAATATTATGTAGATTTTTCCCAAGTAAACAAATTTTCAATTGGGTAATCCTTTTCAAATCAAATTGAATGAAACATCATTGTAATACATTTTAAAGTTCATTTTAGGCTTTTATAATGTTGATGTTTTTAAAAGGTTATTCTTTTACGATTTCATTCAAATTTTGCATTGAAAACAAATTTCATGAAAAGGGGAGGGAATATACTCCCAAGAACTGTTAAGCAGATCATTTGTGAGACAATATACGATTACACCACATTTATATATGATAATTATATTCTCCCCACTTGGCTTTATCCTTTTACAAAATTTTATGTTACATTTTCAACATGCTTACTTTTCATGAACTTTCATCAATCAGAAACAGGCTTAAAACCACTCGAAGTCTTCTTAAACTTATACGGAACATCACTAGAAGAATCTTGGGCAACGATAAATTTTATCATTAATATGATATTATTTGTCATCATATATTCTAGTATTATTCTTTGCTCCATTATCTATTCCAGCAAGAATCATATGCCAAAATGGTCCACAATTTTTAATGTTATTTGTATTGAGCTTCTTATGCCATTTATTTTACTGACAACAGGAAGCCAGATTGGTGCTAATATTGGATTATTATATAATTCTGTTGGGAATTCAAAAATATGGATTTATACAATTATTTCATTATTTTGGGTTGTTTTCACGTTTATTTTCGAATATCTATTCCATGCATCCTATATTCCATTCATTCCTGGTCGTACTTCTGCTTTGACGCCAGCATTTCAAAGTTTTGATATAGATCTCGTCATTATTATCAGAATCTTGTCCAGATTGGCCAATTCAACTGATGGAACAGTTGCCGCTAAGGTCTGCCGTGCATTGATTGCTGTTTTATTGGCAGTTGGTGCAGTAACGATTGCTTTTTATAACATTTACTTATCAAGGAAATATACTGCATTTATTTCTGCTTCCTTCTGTGCTGGATTTGTTCTTAATATATTAGAAGAATTTGTTAAACTTGACTGGGTATAGATTGATAATTTTCTTCGGTATTCTTTTAATAGGAACATTCACTATAAATCAAATTCTAAAAGCACAGCAGAAGAAGATTTATGAAGTGTTTACGGCAATAGAAAACGATGAAATTTCATCTGATGATGTATTTCCAAAGATAAATGGAAAATATTTAAGGTACTGTTATGAAGCTTTCAAGCAGGCACATCCTTACCTTCTTACTTTTAGACCACTTGTTGAAGGCTCTCATAATGAAAACACAAATTCAAAAGTTTGGATGTTTTATCTTCGTGTCCTTTCCATATACAACAGTCGTATATATGATCTAATGAACGCTTGTTCAGAATTCAGGAGACTTTCATTCCCAGATATGGAATCATTTTTGTTCCAAAGAGGCATGGAACACATCATTGAGTACAGATCTCCAAAAGTAACAAAACAATGCAAAACTATTCTGAAGAATATCCAAGAAAAAACGAGAGTTCTCAAAGGAACTATTGTGAAATATTGGGAAGCAATTGAAGGAGATTCTCCAGGAGGAGCTTATGCATATGGTGCTTCTGCACAGAGACAGATGGATCAAATAGAAAAAAGTTATGATTCAGCATTAACAAAATGGCCAAATGCATCATTGATCTACAAATCATATTCACGATTCCTTAATCACATCTGCAACAATCGAATGAAAGGCGAACAATATGCAGCACTTGGCAATGTTACAAGAAAGATTGACTTGATTGAAATTCGTGCAAAGATATTATTCCCATTGCTACCTGCGGAACTTCAAGATCCTGAAACCATAATAAACCAAGAAGCACAGAACAAAAATGATGGCGCATCTGTTTTATCTGCTTCAATTGCAGGATCATCATCAAATAGTATTGATGAAGATGATGAAAGATATGTAGAACTTGCACAACAAAACACATTGTATGAGATGGGCAAACGAGTATCTGTTCCTATTAACTATTGCACAACATTTTTCGTTGTTATTTCGTTCATTTTACTGTTTTGCTTTGGTGTAGTTTTAACAAATGCAGTTATTCTTCACAAGTATCAAATCTTCAAGACATTATTGCAGTTCTTGTCAACATTCACATCAATTCTTTTCTATTCCTCAAGAACAGTATACAAGATGGCATCATTAGTTGCAGATTCACTTGGATTGAGCTACAATACATCAGAAGTTTTAACATTACTTGGTGCAGAAAATGAAGCAAGTACAATATTATCTGCATCAGAAATCATTTCATTTGATATCAAAGAATTAAATACAAATATTGATTCATTTATATCTCTAAAGACAATAGCAAAAGATTACATTGGAAATGTAACACTCTTATTAACAAATATTCAAATCAAACAAAACTTATTGTATAAGAACAAATCAGACATTATCAACAATAACAAGAATTACTTCCCATTGAGTGCAGCAATAAATGTTCAGACATCTTACATTTCAAGTTTCTCATCTGAATTCCAGGAGAAAGCTTCAGAGTTCAGACAAACAAAATGGTTCATGTTCATGTTAGAAAACAACTACAGAGTTAATGATGCCTTAGATGCATTAGCAAAATATATTGCCAAAGATATGTTAGATTTTGCTGAAAATAACAATGAATTCGCCTTAATTATGTGCGTTATTTTTGCTTGTATTTCTTGTTTAGTATTTCCAATTACCTTGATTATGTTGAAGATACAAGAAAAGAAATACATCTATGTAATTGATTCAATGTACAGAATTCCATCTTTAGTCATCATTCATCACATTTCTGAATTAACAAATAACAGTCTTGAAAATAAAAACAATAGAGCAGAAATTGCTCTACAGATTCAGAATTCACATGGAATTCCAACAGTTTTGGTTTCTGTTTTATCTGCTTTTTGCATCATAATTTTCATTGTTTTATGCATTGCAAACTATTATATTTTGACAAATTCAGCCGAATCATTCCGTGTATTGCCATTCCAAATGATGAATGGTGCTCTCTTAGCCAATCACATTTATGATGAAATGGCCACAATGAAGAGAATCTTTGCAGTAAATCAAGAAATCCCATTCAATGCTGATAACTCATATATGGCAACAGGAATCTGGCCACAAACGCAAAAATTAATCGAAACTACCATTGATCAAATGTTCTTTGGTGTTTCAGAAGAAACTAACATCTCTTATGGATATCTTTTGACTAAATCCAATTCCAGAGATTTATTTTTCCAAGGTGAGAATGTTACAGGAACATCACTCCATGATTTCATGATCAAGTTCGGATATGTTTTCTCTATCGAAGTTGATGCTAGTGAGATTAAATATTTCGTTCCACATGCATCAGATAAAACTATCTTCAACAGAGATAATATTAGACTGAACAACATGTTACATTACAACGATATTCACTTGTCAACAGGTATCTTAGATAAAATCTTGAATTACACATTTTCAGATATGAATGATGTTATTTACAACCAAGAAGTTATGGCCATTTTAACTCCTGTTGTTGGATTAATAGTATTAATTATTTTTATAACTATCTTTATCTATTATCAGTCAACAATCTTGAGAACATTTAGATTCACAATTATGTCTCTTTCAATGTTGGATCAAAAGTTCATTCAGACAAATGAAAAACTATTAGATATTGTTGCTGGCGATTTCAACTCAGATAAGCAGAGTGAAAGTATTCCAAGCCACTACATTGACTGTCTTAAAGAGAACACATGTGATCCAGTTATTTTAACAACAAAGACATTTGAAATTTTACAGATGAACAATGCAGCAAAGAAATTTTCGAAATCATCATCACAGGCAAAGAACATCGAAGATATCTTCAGAACAATTCCAGAAGAATTCAGAAAAGTCGTTGAATCAAACATTCCTTCAACAGCTAAGATCGAGAGGACAATGAAAGATGATGAAAACAAAGAATATAAAGCTCAAATCTCTATCACACAGAGTAACTTAGGAGACATTTTCATCATCATGCATCGTGATGTCATTGGTGAGAAACTGAAAGAGGAGAAAGAGAACACAGAGAATAAGTTAAAGAACATTTTATATCGCATGGTTCCACATGACTTCAGAGAGATCTTCGGCGACAACTTGTTCAGAACAGTTCAATTTGAGAATTTGTTAGTATTAGGCATCAAAGCAATGAACATCACATTTGGTGAAGACGACGATGACGAAAAACTTCAAGCAACACTTAACAAGATGGATATATACAACAACTCAATTATCCAAGCATCTAAAATCAGTGATGACTGTGCAATTGCTAAGAAACACAACATGACAACATTTGTTATCTTCAATTTCAAATCACAGAAGCGCTCAATGACACAACCATTAGAACAAGCTATCGAAGTTGTTAAGCAAGCATACAAAGAATGTCAACAGAATGGAATCACATTGTCAGCATCAGTTACATACTCCAAACAATGCTTGATTGGTATTCCATCAGTCAACAAAGCAAGTTTCAACATTTTCTTCCCAGAATTACAAACTATGATGCACTCATTAGATTTATCGAATGAAGACGAATTGCACTGCTTCGGACTCGATCGTGATATCCCACACAATCTTCGTGAGAAAGTCAGGAAAGGTGATGATTGTTCATTACTTCTCATCAAAGATTTTGCTTAATTTATTATATTTTTTTTACTTTCAAAAGAACATTTTCTAAACTATCCATGATATATTTTCATTCATTCTTTTTATATTTTCTCAAATTTCATATTTCAGTACTAAAAACAATTACAAAAGAACTCCTCTATAATATGCAGTAAAAATATTAGAGTTAAAAAGAGAAAAATTTTACTTTTTCTTTGGAGCATATCTTAACCAAACTCCATTTTCTCCAATTCTCTGAACATCAATTAGATCAAATTCAAGAGGTGGAGAATCTGTGTCTTCTGGGTTTCTTCTGATGAATGAAACATCGGTGCTTCTTCCATCTGTTGTTGGAGCCATAACATATGAAAGTTCATCAACTAATCCTGCTCTTAATAGTGACCAATTGATCATTCCGCCACCTTGAACACAAATTGCTTTGATGTGGAATATATTTTTCAACTTTGTTAGCATCAATTTCCAATCAACATCATGATCGCCACAGATAATATAAGAAATACCTTTGCTGCGCAAGTAGTTTCTGTACTGTGCCGTGGATTGATTTGTCAAAACTTCAATTATATCTGAGTCTTGGCCCCAGTAATGAGCGACATTTTCTTTCCATCCAAGCTTTCCTTTTGGATCAACTGCAATTGCAACCATTTTAAGGTTTCTTTTAGCAACAAAATCGCCTTCCTCACATGTTTCTTTCATGCCTTTCAAGTCGATTGTTTCATTATGTGTGCATATTGAATCAAATGTTGCTCTTCCGCAAAGCCAGGCATCATGTTCATGATTGAATTTAGTTTTCCAGTATTCTGAACCTAATTTCTCCATACTTTCTGTTTTGAATACATTTCCAGTTATCTTTCCATCAATGGATGGAATAACATGGATGAAGACGTACGGTCTTTCGTTCGACATCTAAAAAAAATGATTTTTTTTCAAAGGAAGAAAAACCAAAAACTGTATCGATTTAATAAATGTTATTAGACGTCACTGGCTATTATAAATACACAATTAAACAAGTTTTAATTTCCGAGCATAGTGTGAATTCACATGCCTCAATTTTTTTTGTAACAATTATTTTTAACTCTCACAATTTTTTCTATTGATATAAAAACATTGAGAGACTCTCAGAAAGTGATAATTGAACCACAGACATTCTTATTTATATCTCGAAAGATTTTCTTTGTCTTTATGTTATAAATTTTACTGTATTTCATTTCGTATTCAGTCTCGATAATATGATCGTCGAGTGAAAACAAGCATTCACATTTAATGAGCTATAAAACTAACATAAGCTTTCTCTTCTGTGACGAGAATTGACTAATATATGCTGAAAAAAAATATATTTAAATTATGCAAATGTAATATCTAAAAAATAAATTAATTAGAGAGAAGTGTTAAGATATGTATTAAGTAGATTTATGTGTGTTAATATATTTTCAAAATCTGAAACATCAATTTATCACTTATTAAATGATATACAAAAGAATATACTCATAATATGTTAATGATGGACTACTAGTAATGAGAAATAATTTTTTTGCTTAAATTTTGTAGAAAAAAAAAACATTAGTTTAATTCAAAATTAAATCATATTTAGATTACTGAGACTGAGAGTTTGGACCGGCCTTGCGCTTAGCATCAGGATTTACAGCGAGGAAGCGCTGGTTGTAGATTTTGCGAAGGCGAGCACGGCCACGAACTTCCTTAGGCTTGTCCATCTTTGGGACCTTTGGAGTGTTGGAGCGAACCTTTCCGGCTTGTGCAAGAGAACCATGAACTTTACCCATTTTAGAGAAATGACAAATTTCTTGTTCTCAAAATTTTGCCCTCAATTTAAAAATTTTTAATAGAATTTTTTATAAAAAAATGTTGATGGAGTTAATTTAATAGTCGGCATAAATATCATTTTACGACTTTATCGAAGATAGAAACATGTTTTATCTAAATTCTTTGATTCAGAACGTTCGTATTTAAAAGAAATATACTGAGGTAGTTAAATCATTCATATTTTGAACTTATTTTTCAATTTGAAAGAAAGAAAATAGTTACTTGCGTTTATTTAGAGTTAGCAAAAGTTTATTCATTAAGTGATAAAGGAGATCTTCGTATAATTGATGTATTAATAAAATCATGAATAATGATGATCTGTATTACTGAGCCAACAGATACTGCTTGATTTTACAATATTTCCCTTTGAATATTCGAAATTTTATCAATCAAGCTAATCCGAGGATAAAATTGTATACTTATGTATAAAGACTATTATATAATGTTATAATATTTAAAATATATATCATAATTTTTTGTATATCTCACCTTTCTAACACAGGAGATAGGCATTTTTTTGACCTAAAAGAACTTTGGTGCTTACTTATTTTTGGTAAAAAGCTTTCTTTGAGCTTTCTATATGCATTTAGTTATTCATATCTCCATACTATAAAACGACTTCCATCAACATTTTTTTATAAAAAATTCTATTAAAAATTTTTAAATTGAGGGCAAAATTTTGAGAACAAGAAATTTGTCATTTCTCTAAAATGGGTAAAGTTCATGGTTCTCTTGCACAAGCCGGAAAGGTTCGCTCCAACACTCCAAAGGTCCCAAAGATGGACAAGCCTAAGGAAGTTCGTGGCCGTGCTCGCCTTCGCAAAATCTACAACCAGCGCTTCCTCGCTGTAAATCCTGATGCTAAGCGCAAGGCCGGTCCAAACTCTCAGTCTCAGTAATCTAAATATGATTTAATTTTGAATTAAACTAATGTTTTTTTTTCTACAAAATTTAAGCAAAAAAATTATTTCTCATTACTAGTAGTCCATCATTAACATATTATGAGTATATTCTTTTGTATATCATTTAATAAGTGATAAATTGATGTTTCAGATTTTGAAAATATATTAACACACATAAATCTACTTAATACATATCTTAACACTTCTCTCTAATTAATTTATTTTTTAGATATTACATTTGCATAATTTAAATATATTTTTTTTTCAGCATATATCAGTCAATTCTCATCACATGATATAACTCCTGCAAAATACCTTCTGTTTCTTTATTAAATCATCTTGCATTTAGAATAAATTTTTTTGTTCTGAGTTCTTCAAAAATTCATAAACATACTAATTCTCTACCATAACAGCACATTTTCACTTACAAGTCAAGGTTTAATTATGAAATTCAAAATTCAAAAATGTTAATCGCTAATATTTTATTATTTTTGCGGTCATTTTCAATCCTACACATAAAATATTGGGCAGACATCTAGTATTTTAACTGAGAAGGATAAAAAGGTTTAGAAATTACAAAAGGTTGGTAAATAAAAATCTGGCTTTTTTAACCACGAATCAATCATGTAAGAGTTATAACATGCTAGGTTTTATAAAAATTAGCAATCTTGCAAAATTTTGCATAGAACCATTTACTCTTTGAATTTTTGAATGATCTCACAATTTTACACCACTGTAAATAAATCTAAAAATAAGCATAATTTATTTTAACAAGATCTGCATCCTTTTGATAAGTATAAAATTCGACTGATTTTTTCAAATGTTGATCGATTATTTCAAACGTATTAATCGCTGATATAGAAGTACCTAATTTTTGAAAATGAATCAACAATATAATTATAAAAATTATACCTAAATTTTGATAACTTTTCAAAATTTCAGGCAAATATTGCTATTACAACTGACATCTTTTAATGCATCATTATAATATTAATAAGAGTTTAAATAAGGTTTATTCGTTTTTTATATATTCAATTGATGCGTCAATTAAAATCTCATTCAAAATTTTAATAGCAAACCTAAATTTATGAAATGGGGAGGAAATATACTCCCACGAACTGTTAAACAGATTGCAAGTGAGACATTATATGATTATACAACGTATATTCTTGATAACTTTATTCTCCCCACTTGGCTTTATCCTTTTACGAAAGTTTATGTAACTTTTGCTACATGCTTACTATTCACAAACTTTCATCAAGCAGGAACAGGTGTTAAACCACTCGAAGTTTTCTTAAATCTATACGCAACAGCATTAGATGAAACATGGGCTACAATTAATTTTATTATTAATATGATTTTATTTGTTATTATATACTCTAGTATTATTATTTGTTCCATTATCTATTCCACCAAGAATCGTATGCCCAGATGGTCCACAGTTTTTAATGTTATTTGCATTGAGCTTCTTATGCCATTCAGATTATTGACGACAGGAAGCCAAATCGGAAATAATGTAGGTCTTTTATACGATTCCATCACAAACACAAAAATTTGGATCTATACAATTATTTCAATATTATGGGTAGTTATCACCTTCGTTTTCGACTATTACTTCCATTCATCCTACATTCCATTTATTTCTGGTCGTTCGTCGGCATTAACTCCAGTATTTCAGAGTTTCGAGTTAGATATCATAATTGTCATCAGAATTTTGGCAAGATCTGCGAATGCAACCATTGGTACAGTAGTTGCAAAGGTTTGCCGTGTCCTAATTGCTATCTTGTTAGCAATTGGTGTATTTACAATTGTATTTTACAATATCTACCACTCTAGGACATATTCTGCCTTCATCTCTGCTGTATTCTGCGCAGGATTTGTTCTTGATATAATTGGAATCTTCATTAACCTCGATTGGATTATTAGATTACTTATCTTCTTCGGTATCATATTAATTGGAACATTCACTATAAATGAAATACTAAAAGCACAACAGAAGAAGATATATGAGACATTCACTGCTTTGGAAAACGATGAAATCTCATTTGAAGATGTATTTCCAAAAATAAACGGAAAGTACTTAAGATACTGTTATGATGCATTTAAGCTAGCACATCCATATCTTCTAACATTCAAACCACTTGTTGAGGGTGCTCATAATGAAAATACAAATTCAAAAGTTTGGATGTTTTATCTTCGTGTCCTTTCCATATACAACAGTCGTATATATGATCTAATGAACGCTTGCTCAGAATTCAAGAGACTTTCATTCCCAGGTATGGAATCATTTTTGTTCGAACGAGGCATGGAACACATTATTGAATACAGATCTCCAAAAGTAACAAAGCAATGTAAAACAATCCTGAAGAACATTCAAGCGCAATCTCGTATGCTCAAAGGAACAATTGTTAAATATTGGGAAGCAATTGAAGGAGATTCTCCAGGAGGAGCTTATGCATATGGTGCTTCAGCACAGAGACAAATGGACCAGATAGAAAAGATGTATGATTCAGCATTAACAAAATGGCCAAATGCATCATTGATCTACAAATCATATTCACGATTCCTTAATCACATCTGCAACAATCGAATGAAAGGCGAACAATATGCAGCACTTGGCAATGTTACAAGAAAGATCGATTTGATTGAAATTTGTGCAAAGAGATTGTTCCCATTGTTACCTTTGGTTCTTCAAGATCCAGAAAATATAATGAAAGAAGAAGCTCAGAACAAGAATGATGGCGCTTCTGTTTTATCAGCATCTGTTTCAGGTTCATCTTCGAATAGCTTGGAAGAAAACGAAGAATGAGATGCAGAACTTGCACAACAGAATACATTGTATGAGATGGGTAAAAGAGCTTCAGTTCCAATCAACTATTGCACAACATTTTTTGTCGTTATTTCGTTCATTTTACTGTTTTGCTTTGGTGTAGTTTTAACAAATGCAGTTATTCTTCACAAGTATCAAATCTTCAAGACATTATTGCAGTTCTTGTCAACATTCACATCAATTCTTTTCTATTCCTCAAGAACAGTATACAAGATGGCATCATTAGTTGCAGATTCACTTGGATTGAGCTACAATACATCAGAAGTTTTAACATTACTTGGTGCAGAAAATGAAGCAAGTACAATATTATCTGCATCAGAAATCATTTCATCTGATATCAAAGAATTAAATACAAATATTGATTCGTTCTTGTCTCTCAAAACAGTTGCAAAAGATTACATCGGTAATGTAACACTCTTATTAACAAATATTCAAATCAAACAGAACTTATTGTATAAGAACAAATCAGGTATTATCAACAACAACAAATTTTACTTCCAATTAAATGCAGCCATGAATGTCCAGACATCTTATATTTCTAGTTACTCATCTGAATTCCAAGAAAACGCTTCAGAATTCAGACAAACTAAATGGTTCATGTTCATGTTAGAAAACAACTACAGAGTTAATGATGCCTTAGATATTTTGGCTGAATATGTTGCTAATGATATGCTGGACTTTGCTGAAAACAATAACAAATTCGCTCTGATCATGTGCATTGTTTTTGCTTGTATATCAGTGCTAGTTTTCCCAATAACTTTGATTATGTTGAAGATACAAGAAAAGAAATACATTTATGTAATTGATTCAATGCACAAGATTCCATCTCTTGTTATTATTCAACATATCTCTGAATTAACAAATAACAGTCTTGAAGATAAAAACAATAGAGCAGAAATTGCTCTACAGATTCAGAATTCACATGGAATTCCAACAGTTTTGGTTTCTGTTTTATCTGCTTTTTGCATCATAATTTTCATTGTTTTATGCATTGCAAACTATTATATTTTGACAAATTCAGCCGAATCATTCCGTGTATTGCCATTCCAAATGATGAATGGTGCTCTCTTAGCCAATCACATTTATGATGAAATGGCCACAATGAAGAGAATCTTTGCAGTAAATCAAGAAATCCCATTCAATGCTGATAACTCATATATGGCAACAGGAATCTGGCCACAAACACAAGCATCTATTGAAACCGCTATTGATCAAATGTTCTTTGGTGTTTCAGAAGAAACAAACATCTCTTATGGATATCTTTTGACTAAATCCAATTCCAGAGATTTATTCTTCCAAGGTGAGAATGTTACAGGAACTTCACTCCATGATTTCATGATCAAATTCGGATATGTTTTCTCTATCGAAGTTGATTCTTCTGAAATTAAATATTTCAATCCATATACATCAGATAACAGTGTCTTCAACAGAAATAATATGAGACTGAACAACATGTTACATTACAACGATATTCACTTGTCAACTGGTGTTTTAGATAAGATCTTGAATTACACATTCTCAGATATGAATGATGTTATTTACAACCAAGAAGTTATGGCTATTGTCACTCCTGTTGTCGGTTTCATTGTATTGGCTATTTTTATTGGAATCTTCATTTACTATCAGTCAACAATCTTGAGAACATTTAGATTCACAATTATGTCTCTTTCAATGTTGGATCAAAAGTTCATTCAGACAAATGAAAAACTATTAGATATTGTTGCTGGCGATTTCAACTCAGATAAGCAGAGTGAAAGTATTCCAAGCCACTACATTGACTGTCTTAAAGAGAACACATGTGATCCAGTTATTTTAACAACAAAGACATTTGAAATTTTACAGATGAACAATGCAGCAAAGAAATTTTCGAAATCATCATCACAGGCAAAGAACATCGAAGATATCTTCGGAACAATTCCAGAAGAATTCAGAAAAGTCGTTGAATCAAACATTCCTTCAACAGCTAAGATCGAGAGGACAATGAAAGATGATGAAAACAAAGAATATAAAGCTCAAATTTCTATCACATAGAGTAACTTAGGAGACATTTTCATCATCATGCATCGTGATGTCATTGGTGAGAAACTGAAAGAGGAGAAAGAGAACACAGAGAATAAGTTAAAGAACATTTTATATCGCATGGTTCCACATGACTTCAGAGAGATCTTCGGCGACAACTTGTTCAGAACAGTTCAATTTGAGAATTTGTTAGTATTAGGCATCAAAGCAATGAACATCACATTTGGTGAAGACGACGATGACGAAAAACTTCAAGCAACACTTAACAAGATGGATATATACAACAACTCAATTATCCAAGCATCTAAGATCAGTGATGACTGTGCAATTGCTAAGAAACACAACATGACAACATTTGTTATCTTCAATTTCAAATCACAGAAGCGCTCAATGACACAACCATTAGAACAAGCTATCGAAGTTGTTAAGCAAGCATACAAAGAATGTCAACAGAATGGAATCACATTGTCAGCATCAGTTACATACTCCAAACAATGTTTGATTGGTATTCCATCAGTCAACAAAGCAAGTTTCAACATTTTCTTCCCAGAATTACAAACTATGATGCACTCATTAGATTTATCGAATGAAGACGAATTGCACTGCTTCGGACTCGATCGTGATATCCCACACAATCTTCGTGAGAAAGTCAGGAAAGGTGATGATTGCTCATTACTTCTCATCAAAGATTTTGCTTAATTTATAATTTTATTTTTATTAAACTATCCATGATATATATGTTACTAAATGTAAACATTTTTATCTCTTTATAATTGAATTATCTGATAAATCTGATTGGATTTCTTTCATTATCTAAAATATTCTATCTGGAATTATCGAGTGAATAGTAATCATAAAATAAAGGCATTTCCATAAAACTGAATTACATATAAATGCAACTTTTTCGAAAATTTAATTACATCCCTAGAAAAAATCAAAAATTTAATATAACTCCGTATCTACTAAACATGTAAGTACTAAATTAAACAATGTTAGTGAATCCCATAGATAATTGTCACTTTTCAGAACATTTTATTTCCTTTGTTGACAGGACAAGAGTTATTTCTCATTTTTCTGTTTCTTCATCCTATGAAGAATTCAATTTGCAAATTTATCCTAACTATCAAAATAAAATTGTCTCAAAGGAGGTAACGAACACAGAATACCATACTTTTGATACTGTTTTCAACTCAAAAATAAAGTACCATCCATTATTATTTAATCCACAATCATTAAGGGTGCACCCGTATGTACGTTTATTTGAGAGGAGGAGGATTACCCTCTCAATTTTGAGGGATTCGTTAGTTTATTTTCTCGATGAATATGCAATAAAATTTGATTTTTACCTTATCAATATACTTCGTATAATATACACATGTTCATGTAAAAACTTTTTTCCAAAATCCTCAGGAATTAAGGGATTTTTGAATTTTAAGAATTTTTTTCGAATTTTTTCGAAAAAAAAAATATTTTCAGAACAGCCTTAACGGCTAAGATTTAGGAACAATGTTAAGTATCAAAAAGAAAGGAGGTCTGATATAGACAACATATATCGTTGAAGGTTGAAAAAATCTCTAATATTTGAGCCCAAAATTTCAAATTTTAATTTTTTGAAAAAAGAGGCCACCCGTATGTACGTTTATTTGAGAGGAGGAGGATTATATTTTTGAAAGGGTGAAACATTATGAATATGTTAATTATATAATAATATGTATTATTATAAAAAAGAAAAAATAAAGCACGTTAAAATTTTTCTTTCTTGATTTTTTACAAAATCTACTTAGAATTATGCAAAATATGACTAAATAATTATAAATTTCAAGTTAAATTTTAATTTTGATAATTAATTTAAATTTCAAAATATCAAGTTCAGTTCGACTATGTATGTAGTAATTCCTCAATAAAGTGCCAAAACCCTATTAAAATATATGAACATTTTCAACATTTTAATGTTTTTATTTAAAAATTTGATGGAATATGAGCTTCAAACAATTATTATGTAAATAAAAATAATTAAATATATGTATTTATTCGTATTACAACCGTAGTAAGTCGATTCTTCCTTTCTTCTACTGAGTTTTGAATTTGATTTCGAATTGTAAAGAGATTCAAAGGGAAAATACTAGCGGAGAAAAACTACCTCCATGAAAGGGTCATAATGGAGTCAAGTTGTATTTTTTGATATTTTTTGCTTTTCGAGCCTAAATAGGTAGCCAAGATAATGCCTAAAAATAAGGTTCTAAATTCTGAAGTTTACATGATCCTCTCGTGTGCACCCTTAATAGCTGTATTTTTAATCAAACAATTGGTACACCAATTTACATTTACCAAATTCCAACACTTTCTGAAGAATCCAAAATTGAAATTTCGGATTGTCAATTTTACAAGAATACTGGAATTCCCTTTGCCGGCTGCGTGTTCATCTTGTTCTCACGTGAAATCAAAGGCTTTAATTGCACACTTTCCAAGTTATGTTCAGTTGAAAATTTTGCACCAGAAACTTCATCATTTTTCATTAAATCACCAATGAGAGCTGACTTTAATGAGTCATCTGTTCTTTATAACCCAGGAAGACCTCTTTTTGATTGCAGACATATTGCAGGATTCAAATTTGTTTATTCTCATGGTATAAATGTATCATGTTGCTACACAGAACACACTATATTTAACATTGTCAATACATCTTTGTCTTTTTGTCATTTCCAAAACAATACAATTTTCGGAAAAATTAATTCAATAATTATTTATGATTATACATATACTAATGCAACAAAATGTAATTATCTCGATTGGCACATCTTATATATAAATGAAAACACATCAATAAAAATGAATTACCAACCAGAAGATACATTCTTTACTGATTGTGTGTTTAAAGGTGACTTTATGCCAATTGGAAATGAAACTAATTTTATTAATTGCGTATTTTTGAATTATTCTGATAATAAGATCATTGATATGACAAATTATATGATGAAGAAATGCCACGCACCTAATTTCAATAAACTCACGAAAGAAAAGATATTAATGATTGTAATTTTCTCAGTTATTGGATTACTTCTTATTTCTATCGCTGCATTCTGGTTGATAATGAGGAATTACTTCAGAAGACAAAATAAACTAATGAAGAAGTATTCTCTCGAAAAGAGTATTATGAATGATTTCTGTTAAATCTCATTGATTAATATTTTGTTTGTTTGTAATAAAAATGTTATGTTAAATTTTAAAATCATTTGCAAATAACAGAACCTCTAATTTCGTCTGATGTTAATATTAACTAGGACACCCCTCCATTTTGCAAAATGGCTATTAAAGGAAATACTGCCCTTTATTTAGCAGTGTTTATGAATTATCCAGCAAAATTATGAAATTATGCGAAAGGGTTTTTGGAAAGGTAGCTCTTCAAGCAGCAACAAGGAAAAGTTATGAAGAAACAGCTTAATTTCCTACTTTGAATGGCACTGTATTAATGCTAAATGTATCTATGAAATAACTGAATATCTATATTGATCATTATAGGATTATTCATATGACTATTATTAATATATTTTGGTAGTACGGAATTGTTAATTAAGTTTGATTATCATAAGTATATGCTCACCATTGTATTAAAAAGAGATTGTAGAAAGGAATTGAACAAATAAAATAAGAGTTTGAGCATATGTGCAATGATTTCTTCGTTAGCAAAATTTTCAGATTTCCAATATAGGCTTGATATTCAACGATCTATAGTTAGTTGATGTACAAATATCTAATCACATAAAATTATGATCACTTTTTCAAAAAAAGAAATGAAATTATGAAATTTTAGATTTTTGAATTTCATTTAGCGATCATTTGGCCCCATTTTCAATTGAAAATTCTGTAGTTAGTTGTATATACAAATTTTACTCGAAGAGAGCTGGAGATGAAGCTCCAATGCGGGAAGCACCAGCAGCAATGACAGCACGAGCAGCCTCCTTAGTGCGAACACCGCCGGCAGCCTTAACGCCGAACTTTGGACCAACAACTTTTCTCATGATTGCGACATGTTCTGGTTTAGCGCCAGCTGTGCCGAATCCTGTGGATGTCTTGACGTTGTGAGCACCGCCGAGGACTGTAAGGATGGAAGCATCGATGATTTGTTCCTCATTGAGGTAGCATGTTTCGATAATGCACTTAACGTAGCATTGTGGAACAGCGGCGACGATTTCGGCGATATCCTGGCGAACCTTCTTGTAGTCACCCTCGATAAGAGCGCCGATATCGATAACCATGTCGATTTCGATGGCTCCGGCGTTTGCAGCTTCCTTAGCTTCGAAAGCCTTGGCAGCTGATGTTGTAGCGCCGAGTGGGAAGCCGACAACGGAGGCGATGCGGATGTTTGTGCCAGCGAGTTGTTCCTTGCAGATGTGAACACGGTTTGGATTTACGCAGACAGCCTTTGTGTTGTACTTCTTGGCCTTTTCGCAAAGAGCAACGATGTCCTTTGTTGTTGAGAAGGCTGTAAGGACTGTGAAATCGACGTGTTGGGCGATATTTTCTGGATCTGGGCAGAATGTTGGGTCTTCTGGGGCATGAGCAAGCTTGTCACGAACCTCGTCAGCTGTGATACCGAGTTGCTTGGCAACATATTCAACACGCTCTGGGAATTCCATTTTAGCGAAAGTGATTTTTCATTTTCAATACTTTATCGTTTTTCCGAAAAAAAAAGAGAGGAATTGAATAGTTGTAAATATATCCAGCCACTTATCTATCACAGGTACGTACTAAACAACATTCAGATTGAGGAACTGATATCATAATACAATAACTATCCTTTATTATTAGATAATCAATGATTTAAACTAAACCATTCATTGTTTTTTGAACTTCGATCAATAATTTTTGTAATGCGTAAAAAGCAATGTCCTGTGATGTCATGACTTAATAATCAAATTGATGATATGGACTGAACTTATTTGTTTCTTATTGAATAACTTGAAATTGTTGAAAGATTAATAATGATTCATTTTTGAATGCCGTATTTGATAAATATAGATATACTTCATGGATATATATCAACATTCATAGATTATTGCATCAAATATAGAATTTTTCCATATCATCATTTTGAATATTCTAAAGTGACAGCTGTCGTTTGGATTTCTTCAATGTATCTGATGTTTATCTATCTGCAGATGGAAATTATAATCCAATCCTGAGAGTAATATTATTCAATCTAAAATTAAAGATTTCATACTGCAAATAACTCGTCCATAGCTTATACTTCCGATTGAGTTCGTTTATCCATAGAAAAATCTGCATATATCCGAAATAAATCTGAATGTTAATATCTTACAGTTGATTACTTCTTGTTCATTGAAATTGGTCATTTCACATTGATAAAAGTTGATTTTCAATGTAACCGCTTCTCAAATCTTCATTTATGGAAGATTTGATCTAATTTCTAAAGCTTATGGAAAGAATTTTATTGAAAATTCTATTCTATATCAATTTGTATTATTATTTCTAATGAATTTTTCTTCTGATACATTTTATTCATCGACTTCTTCTCACTTTTTGTACATGCAATTTGAATATCTCGCCGAGCTGGGGAAAGAATACAAAAAGTACACAGGGTTTATGGTTAATGAGCAGATCCGTGTTCCAGCTGGCGAGGCTGTTAATCAGTTATCCAGTGAAGATATTTGCTTGCCGATAGAAAACAAAAATTCTCCAATAATTTTGGCTTTTACGGAAATTCTCAAATCTCCAAAATTCTTGAAGACCTCTCCCAAGATAGTTTTTACCATGTGTTCCGTTGTAAATGGAGAAATTATTCAAGGAAATGCACTCTTAGAAATCATTAGCGCTATGGAATCAGCGGCAGATAAAATGGACATGGAGTCAGGAATTAAAATAATACAAACAGCAACTTCTCTGACGAAATCTCACATATTTGAAGTGAAAATTTTCCAAAGAATTTTGTCTTTAGTGCTATCTCTTTCATCAAACTCGAACGAATACGTGATGGCAAACGCACATGCAGCCTTCGAACAGATTTTGGAAACGTTTATTCAAGTTATTGACGCGCAAACTGACGAATTAAACAAAATCATCAAGTTAGAGATAAACGAAGCGTTTCACAGTGTTGTACAGTTGAAGGAAGATATAACAATTCACGAAAAAGAAGAATATATTTACATTATAATAAATGATTTACTCAAAATTTCAAAATCAAAGCCTCCTTCATGGATAAACAGTCATAACTTATCAAGTAAAATGGCTTACTCCACGTTAGAAGCGATATTTACTCGTTATTCCAAGACATTTATTTCACATCAGCCTCTTTTGATGTTAGTTTCACGTGCTATCGAAGAATCATCGTCAAATACAGTCCCGATCTCATTTACGGTCAATATTTGCTCTTCTTACATTGAAACTTTGCCAAATGACTTTTCAAAACTTTTTTCTTTCCATTTGTCACAAATGAAGCAAAGCCACCAGGAACTACTTTACTCTTTACGGTTTTTCAGACACTTTATTCTCAAAGATCAGTCAAATATTGTCAGATTTTACCATTCTGTAGATAAGACAGGAGAACTGATCACAGATTTGATACACAGCATGCTAATGTTGTTTGAAGAACGCGAGGGACAGATACAAACCCTTCACATTGGATTCCAACAAAATTCAGATTCATTAATCAACACAACGCCAATAGATATCACATGTTTCATCATTAAATCATTATTCCAGACAGCAACGCCTGATTTAGTAGATATAATTCTCAAGATTTGGTCAGATGTTTTATCAATTCTCACAATGGCCTTAAATCTTGCAGATCAGAGCTCATCGTATATACTATTGCAATCACTGCACTTCTTAATTGTACTTGCGAATGATTTAAAGCTTGACGATCCACGAGGTTCCGCGATTTCAACAGTTGTTAACATTGTTGCAGAGGAAAAGATGTACAGTGAGCAGCTAAGGAGCACAGCTATCGATACTATATCAGCAGCGATAGAAGGCAGCCCTCAGGTATTCAATGATCACTGGTCAAGAATCATAAATGCTTTATCTATATACAAAACAGAGCTCAGCGACCTCTCGTTCTCTCTGCAGTTGTCTCTAGAGAATATTATCGAACTCGAGCTAGCTCTCATGTACGTAAAGACCACTTGTAGCGGTGATGAAAGACAATGGGCACTGGACTTCTCAATTGCTCTCCTTTTTGTGAACAAAAACCGTTTTAACGATATATGGCTCTCAATTTCCGAAAACTTCTATGATGGTAGAAATGACACCGCTGATGGATTTATCAATTTGCTGAATGAAATACTATCCCAGGAAACAGAGATCTCGCTTTGCCCAACTTTATACAATATTATGTCCGACAAAACTATGGCTAGCGACACGAGGAAGATGTTTATCAACGCCATATACGTGATTATATCAGAGAAATCCACTTCCATCAAGAAACAATGGCCTTGTATCATAAAATCTTTATCTCCACTTTTCTATGCGGACAAATCGGCCGAATTAGTTGAGAACGCGTTCAGATGCCTTCAATTATTAGTCAGCGATATGCTGTTTTACTTAGAAGAAGAGTCACAAGTCATAACTTACTCATTAGTTTTCGATTTTGTAAAACAGGACGCTGATATCAACATAGCATTGTCATCTCTTACTTTGCTATGGAACGCAAGCTCAAATATCAAAACAGACGAAACATGGAAACATATTTTTAATTCAATCAAGGATGTAATAAGAGATCAGAGGCCGGACATATCCCTTGCAGCCGTTAAAACTTTTTTCTCGTTGATTATCAGCAATTCTGTCAATCTTTCAAAGAATATTTTTAATTATTTGACAGATTTGTTCCCAGAAATCCTTACTTTCATATCAGAAATCGATGTTGCATCCCAGCAACTGTTGATCTACGAGACAGCCCATTGTATTAACACTCTAAAGGCTAATTTCAAGAAAATTGACGACAATTATTGGAATTTTCTCTTGAAAGCCGAAGAAGAGTTCATGATCACGTGCAACAAACATGACACAACATGTCAAGGCTTCATGTTCTACGAGGAATTCTTTTCTGTGACTTTATCCGACGAAATTCACTTCACCTGTTTTGATTCTCTTGACAAACTATGCGAATATTACCTCGAACACGAGTCCTCGAACTGTGTAATATTCGGAAGCTTCGGAAGATTAATTCGCAACATTTTACCGACTCGGAAATCAGCAGATAATGAAGAAATAAAGCGCTGGGTGACTTTGTCGCACAATCTGATATTCGGACTGCACTGTAAGGACTTCCTTCCGCCTACTGTTCATAAAACATTTGATGCAATCGACGAAATCCTTCCGAATACGAACGAAAACACGGAAACTCTCATCAAGCATCTCGTGGAATGTGCAGCTTACGTTGAAAATGAGAGATTAACTGAAGTTTCGCTGGAACATTTGTTATTTATCTGTGGAAACAAGATAAAGAACGACCAACTTCCAATGGTTTTTGATATATGTCAGCCGTTGTTTAAATTGCAGCACTGCTCAACCCTTTTGCTGCATTTTATTGACCGAGATATTGATTATAAAGGTTGCGACATTGAATTATTCTGCCGATCGTTAATCGAAATTGCAGGGACATCCAACACGCAACTAGCTGATAGAGCATGCATCAATGTTTTGAAATTATTTAATTTCACATCTTTAGAAACTAAAAATATGTTCATAGATGTGATCAAGGAACGTCTGAAAACCAATATAGAGATTTGGAAGAGGTTTTTAGACCCAAGAAGTTCCGAATTTGAAAAAGATGTTGCCGAAAAAATCACAAAGAAGCTTCTGTACAACATCGGAGAGCAGATGAGGAAATGTTCCGATGAAGATGAAATTATTGAGTCACTTATTTTCATAAGAGACGCAAAAATTTGCGAATCTTTTGGACAATCTCACATTTTGATAATGTTACCTTATCTTGCTGATTTGGTTCTTCATCCGAATACTGATGTTCGACTTAAGATAAGGGAGGTTCTCCTTCGTCTTACTGAATGAGAAAAAAAATTATAATATTATTTTTATTATTATTCTTAATTATTAAAAGAATTATATTTATGTTTGAAGATTTCAAATTTTGTAGTATTTTTATTTGATTTACTCCCTGAAGACATTGAATAAGAAAATTAGAAGCATTTTTCTTTCATTTCCGCAAGCTTCTCTCTCTCTTTATCTTTATCTTTATCTTTTTCATTGATATTTGTACCATGTTAAAGGAGAAGCTCATCGACCTTTTTTTCCATTTTCATTTTCGTTATTGCAATTCGAAGATCTATTTCTCCATTTGCAGTTTCTTCTTTGATGTTTGTAGCCACAGAGAGAAGAAATTCAACTTTTTTTTTCTGTTGCAATATGAAGAGAAGTTTCTCCAAAATTTGATAAGTAAATCTCAAATTATTATTTTTTATCAAAGTAATATTTACATAAGAATAAAAACAGCAATTAAAGTTAAGGAAATAGCAAAATTACTATTTTTGTTGACAATGCAACTAAAAGCTTCACATCGAAGAATTGCAGATTTTGGAAGGCCGCTTTTTAGAAGATATTCAACAAATTGCTTCGATTTATTCTGGAAAAGAACACCACATCTTAAACTTTCGCAATTTGTAAAAGCATCTTCACCAATAAATGTGACACTTGATGGGATACTTATCTGTTTCAGGCGAGTGCATGATTCAAATGCACGTTTACCAATGCTTACAACACTGTTATCTACAAAGACAACAAATTCAATATAAGCACTATTAATGAAAGCACTTTCTTCAACTTTAACAAGACGACGATCAAAGCTTATATAATTATCCTTGCAGGTTGGTGCATGAAGATATACACTCTTGAAATTGGAATCATAAATTGTACTGTTTTGGCAAACAAATTTTGAACTAACGAAATCACTAATATAGGAAAGAGATGTGCATTGTTCGAATATGGCAGGAGATATACTTGCAAGGTTGCATGTTGATGATATGTCAACATGTTCGAGTGATTGACATCCACTGAAACAATTGGATAATAAACTTTCAACACTATCAGGGATTTTGATTGTTCTTATTGATGTTCCACTGAAACATTCAGTTCCAATTGTAACAATATTATTAGGAATAAGAATTTCTTCTATATTTGTACATCCTTTCATGAACATAGATGGAAGACTATCAAAAGATGTTTCACTATTCTCAAAAGTAATTGTTCGAATTCCACAATTCATTAAGCATCCGGAATCAATGCTTTTCATATGTGAAGATACCCGGAACATAATAAGAGATGAACAATCAGTAAAAACATTCATTCCTAAAGAAATGTTACTTGTACATTCATCAAACGAAGCTCGACTCAAAGATGTGCATCCAAAAAATGCATAATTACTGATGGTTAAAGTTTTTGCTGTAGAAGCAAATGATATGCTTGGAAGTGTTACAATATTAGAAAATGAATATTCACCAAGAGAAGTGAAACTTTCTGGGAATAGGAATTCTGAAGAAAGAATTGTATAACTAAATGCATGAATACCAATAGTCTTAAGCTTAGGGAAGTATGGTATGGATTTCAAGCTTGTACAGCTAAAGAATGCATAATCTCCAATTGTGTCTATTTCAGAAATTCCATCACATTTAATGGTTGTAAGTGATTTTTTTCCAGAGAAAGCAGAGCTTTTAATTTCTTTAGTTTGAATAGGAAGAGTTATTTGAACAGTATCTGGTTTAAGTAACATAGATATTGATGAATTATCCTTTGAAATCATCAGCATTTGGTTATCAATCGTGATAGAAGAATTTCCTTTAAATGTAAAATTAATGTCATTTGATGATGGAAATGCACCTCCACCTACTTCAGTTAAATTTTCTGGTAGAAGAACTGTTTTGAGGAAAGTGTTTAATGAAAATGCATATGCGCCAATGTATTTCACTTTATCAGGAATATCAATAGATGTTAAACCTGAACCACTAAAGCAGGATGCTTCAATTCTTGTAATGGATGGAGGTAAAGTGATTTGTTTGATGTTCGAAGAACCACAAAATGCATACCCTCCAATTTGGGTAACTGATGAAGGAATTGTTATAGATGTGCATTGACAGCTTATAAAGGCACCATAGTTAATTGAAGTGCATCTTGAATCAATTACATATGTGGATACAGAACTCGCAGCAAATATACTAAGTACTCGATAATCTTTAGTATAAACTGCACAACTGTCACTAGTGACAAAAAACTTATTATTTTGATGAACATTGATTGTGCGCATTGTACGTACACCATTAAGAAATGTTCCCATAATAGAAGACACTGACTCTGGTACTTTAAATTCTGTTAGTTTTGTTGAAAAAAAAGCATTGTTAGAAAGTGAATCTAATTTTGATCCTTCTTTGAAGATTATTGAAGTTAATGTTGTCATATCAGCTATTCCATGATCGTATATTTTTAAAACTGATGCTGGGATAGTAACTGTTTGAATTTTCAAATTGGAAAAAGCAAATTGCATAATATATTGAAGACCTTTAGGCAACAAAAGTTCTGTAACAGATGTACATTGGCAAAAAGCATAAGTTTTTATTGATGTGAGCATTGTGCATGATGATAAATCAATTCGTTCTAATTTAATGCAATTATAGAAAGCATATGGTCCAATTGTTACAAGTTTAGGATTGGGCTGAAATGAAAAAGATTTTAATGTATCTTTGCATTGTAAAAAGCAATAATCTCTTTTGTTGTTACCATATATTTCAAGGCATTCACTTGAAATAATAAGATCAGGGTCAGACATTTTAACATCTTTGAGCTGTGTTCCTGAATTATAGTAGAATTTAGATGGTATTAAAGTCATACTAGCAAGATCGCCTTTATTTTTCTAACTTAAAGAAATCAAATATGAATCTATATGTAAAAGAGAGATATAATTTAGCATAAGGGTGTGAGGTTGAATTAGAACTCAGCCTGATACTTTAACGTTTGGGTATATGGATAATGAAGCATTTTAACCGCTGAAACGCGCAAAAAAAAATGGCGGTTTAAGGGTGCACCCGTATGTACGTTTATTTGAGAGGAGGAGGATTACCCTCTCAATTTTGAGGGATTCGTTAGTTTATTTTCTCGATGAATATGCAATAAAATTTGATTTTTACCTTATCAATATACTTCATATAATATACACATGTTCATGTAAAAACTTTTTTCCAAAATCCTCTGGAATTAAGGGATTTTTGAATTTTAAGAATTTTTTTCGAATTTTTTTGAAAAAAAAAATATTTTCAGAACAGCCTTAACGGCTAAGATTTAGGAACAATGTTAAGTATCAAAAAGAAAGGAGGTCTGATATAGACAACATATATCGTTGAAGGTTGAAAAAATCTCTAATATTTGAGCCCAAAATTTCAAATTTTAATTTTTTGAAAAAAGAGGCCACCCGTATGTACGTTTATTTGAGAGGAGGAGGATTATATTTTTGAAAGGGTGAAACATTATGAATATGTTAATTATATAATAATATGTATTATTATAAAAAAGAAAAAATAAAGCACGTTAAAATTTTTCTTTCTTGATTTTTTACAAAATCTACTTAGAATTATGCAAAATATGACTAAATAATTATAAATTTCAAGTTAAATTTTAATTTTGATAATTAATTTAAATTTCAAAATATCAAGTTCAGTTCGACTATGTATGTAGTAATTCCTCAATAAAGTGCCAAAACCCTATTAAAATATATGAACATTTTCAACATTTTAATGTTTTTATTTAAAAATTTGACGGAATATGAGCTTCAAACAATTATTATGTAAATAAAAATAATTAAAGATATGTATTTATTCGTATTACAACCGTAGTAAGTCGATTCTTCCTTTCTTCTACTGAGATTTGAATTTGATTTCGAATTGTAAAGAGATTCAAAGGGAAAATACTAGCGGATAAAAACTACCTCCATGAAAGGGTCATAATGGAGTCAAGTTGTATTTTTTGATATTTTTTGCTTTTCGAGCCTAAATAGGTAGCCAAGATAATGCCTAAAAATAAGGTTCTAAATTCTGAAGTTTACATGGTCCTCTCGTGTGCACCCTTAAAATTTTTTATTGATTTTGGATGTCTTACTTTGAATTACAGTCATCAAATACATGCTGGAAAGCAGATCATGACGGATCTGATATCACTGTTATAAGGTTTTCACCCAACAGCAGACAGCTTGCTGTAGGAACCTTTAATGGCAACGTTTATGTTAGAGATGCGATTACATCCAGATTAATGTATAAAATTGATGTTCTTCATACATCCAACCCTATTACATCAATTAAATGGCATCCGAAAATTGATAATGCTTTTCTTTGTTCATCAGCATCTGGTTATGTTTCCTTATGGCATACTGAAACAGGTCAGAACCTTTGGATGTTCAAAGAAGAAGGAAATGAAACTAGTTCTATTGCAATTTCTCCATCAGGAACTCAATTTACTACGGTCGGAAGTGATAAAGTTGTAAGAATCTATGCAATTCAAAAACACGTGAAACTTTACGATCTTTCTGCTAGAAACTATGATCAAGGTGTTGTTACAGGACATCAATCACGTATTTACGCTGCATCATATCTTAATGATGATGTTGTAGCTACAGCAGGATGGGATGATACTGTTTTATTCTGGGATATTCGTACAGGAAAAGTCGAAAGATCCATTTTTGGACCTCATCTCAATGGAGAATCTATGGCATTTGTCGGAAATAAGCTTATTACTGGCTCAAATAGAGCAGAGAATCAACTACAAATGTTCGATATTGGTACAGGAAAGTGCGAAAAAACAATTTCGATTGGTCGAGCAGGAGATTCACTTCTTATATACTCTCTTAGCATTACAACTGATAGTAAGTTCATTGGTGTTTGTGGTGGAGGTTTAAAGAAGCTCCAGTTCTATCGTTCTTCTGATCTTGATTTAGCAGCTCAAACAGAGCAGTTTGATACACCACTAAACACAGTACACTTTAGTGAATCCAACTTTGGTGTTGGCCTTGGTAATTCTAAGGTTCTTGTTGATAAATACGCGATTGATTAGATTTATATTATTTTATTAGTTAAAATAAAGTATTAATGATATGTTTATTACTATTTTTGAATGAATTAACTGTTTTTAAACTACAAAAATTATGAATCATTGATGAATTCAAATTTCATCGAAAAATTCTAATTTATAAAGAGTCTGTTATATAAGTAATGCTTTGTAACACTATTTTATGATGGAAGAACGAATGACTTTGTAAATTTATTCATCCATTTTTGTTTCATTATTGAGATTTCAGAATTTTGGTGTGAAAAAATAAAAATATTGATAACATATAATAAAAAATACAAACAAAACAATTTATTTCCGAATTTTTGGTAATCTTCTCGCTGATTTTAGAGAATTTGATGCTGAATTGTCTTTAGTTAATTTCTTCTTTGACTTTGTTGGCTGTTGAGTGAGTGGTATCTCTCCAAGGGCCATCTTCCTTAGTGTTTCATCATTTGGTAGCTGAGGTATCTTCCATTTGACAGCTTTTTCTTTATTTTTCAGTGTTTCTTCTGCAATTTCAATCAATTTTTTAATTACATCTATTTCCTTTTGTAGGTTGTCTTTCTGGTTTGTGAGCTCTTCTTGCATTGCTTTAGTTCCATTCTCTACTTGTATAGCTTTACTTTCAGCTTCACCCTTCTTTTTAGTGTCTGCATCAATCTCTGCTTGAACAGACATCATTTTTTCCGAATGGTCTTTTTCAAGTTCTGATTTTTTGACAATTGCGTCTTCTAGACCTAACTGCTCTTCAGCAATCATTGTCTTATAGTCATCTATGGACTTGTGTATCTCGTTGAGCTCACCATGTGTCTTATCTTCGTAATTTTCTCTTTCGTAATTCAGATTTTCAATTTTTTCGTTAATTTGTCCAGTAATTTGACGAACAACACCGAGAGTGTCTTTCACTCTTGACATTTTCGATGTTTCTATTGATAATCTGACGTATTCTCTACGTAATGGCTGCAAAGATTTGTCGTGATGAGCAATTTTGTTACGTTTACATAATGTAGCGACAGCTTCAAACGCAAAGTGATCGATTTGGTTGGATTTAACACCAAGGTATGTAATATTTTCGTTTGGTTGGAGAGCAGCAACCATTTCATAGCATCCGGCCGTTGAAATAAAATTATCTTCAATTATTAGTTTTCTAAGACAGTTGTTTGGCACTAAAGCATTTGCAACTGCAATAGCTCCATCATCTGTGATTCTGCAAGAGCTTAAATTCAGTTTTCTAATAGTTTGATTTTCTCCGATTGTATCTGCAAAAGCGTAAGCTAATTCATCGCCTGCAAAGTTACGAGATAAATTTAATGTGTCAAGCACATGGCCTGACTGCATAAAATTGTAAATAGAATCAACAGCAGATGAATCAAAACCAACATGAGACAAATTCAAAGAAGTAAGGGTATTATTGTCTATCAAAGCTTGGAATAATGATATTATACCATCAGATCCTATTGGATTTTCCGAAAGATTTAAATTAATAAGTTCCCAGCCATCAGCGAGAGCCTGAGCAAATATTTCACATGATCTTTGTGATAATGAGCAATTGCTGATGTCAAGATACTTAAGAGTCTTAATTTGTGATATTCCATTTGCAACTCCAATTCCTTTAGAAAATGTGTTGCCAATAAGCGTTAAATGGCGTAAATTTTGATTGTTAGAAAAGCTAACTTCAAGCATTTTTTGGTCTTCATCGCTCAAATATGTATATGAAGCGTCTAATGTTGATAAATTTGAGCATTTTTCAATGACATCAGATATTAATTGAGATGTAGTTATCTTGTTGTGTCCTTTCTTCGCTTTAGGTTCTACTATTCCTGCCAAACCAAGGCTTCTTAGGGTGTTTGTTTCGATAATTGTAGAAATTATTGTGAAAAGTCCATCAGCTCCGATCTTATTTGCTTGCCATATAAGTTCTCGTCTTCCAATTTGAAGACTAGTAAGTGGTGTTGTTCGAATTATGTCAGATAAAGCTAATGAACATCCATTTCCTAAATCATTGCATCCTATATTGAGATATCTTATTTTTGTGTTCAATTTTAGTATGTTTAGTACTGGAGTTAATCCGGAATCTCTGATTAAATTGTCATAAAGATTTAAAGCTGTAATATTTGGTAAAAATCGCATTAATCTTTGAACTCCTGTTAGAGCATGAACACCAATATGCATACTTTCGATATTTAAAACGTTTTCTTTTAAACCTTTTTGGATTTGATCAATAAATTTCGAATAGTCATCATCCAAGATAGCTTCCTGCTGATCATCTGAGATTTTCATCTCATAAAAATCATCAAGAACGCTCTCGAATGTTTGTTGACTACCAAGCATCAAAAGATTTCACAATTTATAAAATAAAAAAAACGGATTATACGTCAATATAAACTAATAGTATAAATGAGCTGCATACATAACAAAAAGAAAATTACGTCCATTATAATTGCATTTCTATCCAATGAGCAAAAATTGTCATCGCAAAAAGTAATCTCTAGCAATTTGTATATTGCAGAATAGTGGAATACATGTTGGATAGTATGCTACTCATCATATTGTAGGCATATGAGACATAAATTAGCCAAACAACATAAAAAAGCTAAGATATTTGTAGAATCACTAAATATAAAACATTAGATTTGTTTTTAATATGAAACAAACAAAAAAAGAAAAGATATTTAAAAAAATTATTCGAAAAGCTTGAGAATTCCGCTAAAGACACTGGATTGCTTTTGATGATCTAACTTGTAATAATATGATGCCCATTTAATAACAGGAACAACATCCATTATGTCTAATTGTTGCAATGCAGAAATAATTATTGAAAAATCGTTAGATTGCAAGCGTTTTTCAATAACTTTAAGCTGTGCAAGGCCAATGTAAAATGCAAAATTAAGCATTTCTCCTTTATGAGCGAAAATAACGTCCCAAATTAAAAGTAAAGAAGGCATATCGTATTCTTGAGCAAACAACAGATTATACCATCTGTAGCAGTAAACTGCTGGATGTACATTTAATGTTTTTAGCTTGAGAGCAATTTCTGGGAGATATTTTTCAACTAAATGTGTAAACTCTCCAAGTTTGTGTAATATAATGGAAGATTTATCTTGTGTTGTGTACATTTCGTGAATTTGAGTTGATGTAATTAGTTGTTGAAGCATTGTGAAAGAAAGAGCTTCAATAATGTCATGATTATTTCTAAACAATGCCGTAGCTTTAAGCATAACGTAGTATAATGGACTGACAAGTTCGTTGAAGCCTTGTGTGTAACTTAATCCAATATTGAAAGTGCCGAATATGTATAGAACTCTCTCGATACGACGCATATATTTTTGAAAGGGTGCCATGATGTCTTTATGATCAGGATCTTGTTGAACAGGTTCTGGAGGGAAGAATAAAATTTGTCTGCCTGTTCTAACAATATCACAATGAATCTGAGACATCAATTGTTTATTTGGTACATCATATTCCTCAGGAAGCATATGTTCAGGTAAAACTTTATTATGCCATTCTTTAACCTTTAAATCTTCAACGAAATTCCAATAATTATCTATATAGGTCTTACGAACTTCTTCCCATTTATTGGGATTTGTTGGAAATACATCAAGAAGTACAAGCCATGCAAGTGCGCGATCTTCTGGTGGATATTCGGTTAAAGTTGTAAGCGCAATTTCTCGTATTTTCCTAACATCTATAGGTTCGTCATCTGGATTAGGTTGTACCATTGGCATAATCACAAATTCAAGCTCTTCTTTACTCATCAAATTTTGGAGAAATTCAAACGATAGAGAAATTTTATTACAATTGCGATCATAAGGAATCAGAGTTAAGGCTAACTAATAATACCATTAGATAAACTGTCTAACAGCTCAGAGATATATATGGATTATTCAATATATTTTCCATATTCTTGATAAATATTCTTCAAATAAGCAATAAAATGATAGTTTAAGTGGATTATATTTAAAAGCATGTATTATAATGTATTTTCTATCATTTGTTTTTCTTAAATATTTCATTTAATTTTCCAAAAAAATCGTGATTTCGAAAAAATGAACAAAAAAATGAAGCTAAATTCTATCATTTTTATAAAAATGAAAAAATTTTGGAATTCTCACTCTGGATTATGATGATCTATTGCACATATTATGAAATAAATTATCATTTTTTGCATCTCTTTCTACGAATTCTTGTTTTCTGGAAAATTTGTGATAGATCAAACTGATATTTCGGATTTGAAACAGAATGCATAGCCACTACCCATCAATGTGTAGTTATCATGCGGTTTATGATATTGTTTGATCGTTTGTTCAAAATATAATCCGTTTTTTTCACAAATTTAAAATAGATTGTGATTGATTACGGAATATTTTATAAACGAATTCTAAGATTAAGAATCATATAATATATAATAATGAGAACACAAATACAATGTAAATAACCGCTAAATATCCCTTCATTATTTTGAATTTTCCTCAATTTTTTTTTTCGGTATGACTTCCTTAGAAACGCTTGCTAAGGAATTACAACTACCGAAAGATGTAGCAAATTATGTAACTTTCATACCTCAAGGTAATTCTGATAATGGAAGTCCACTTGTTATTCCTGCAAGTAAAATCGAAAAAATTTACACGCAACAATTAGGGAGATTGACAACCTTCTATCATTACAATCTCGTGGCAAAACCCATACGTAAAAAAAGACTTACTCCTTATTATAATATGTTAAGAGGTGAAGCCAATTTGTTATATCATCAATTGTTATTTCTCGAAGAGAAGATTTATAAATCTCTAAAGAAGAAACATCAAGAATCTTTAAGAATGTTATCCTCAATTATTGAGTTTTTAAGCGAAAACAAACCAAAAAACAATGGCTTTTTTCTATATATCGATGATTCACGACTTTTTTCAGATTTACTAGAAGAATCACCAAAATCACGGAAATTAAATATTGCTTATAGACTTATTTCAGCTAAATTAGATAAACTTCTCTCAAAAAGAATTTCATTTGAAGAGGCAAAGAGTAAACTAAGCGCAATTATACAAAAACAATCGAAATTAGTTGATTCTGTATCTATGAATACACCTCTCACTTCTTTACAGTCTGATTTTGAAGAATTAATCATGGCCGAGGTTCTGCCTTTTGCAGATTTAGTATCTAAAGTGATAGATTCATTTTACATGGGAAATAGTGATGTTTTTATTTCTACAATTATTGAACTCGTGTCAAATATTTTAGAATTTTTAAGAATTTCTTATCCGAACTCAGAATCAGCAGTATCGTTTCTCCTTTACAGATTTATATTCAGTGAAGTTTATCCAACCAATAAATACTTCATTGTTGACCCAGATGCGAACGAAACTCCAAAATTATGGAACTTATTTAAGATTGAAGAATTATATTTACCATTAGAGTATTTCCCAAAGTGCGATTTACATAAATTCCCCTTTGAAGTTTTTAGATTAGACCCTTATTATATTATGCCAATTTCTAAGTTCGAAGATATCATGTTTTATACAAACCCTTTCGATATAATTGGTGTAGTATGCGATACCATTACAGAAATAGAAAAATGCGCATCTCATTACGATTCAAACCAAACTTTAGTGTTTCCGTTTGAAGTCACGTTTGGCCTGTTCTTGGCGGTTGTTTTTTCTTCAAATGTTACAAATATTTTTAACCTTGCAGATTTTGTAGATTTTTATACGCCAAGATCGGGTTTAAGTTCTAAATTTGAATACGCTAAAGCAAAAATAGTTGCTGCGGCCGCTCATATTCAGGAATTGATTTATGCAAAACAAAATCCTGAAAATAATAAATAAATTGTATGAATTTGTTTTATTATAATTACCAAAACCTTTTTCCCATCCTAGATAAACATCCTCTATGATGTTTTGTGTTCTTAAAAAATGGAATTTGAAAAAATTTTATCCGACTTTTTTCATTTTTGAGAAACTTTTCATACAAAAATTGATAAACAATGCAAATGCAATATTATTTCAATATTATTTCAAAGGAAATTTTACTGGACGTTTAAAAATGCTTCTTGCGGAGCTTTTTCGTCTCCTCAAGTCGCTTTTACCAGTAATTCCATTATTTTCATGTTTGTATCTATTGATCATATATGGAAACTCTTTTTGGAACGTTATAGCTGGTTATTGCCATTTAATTCTTTCGATTTTATGGGGATTATCTTCTCTATTTTGTCTTTGGACATCAATCAAATTATATAAGAAGAGAAACTCAAGAACAAAAGGAAATTTCGTTTTTGCCGTCTTAATTACAATTTCATTCGGATTAATGCTTATATACCAGACAACTTCTCAAAAAAGACAAGAATATATCTCCAAAATGCAAGTATTTTTATCATTAGACTCATCTTCATCACTAAATACTATATTTACAACTGTTTATCCAGCAACACACATTCAAGAGTTCTTTATTTATAGAAGAACCCTTGAAGCACACGACGCTTTACTAGCAATCCTCATGATTTGGATAGTTCTTACAATAATTCTCGAAAAATACTCTGATTCCATTATAATTTTCTTAGGAGAGGATATTCTTCCAAATTCGATTATTTCATCTCATGATGATGAAGATGAGAAGCCTGTCGAAAAGTCAGAAACAGAAAATCATACAGAAAATCTTCCACCACAAAATAATACACCAAAACCAGCTGTAAAACCAGAAACTAAACCGGAAGAAAAGCCACAAAACAAAGAGGTAGAACAACAACCGCAAAATGAGGAAGAAGAAGAAGAGCACGTTGAAGAACAAAAACATGAAGAAGAGGAAGAAAAAGTACAGAAACCTCCGAAGATTATTACTAAAACAATTTCAGATTCTGATGATGATAAAATCATTAACCAATGGGCAGGAAATTCACCAACAGAGTCCAAATCTCCAACGCGTGGAAGGAGAGGAGGAAGTAAGACACCAACACCAGTCAATCCACAGTCACCAGCTTTCTCAAAGGAAGAAAAACAGAGTCCTCAGCCAAGGAAGAAACGCGCTACACCTAAAAATGCTGATGATAGCATTGTTTTTGCAACAGACACAGATGATGATACATCAGAAAAAATCGAGTTCGCAACTTCTGATAGTAAACAGAGCAGCGATCATATAAGCTTTGCAACGGAATCAGAAGATCAACCAACAAAACTCAAGAGCGATAAAATAGATTTTGCTTCAGAGAGTGATCATAAGAAAGATAGCGATGAATTAATATTTGCATCTGAGTCAGATAATAAACCAAAGCCTAAGCCAAAGCCAAAACCTTCTCCAAAGCCATCTCCAAAGAGACCTCCTCCAAAGCCTGCAAAGTTTGATGATGACGATTCATTTGCAGCCCTTCTTGATGAAGTAGAAGATAAACCACCTAAGAAACAACCGCCAAAACGTTCACCTCCGAAACCAAGTAATCAGCAGATGAGGCAACTAGATTTTGAATCTGATGATGACTTATTGGCAGGTATATCATTTGATTAATATTTTGTTTGAATAAACTACTGTTATGTTTATAAAGTGAAATGTATTCAGCTGTCATAGACAATCGATATCTTTATCAAATCTCTTTTACTTGAATAATATGGCCAAATTCATGCACAAAATAATGGAAAAGAATAGCTTTATCGAATTGCATGATCATTTATATATAATTTTTAATTCGAAGAGAATTTACTTCGGCAATTTCAGTTTTTGAACATATGATATAAATAGCGCCATGATTGGAATTAAATTAGCAATGGCGAATCTCTTATTTCTTGATGAGATGCAATAAACTTGATGCAAAATGGAAAGTTTCAATTCAATAATTTGGAATAATGAAAAGAAACAAAGTTTAAATATGATTGTGAAGGAAATTGATAAAATTTCTGAACAACGAAATTTCAAATTTCGATTCGAATTTTCTTTCTGATTTTCAAACTAATAAATGGTAAATTCTTTTTTAGCGTAAACAAAGGGAATAAGCATGCTTAGTTTAAGATGTTGAACAAAAATATAATGTCAACTCCTTAGTGATAGTGCTTAACGTGGTAGCCTGGGCGGTAACCGTATTTCTTGTAGTCAGAAGAAGAGGATGAGGAGGATGTCCACTTGCCGTTAGCCTTATAATGTCCCTTACGGTAGAAGCCACCTGGGTAGCCTGGTCTAGCATAAGCGCCTGGATAGGCTCCTGGAGGTGGTGGTGGGTAAGCACCTGGTGGGTAGGCTCCTGGTGGTGGAGGTGGGTACATTCCTGGGCCAGCTGGTGGAGCTGGGTAAGCGCCTGGAGGATAAGCTCCTGGAGCACCTGGTGGATACATTCCTGGTGGTGGTGGCATTCCTGGAGCTGGGGCATATCCTGGCTGTGGTGGATATGCGCCAGGTGGTGGTACTGGGGCACATGGAGGAGCTGGATAGCCTGGCTGTGGTGGATATGCACCTGGAGCACCTGGTGGTGGATAATAAGCCATTGTTATATCAAATGAAGTGATAAATAGTTTACAAACTCTCAATTTCGTTGAACAATTCAATTTTAAATTTTGACCGTTGCAAACTAGGCATTTACCGATCAATGTTACATCCAATTCGATAATTTTTTTCCCTAACTTAAAATCATTTGCCTGAATTTGGTTTTTTATTTTTTATTTTTTCAATGCAATGATAGTCTAAACTAAGAAGCTAATCATATTCAATACGGACTATCAAATTAAAATGATCGATCTCATATAAGATCGCTGGGAAGATTTGGGGATTTTTTTTCTCAGTTCAACGAATCTATCGTAAATAATGAAACATATCTTTTAGATTATTGAAATATAGCATATGCGAGACATAAGCTAGTAAAAAACTCATTTCTGATATCAAATCTCTATCAATTAAATTCCAATTCTGGCATGGGTAGTATGGGTAATATTTAGACTCATACAGATAACATCATCCACATAAATGGAGTTATTTTATTTGATATAATTTCAAATTATTTATTTTTAAGGTCTCCAATGTTCATTTATAATAAAGTACTAAAACATATTTTATGTATTTGATAAATAACAAACAAAATATCGATAAATTGCTTTATTCATTGATTTGTTTCCGAAAATTAAAGTAGTATCGATGAATTCGATTGTTTGATTAATAGGTAATTCCAATTTAGTAAAAGACAGGTATAAATCGAAACCTTTGAGTACAGAAATGTTGCAACGTCTGTTTTTTTTTTTATGTGTTCAAAATAATATAAAATATAATCTGTCCATAATGAAAATAACATATAAATTGGGAAATAAAATTTATGAAGGAAACGTAAACTATCACTCGGGAATCAGTTAATTAGTTACCTGTCGCTAATTATATAGGAATTTTAAGTTTTCACAAATTCAGGCCAGGTTTTTGAGAAAACACATGATTCATTAATATGATTTTGCACTTCTTTAATATCAAATTTTGGAAATGATTGAACCATTGCGTTAACAATTCTTACAAAAAATTGAATTCTTTTCAAAGTTTATGATTTGTATTTGCAATTTTTTCACAAATCATTAATGTAATTAATATTTAGAATAAAAAAATTTTTCACAAAAAGTGAAATAAATATAAATGGAATATCAAGGAAAGAAGAAGAACTGCTGGCAAAAAATAGATGGAACTAATGGAGTTATTGCAATCATCTCTTGCCTCTTATGGGGTGGCTTATGGGTTTTGAAGCCTACGCCACTTTACGTTCCTCCAAATGATTCAGGTTCAAGTTTTCCAAAGGATGAAAAGAATATTCTTCCTACAGCTATCATGGGTGGTGTCCTTGCCGCAGTTTTCGTTGTAGTTTTCATTGCTGCTTGGCTCTTAAGCAAATTCTTCCCAAAGTATTTTGCTGATTTCAACGGATGGACATTCCTTTGGGCTTTTGTTGCCGCTGAAGGCATAAGTGGTTTCACAGTTTCCATTTTCAAGAACTACGTTGGACGCACTCGCCCAGATCTTTACTCAATCTGTGGATCCCAAGAAATCAATCCAAGTGATCCAAGTACATGCCCAGGTCTTTCTGCATCCGAGTTTAAAGATCAGTTCAGATCGTGGCCATCCGGTCACTCCCAAACTGCCATGTCCGGATTTGTTATCATTGCTTTCTTCGTTCAGAGAATCATTAAATCAAAGAATCTCGTCGGAACATTTTGCGGTTCTTTATTCATAATTTTGGCCATTTGGTGCGGTGCTACTAGAATTCGTGATTACAAACATCGTCCAGATGATGTTTTGGCCGGATTCTTCGTTGGCTACATCTTCGCACAACTTGTTTGGCTCCAAATGATTGGCAATGTCTTCCCAGAAGAAGATTTAGGCCAAGATAACAAGGATGACAAGTCTCTTCCAGATAATGAAAATCATCAATATGATTTATAATCGATGCTAATTACTACTTATATTATTATTATCGGTTATATAAAAATTTTTGTTATAATTATTATTATTTCATTTCATATTAATCGTTCATATATACTTCCAATAGAGAAATGAGTTGCAAATCAATATTTAATAAACAACAGTAATATATTTAAATGAAATAATATCAAAAGGAAATTTCACCGAAATCAAATACTTATGCTAATTATCATTAGTATTATTACATGTCACCGAAATTTAGATGACTGAACTCGGTTAGTTTCTCCAATGTAAGCTCTTTTTCAATTTTCTTGCAATGTCTAGACAGAAAAGCACACTCAGAGCATATAGTTGATACAAATCTAACTGAATCTCCAAGGTTGGCATATTTAGAAGGACAATTGCAAATATTTAAGAAATGTGTGATTGTTGTATCTTTGACGTTCTTCGAGGTAGCAATACAATATGCAAATAAGCAAACAATCTTTTTGAAATCATTTCTGATGAATGTATTAATATAATCTTCTTTGAATGTGTGTGAATCAGCTCCCTTGGCTATCTTTACACCATCAATAAGTCTAGCATATGTCTTAGATGAATAGAACTCAAACAAATCTTTATCTGGCTTTAACTCACAACAATAAAAAATTTCAAATTCTAAAATTCTTGATGGATGAAAAACAAGTTTCCAAGCTTTCTTTTGAGCAATATCTTCATGCTTTCCGACAGTGTCCTTATCAATTTCTGTATCGTCTACATAATATTCAAAACAAAGACGTTCAAACAACTCGAAGGCAAGAAATGTAATTTGAGGAGTAAAAATAGGGCTTGTGTAGTGCATTAGTCGATCTCTAATTCTTGGTCCCTCTGGGAAAAATAAAATATCCGAAATAAATTCAGAAATATCATTAGGAAATGCTGGTAAGCATTCCTTAATTGATAGAAAATGTTCAGATGATGAAGCACAAAGTCTTGTATCATCTAAATTAAGCTTTTTGACAGCAAATACTCTCATTGAATGCTCTAATATGGGAAATAGCAATAATAACGCATCATCAAACAAATTATCATTATATAATTGATATGCTTTTTGAAGAACTGGCATTCTTCCATCATTTTCAATTTGATAAATAAATTTCGAATTTTTGATTGAATCAAAGCCCGAAAGGACGAAATCGTTGATGCTTTTTTTATCAATATGGAATAAAAGGATCTTTGTTTCATCTTCAAACAAGAAATCTTCATACTTTCTGAAGTGAATTTTTTCAGATAATTTTGATTTGATTCCAGACAAAATTGGATAAGCAAGAGAAGGATCTAAAGAGAATCCATGCGAGAGAACATTACGAAGGTTTAATCCTGTTGGATCTGCGCATGTTGCAAGGATTGTTATAATTAGTTTTTGGTCTAAAACTGATGTGGATTCTTTGGCACGAAGAGCTTTTGAAAAATGATGTGGAGCTTCTTTATTTGGAGGCCAAAGAGATCTTCTTATATTGAATTCTATCTCTCTAAATAATTTTAGTGTTTCAATATACATTTCAACATTATCTTCAAATTGAGATCTAATTATTTGGCCCAAAATTTCGGCAGCTTGATGTGGAGTCATATCTTCCTTAATTAGAGCATATGCTTCTTCAAAAGTATACTTTCCAGTTGATTGTAAAGAAGCAAGTTGAGGAAGAAGGAATTTTAAAGTATCAATCATGTATTTTTTGAAAAAGTGACATACCTTTTTTTTTCAGAAGAAAATTTTGCCATCATCTGCAATCTATCAAATTCCATTTGAGTCACATTAAACTCTAGAATATGTATTTACACAAAAATTCTACTATGTTATATTCAGCAAATTTGTATTATCACTCTGATCAAATCAAGATGTGTATTGTTTTAAAGTAAAAAGAACATTAGAGTAGAATATAAATAACTCATTCAAGAATATAGTACTTTGACCTAACTGCGCATTTTCATTGAACTTCATCAAATAATTGATAATTTATTTGGAATTGTAACATGAAAACATAATAATTTGATATCACTAACATATAAAATTACTTCGTATCCTAGATATGCTGTAGAAACTATTAATTGAACATTAAATTGAAAAATTTCTACAAATATATATATTTTTAATAGATATCAATAAAAAATTATTTAATTTAAAACCATAATAAACAAATTTTGTTTAAATAAACAAATAAAAAATAAAAATTCAACAATTATTTTTGTTATTTGCATTTGGATCGCACAAAAACGCATCAGATTCGAATCTCTGCATGAATCCAAGTGCATTTACATTGCAAGTCAATCTCTGAATGAGAATTGTATCTTCAGGCAACTGATATTCTTCATTTTGACTTTCCAAACACAGCAAAACTACATCAACACTTTCTCTTACATACTGGTCCTCATCATTCTTCATATCTCTCAGTTTTTCAATATATTCACTTTTTTCAATTTCATCATTCGAAATCAACAACTTTGCCATTGACCAAACGCTCTGGCATCTCACGACAGCATTTGTATCATCCATCATATTCCTTACAAGGTCAATCGCTTCTCTTTCTCTTGCATTTGACATCAAAAAACAAATTGATGCTCTGACGTCACTTTTTCTTGATTTTACCAAAGGAGAAAAAGAAGAAAACCATTCTGGAATCTGCATCAGCCTTGATGCTCTGTTTAGAAGCATTCCCATCAAAAGAGCTGAATATGGACAGCATACATTGGCTTTATCAACGCAAACCGTCATTAATTTGGAAAATGAGTTTAAATTTGACAAACTCATCGACAAACAAACATCTAAAAAGCCGGCTTTCAACACTCCTGGATCCTTAGACTGCGTAAATGTAAGAGATGAGTAATTCTCAAAAGGTGTCACTTTTTCTACCGAAATTGTTTTTGCAACAATGACTAAAGCTGTTGCTGATGGTCTTTCCGACATTGCTATGATGTCTGGTATCGATGTTCTCGCTAATGTTGAGGCCGCATTCTCTGTTTTGTCGATGTAATTTAATAAAATTTTTTCTGCATCGCGGTGGAAGTCCGTATTCATGAAGAAAGAGAAGATCGGTAATGTATCTGTTGTAGGGAAGTTCGCAAATGACTTTGAGAATAAATTGAAGACTGTTGAAAGAGATCTTTCTAATGGCATCGTAAGGAAACAATCTAGAGCGGTATCCCACATTCCCCAGAGATCGTGGTTCGACATGTTCTTCAATTCAGGGAATGTTGATGGATGTAAATTGAATGAATTGTATATTCTTTGCGCAAGTACGAATCCTCTTGTAATTGTAAAGACGCTGGGGTCTAAATGGAATTTGTCGAAGACTGATTGTGACTGTGAATCGAAAAGAATGGCTTCAAGTATAGTTTCGAGGAATTTTTGAATTATATGTGGAGATTTTTGAGTTGCGCAGCCTTCTTGCTCGATTACATTGCTGTGATGGCGACGGTGGAACCAAAGAGCGGTTTCGTATGGCGTTAATAGGCAAGATGAGAATAAATCAAGTGGTGCATCAGTAGACATCGGTAGCATCTCAGAAGCAGCGCAAGCAAAGAAGATGAACGAGTCAGATTTCGATGCGAAGTGTTTTGTGAGACAAGCAGCGCCAGGGGCGTCAATAATTACGCATAATGGACAAGGACAAGTTGCAAGGATGGTAATCACTTTGATTGGCTTGTACCGTGATCTGTCATCAGAGAAGAAGTATAAGGATCCGTCCTCTGTTGGAGGATGGCAGCCATGGCCAAAATAATGAATCAAAATTCTTTGTGGTGGCATTGATGACGCGTGTTTTCGTAGCATAGCAAGAACATTTTGAGCGGAAGGATCTACAATCATTTCGCATGGGCATTGAATTGCGGCTCGATAAACATCTTGAACCACGTGTTTCGTTTGCGGAGCATAATAAGTGGGGTCAAATGTTAATAATGGTCTTTGAATTACAGTACGAGGCTTTCTAACTAATCTTCTGATCGAGGGATTGCGTAATCCATCAAATAGGCACAAAAAACTTAAAACTGCTTTAGTTTTGTTACATGCTGGTTGAGGTTGATTAAAACTAGGCATTGGCCTGGGAAAAGAAATCGGAGCTCGGCCTCCAAGCTGATTTCGCGACGTTTTTATAATTTGTGAATAAGGCAAATTTGAAAGAAAACTTTTTAAAAAATTGAATTATAAAATTCTACGGGTGCTAAGAAAAATGTTTTTTTCAGATATAATTAGCTGATTAATTCTTTTGCTACTTTCATAATTCTTCTAATTTATTTTCATTTTGGAATAGATTTCTTATTTCATTTTTCATATTAACCTCAATTCTTTATCTGTTCATGGATTTCTAGGGAATAAGTTTATTTTCGATTTGAAATTTTAATTATTTACATCTTCGATTTCATGCATCGCAAAAAAGTTTCGATGTATAGGAAATTAGAGGCAGCATCAGTATTAGCGTGATCTATATAAAAAGATAAACAAGCAAGATTTATGTATTATCTCAACAAATTTCTTACCGAAATATTTTTTTCAGCCAAATCTTGATTATATAAAGAATGCAAGCACATCAATGAATTTATATCGAATTATAATACTTACAAGCATTCTCTAATAAGATGAACTTGAAAATATCTATTTATTCAATTTCCAGAATAATTCGGGAACAGGACAAATTTGCCACACGGCACTTTTTTTTAAAAAAATTAATGGAGCGGAGCGATACTCTGCTGCAGGAGCCCCAAGGCTCCCAATCATTACGAAAGGGAGCCTCAGGGCTCCTGAGAATCCATCAGCAGAGGCCTTTTCATTTGGCCTCTGCTGATCAAAGATTCGGCGAAGCCATTCTTCGTCTCAGGAGCCCCAAGGCTCCCAATCATTACGAAAGGGAGCCTCAGGGCTCCTGACAATCATCTTTGAGAAGGTTTTCTTAAAGAAAACCTTCTCAAAGATGATTGTCAGCATTCACTCAAAATCTACCAAGAGTTTCAAAGTTTCAAATCTATCTGAAATGAAGCTTTGAATCTATTGTATATCTAATTGTAGAGGTACCTTTTCAAAATGTCTTCTATTGATTAAATTTAATCAGTAAAAGTCATTTTGAAAAGGTACATCTCTATAATTGCTATTGAGCATTCACTCTTGGAACCTTGGAGCTCTTGTGTAGTGCATGAAAACTCCAAGATTCTAGCATAAAACATATATCATAGACATAATTTCTTCAAATATAATTTAAGGTTATTTTTAAAAATTAGAAAAGCATAATTTAAGGTTATTGAAAAAGTAACACTTGGCAAATTTGTCCCGCACTCGAATAATTCACGACACAGCAAGTGGAACTTTTATTATAGTATTCGTCCAAAGCCATTTTATTGTAGCAAAATCGAATCATATGGCAAAAATAAAGATATCTTATAAAATGGAAAAAAATATCATACCAAACAATGACAATAAGTATATTTCTCATTATTCCATCCCACTATACTTCTAAATAAGTCAGAATATATAGAACTTATGAAATTTATTTGAAATGAGGACTTTCTCATCGTTTTTAATTTTAAATGAATATCCTATCTTAAAATAGAGATGATGAACATTCTATAATATATTATAATAAACAACTAATCAGTTTACTCGAATCTATGTGTTGAGAATGAAGTTGAAAAATTATTATTGAATGATATTGGTATAGTTTATCGTCTACGATGGATTGAACGTTTAAAAACATTAAAATGTTCAGATGAATTTCTTGTTTTTGCTTCTATGAAACAATTTTCTGTGTAAAAATGGTGGAAATTATTAAAATTATGATCTTTTGTTAGACGATTAAATGAAACAGATCCTATTGTTGAATTTGATTCAACATATGTTTCTGAAATAGTCAAAGTGTAACGTTTGTAATATTGCTCAAACATGTAAACAGCAGTGTTATTTAAAAATATGCAGCGCTCGACATTAGTTGTACAGCCACATATAAATAGAACTTGTTTATTATCTGTTCCACATCTATTTCCAATAACATTGCAATAAGAAACATTTTGAGTTAATGAAGTAGAAGAAGCGGCAAATGAGAGTGATTCACTTCCAGTTTAGTTGTTTTCTCTGAATGTTGAGAAGTTACATGTCACAGGAGCTCCATTAAGGGTACTACCGTATGATGAGCACATACCGCATTTGTTGTTTGTGATGTCGTTATTCTCAAAACGGATATCACCATATTCTAGACAGAATGTATAATATCCTTTGTATTCGCTTTGACCGCATAAATAAACTGAAACTTGGAATACGTAGTTTTTATCGGGTTCATAATATTTAGTTTCTTGATAAAATGACATATCATTTATTTGGGAAATTGATTTGTAAAAACAATTTTGTTGTTGGACAAACTGTCCATTTGAACAGAAATAGTAAATAGATCCACCACTATATGTGGATTTACAATTACTAAATATTGAGAGTTCAACTAATACACAAGGTTCGTAATCATCAAAGTAAATTGCTCCGTTTTCTTTACAATTGAAGAAGAAACAATTAGATATGGTGTGAGAACTATGGTCTGCGAGGTACATAGATAGAATCAGAACCTCGCAGACTATAGTTCTCTATATGGCGCCGAAAATTTTTGGTGAAATGTCGTGGCATTTCACCAAAAATTTTTCGGCGCCATAGGAAGAATTGGAGGGTGTGAGATACTATTACATGCTATAGTACTCACACCCTCCAACTCCCAATCAAAATCGCATAAAATTTGCTACTTATCTTCAGATTACCTCCCATTATAAAATATATCATTGCTATCTCATTGTACTATATTTCCACCCTATTGTATTTAAAAATATAAAATTTTTTGATAATATATTTTTATATCTTGAATTTTCAAACAATATATTCACAGATAATATAATGGGAAATCTATCTCAACCTAGCCTTAAAGTACCAAACTCCTGCTTGCATTCTCACTCACAAATATTAAACATCCATCTCCAAAAACTAAATTCTTCACAATTTTTTTAAAATTGAGAACATAAAAAACGTATGCATTCAATAATTTAAGATACTAACAAATATTAAAAACTTCAAAATATCAGATATTAACGTTTTTCAATTAAAAAAAATATCATTTTGCTTTTCAACTCGAACATAAATCTTAAATATTTTTAATTAATATCTGATTTACAGCATTATTATCCATTTATAAATCTGACAAATAAATGACAAAACCATCAGAAATAGTGTCACTTTTCTTCAAAAGTGAAGTCACACTATTTTTCATGCACAACAAAATTATGTTTTTTGACAAAAAATGCCATTTCATCCAATTCATATCTGAAATCATATATTTTATCGTCGATATGCATATTCACATGATATATTAATGAATCTGAAAGTATTATCATTATCCGATTTTTTGTGACACAAAATAAATTTTATCTTTTTTTCTCAAAATTAGAGAAATTTAATTTTTCCCCTCTTTGAAACATGTTTTAATAAAAATTAAAGTTATAAAAAAGAAATGACATTTTTTAAAAGAGAGAATATAAAAGAAAGATATATAATAAAGTTAAATGATACCAAATGTGTTGCATTCTTTGATAGCGAACTGGAGTTTCTTGTTGAGTTCATCTTCTGTCTTGTAGTAAGGAAGATCAAGTGTGTTCATGCATGTGTGTGCAACAGGTAATCTATCTGCGTCACCGCCTGGTTGGATAGTGATAGGATGCGAGTCTTTCAATGTGGCGAAACCTCCAATAGGAATCTGTGAAGATCCTGTGATGAACAACAAAAGTTTTGCAAGATCTTCACTTGACCACTTTCTAATTGCAGAGAAGAAGAACTTAACAACATCGGAATCTTTAGTAAGAGGTCGAGTGATAACACAGTTCTTCTCCATGTCGTCGACATCAACTTCTGGAACTCCACAAATCAACAAATCAAGTTCGTTTGGTGAGAACATAGACAAGTCTTTCTGAGGAATCAATGAATGGAATCCTTCAAGGAACGAATCAACTTGTGTTGAGATTTGACCACGCAATCTGTATTGCACCATCAAGTTGACGTATTCTTCTTTGTTTTTGTTATCAACAGCAATTTTTGCACCGTCTGGTTTGAGATTTGCTGCTTTGACACGGCCGAGATAATCATAGTTATATGTGAAATTCAAGTCAAGACATGCGTCTTCGATGTCGTTCTCCAGTATCCACTGCAATGAGTTGTGCAGTTGTTCATCGACATCTTCCAAATCACGCAATGTAACTGGAATTCCTAAGATGGCTTTCAAAATAGACATTGTCAGATGGGCGTCCAAATATTGTTCTTCGATGATTGCTTTAGCCATGATTCTTCCTGCGAACTTGAAGTACTGTTTGTGCTCCATGTAGTTGATGTTTGATGCTGGGTTTGGCTGGAAACTTCTTCCGTTCGCTGATGGTGCGAAAAGAACGTAATTTGGATTAAACAACTGATGGATCAAACTAGTGAACCAATCTCTTGTTACACCGCCAGCATCGTATCCTTCTTCGCCGCGGAACATCACGTGCAATCTGCTGAGCATTCTGTCGGGAGGAATCATCGCTAACTGCTGGAATGAGTCCTGTAAAACATCATCACGACGGACATTGATTCTCAACATTCCGCCTGTTCTTCGCTTCTTTAATTCGTTCCTGAAACATGCAACTTTCTGGTCGAATGCAAGTAACTGTGGGAATCGCACGAGGAACTTAAGTTTTGTGTCTAATAGTTTAGGAGTCTTTGCAATCAAATCGTTCAAATAATCTTTATGTTCGTTGATAATTGACCAGAATTCAGGGTCTGAATTGTAAATTTGAGGGGGAATTTCGAGACCTTCTTTCGGTGTCTCGAATGTAGAATTCTGCGTGACTTTCTCTGGTGACAAACAATCAAACAATGAGCCCATCAAATCTAAACAGTTGTCACGTTTGTCAGTGTCTTTCAAAATTGACTGTAAAAGTGACAACAATTGAGGTCTCTTTTTAACGACGATGAACTTGAATTTGTTGATTACTTTGATCAAGTAATCTGTCCAGTTCTGGTCATTGCCTTTCTTTGACAAAATCTTGTCAATCGTGGTCATAATGACAGGTGACACTTTTTCAATGATCACTTCACTTTTAGAAGCAATTTGTAATGATGCGAAACAGATATCAGATTCAGAAGAACTCTTTGCCAATGCGAAATTGAGTAAAAGTGACAATTTCGGTATCAAATTTTCTGTTATTTCATTTGGCAAAATTTGCAAAGTTCTGAAACATCTAAGCAAAATTTCATCATTATCTCTTATCTCCGGTTGAAGAAGTCTGTCAATCAATATCTCGCAGACAATGTCTCTGAAGTTAATAGGGAAATACTGAGTTGTGTTCATGTACTTAAGAATCTTCACAAATTTTGAGAGGTCTGTTTGGTTGCATTCATTAATTTCAGAAGCAATCAAAGACAAAATAGACATTGCAGTCATTTCATCTTTACTTAGAGCTGTCATTAGTTCTATTATGTCCTTAGCGTATTTAGAGTTATCCGGCTTCTTTATTTCTACCATTAAAAAGTCGAATAAGTCAGGAACCATCAGCAACATCATTTTCAGATTTTCTGGTGTTGCTTCTTCTTCTTCCTCGTCATTTTCAACTGCAAGGAGTTCATTAATTGTCTCAAAGAGCATCTTGTAATGGGAAGGAGTCAGTAACATGCCAGGAGGTTTAGTTAAGAAAGGAACAACCCATGATGGTTTTCTTGCCAAAATTCTTCTCATTTTCGGTGTGATTTCTTTGATTGTTTTCGGATACAAACTGTGCCAAACTCTGCTCTGTTGTCTTCTTGTCAAATTAAGGAATGCTTCTTCGGAAACTCCTGGAGGGACACAGATTGGTTCTCCTGGCAAATTCTTTGCTAATTCAAGTGCTTTGATCACTTTTTGTTTGTTGTTTATTGGATTTTTAGGTGAATCATCCAAAATATCACTCAATAACTCATTTGTCTTCTTGTCAGAAATAAATGTCAACAAAGTATCACATGAATAACTGACAATTCTGTTATAGAACAATACAATTTGTCCTGGAGATGATTCTTCGTATGGTTTTGCCATGTTGTTCATCAATTCGTCTAAAACAACTGCGGAATTCTCTTTCAATGAACAAATACATGTGAAATAGTTGCTGGCAAGTCCATATAACATTTTGACAATAACTTCTTTGATTTTGTCATTTTCAAACGGTTTTGACAAAATTTGAGTGAAAAGTGACGGAAATTGATATTTACAAAGTACAGACATAACAATTATTTGCAGAGGAGAGTACATCTGTGCCTTGAGAAGTAACAAAATGGTCAATAATTTGCCTGTCGATAGTTCTGGCAATTTTTCAATCAAAGGAATCAAAAATTCATCATCAAATGAAGGAATTGCTGACAAAGCAATGAATGTTTGGAATGAAAATCCTATTAACGATGCCTCTTCTTCACTTAATTCATCTGTAATCAATTTGGGAAGTTCATCTGTCAAATCGAAAATTTGAGAGCAAAATTCGGTTATTGACGGTTTTAATTCAAAGAAAATTTTTGGATTCTTATTAGCTATTTGGTTCATTAAGTAAACCAAAGGTAATGACTTTGATTTGCAAGCTTTTTCTATCAAATTTTCCAAAAACCTCTTTGAAAATTCAGAATTATCAGGTAATTTCAAAGGAGAACTTCTTCTTATCAACATATCTGTTACTTCATGTGCGTAATAGATGTCTATGGCTTGAGAACCAGTATCTGACTCGAATTTCATGTCTCTCACTGTTCTACTCAATGATTCAGCCGAAATACAGAAGCAGTCAGAAATTAGATCGAAATATTTGACAATACTAAACAATTTTGTTGTTGGAATCAATTTTTCAACAGCTTCAAACAAATTATATTTCGTTTTTTCTGTGTTTTGCTCTGGTTCTTCTTCCTCATTGAACTGATCGTTATCTAATAGATCAGATGGTAATTTCCTCTTGTTTTTCACTGTTTTGATCTGTGATAATAATTGAGAAGATGTAAAGTTCTCAAAAATTTGAACAAGTTCGTTTGAATTCATTTTTTCCAAGTCAGATGAATTTACTTGTTCAATATATCTGAATTTAATCGTATTTGGCAAACCGTTGTCATAAAACAGTTGTAACAGTTTCTTTGAAATTTCAATGTATTTGAAAATTGAATTTACATCATCTTCATTCTTATTTTTGATGGCATCTTGAAGAATTAATTTAATATCATCATCAGAAATAGAAAATACTGATAAATCAAAGTTTTGACAATCAAAAATTCTCAAGAAATAAATCATGTCACTTTTTGAAATTTTTGACAAGAAATTATTCAAAACATCCTTTCCGAAAACATTTCTTTTGAATTTCATTTCTTGTTTGTATTGCTGATGTTTTGAGTAGTTAAACGCAATCTCCAGTATTTTATCTCCTTTGTTTGAGAAGTAGTTATTTACAACTGTACTCTCTGTACCAGAAATTTGAGATAAATGTGTCAAAACCGCCGAAACTAACTGATCATTTGTTTGTAACTCATTGAAATCGACGAATCTTCCGAACTGGTTTATTATGTTATTGATAAACTTATCGAAAGAGTCCATGGAGAACTTAGGAGTTCTTAAAGAATCAGTGAATATTCTTTGCATCGAAATCAAATCCAAATTTGTCAAGTTCGAAATTTCTGACAACAAAGCCAAAAGTGGTTTTCCTTCGAAACTTGTTGTACTTAGTTTATCGAATATCTCAGTTGGTCTGAATATATTCTCTATGCTATGTGCTTCTCTCAATATCTTGAAGCAAACAGCAGTAAATGGCAAAATATTTTTGTAATTTATGCCATTAATTATAGGAATTGCTTTTCCTGTCATGTAACATGCAGTAAATAGCTGTGCAGATACAATCAATGACAAGGAATTGTCTGATATACCTTCTATCGGCTCTAATAATTTAGTCATCCCTTTGTGTTTTGATGTAATATATTCAATGACACTTTTTATGCCACTTTCTGTCAAATTTTGAATGGTAATTGGCGGAAACATGACAGCAGTGTCCATGAAATAGGCGAATACAGGTAATGACGTGTACATGAAGAAGGGGAGCGTGGATGCTTTGATTGTGTCTCCGAAAACTGAGGCCAAAAACTTTTCTGGGCGTTGGAAGATGTTCCAGAATGAAACAGGGGGTTGGGAAGTGAGAGAAAGGGCGTATTGGACAAGATCATCTTTGGCAAGGACATCGAGACTCATTGCAACAACGTTTTTGATAAATTTGCAAATCGGAGTGATGTTTTCACCGGATTTCTTGATGAGATCAACAATAACTGTTGATAGAGTGTCTCGATCTTGGTTGTTGATGAAGCAACTTTGAACAGAACTGTTGAAATTCGATACAGATAAAATCTTGCAGGAAGGAATGAACTTTAACCAGAAATCTGTGCCTTTAAGTGCTTGGCAGACAAAGTCTGGTGTCAATGCTGGGTATAACTTCTCTGGTTTGTCACATTTTGTAATCAAATCGTTAATAACATCGACAGGGATATGTTCTAGAGGCTGATCGATATGGGTAATGAAGAATAGGGGATGAATAGCGTAGTTTATCTGCATGTCCTCTTTGACAAGGAACTCAACTTGGTAATCAAGTAAAACTTCGCATATTTCTGGGGTAAATTCGCTGATGTTGAGTGAGGAAAATAAATATTGGGCTGATTGCTGTGGAATATCTGTCTTCTTGAGGCTTAAAATGAACTCAAATAAAACTTTTTGGGAAAGCTTAGATCCTACTAATGTATTAAGAAGGTCAATGTTCTCCTGAGGACTGTTGGCTCTAATAATCGTAATTATTGCCTTGTCCGGAAGGTTTGAAATCAAATTAGCTTTTTTAAGAACACATTTTGGTAGTTTGTCAGCAATTCTGGCAATGTCTTCGTCTTCAAATGCAAGCTTAAGCAAGTTTTCCGGTGGTAAATAATCCTTTGTGAAAATAAATGGAATTAACTTCAAAAATTCTTCGGAAGTGATCTTAACAAGACCAAAAAGCTCGTAGATTGTTTTAATTGCTTCCTTGCGCGTGTATTCATTATTGTTTACTTGGATAGTTTCGCTATCTAAGTTGGATTTTGTCACAAAATTGTAGAGATTTTGCAAGTAGCCGTGGAAGGATGAATATGATTCTTCATTTAACGACCGATAAAGATGGTTTGATTGCAAAACTAATTGAGCATTCTCGAATGAATAATTTTGAAGGTCAAAAAGCTGGAAATAGTCTGCCAATTTTGGCTTTTCAACATGCTTTAAGCAGTTGATAAGAAGGAAAACTAGTTCCATGGAAATAGTTTTGTCTTTATTCGATTTATAAAAGTTGATTGTATCCTTTAGCATTGTATCAATATCCCCGGCAGAGTACTCTTTATATGAGAGATCTACCTGCAGGTTTCGAATAAATTCTAAAAGATCAGAATCAGATTTATCACTAAACATTTTGATCAATTTTTTTTCCAAATTTTTACTTGGTCGAAAAAGATTTTCCTTCACTTTTTGAAAAATCGTATATAATTTCATATAAGACAGAATTCCATCTCATTAATTTGTATGATTTTATTGAATTTTGGAAGAAATTTTAAAAATTTATATAAATTAACCTCAAATAAGGGTTTCGTTTTGCAAAAATTGTCACTTTTATAGCATATTTGTTTTTGGATGTTTTGCGAAACCAAAAAAAAACTATGATATACAATGTGTGTGTAAAGAAAATACTTTATTTACTAGTTAAAAAATCATTTGGTATTGATCAAGTTATTTTTTCTGGATAAGATATTATATGGATAATTGGATAGAAAATACAATTATATAATCTTGTACCTGGTTTAATTAAGCTAATTGTCATCAGAAACTTGTAATTTTTATGAATTTCAGATTTTCTTTTCATTACTGCTTTTCTTAATAGGTCAAGTTCTTATTTACGTTATAAAGTATGATATTTACAAATATCAAGTTATCGTGTTTTTTGAGAAATTATGAGAAACAAACAAAAATGAAAAAGATAGGAATAGCAATGAATAGTGATGTGGGTATAGAAAATGTAAGAGATATGAATGCAAAGCAATCAGTATTTAGGACATTGACCATAGATTTCGAAAAAAAAATGCTGCATATTGAGCGAAAACTATGATTATATTATAAGGCTGTCATTTAAAGCATAATGAAACTATTCCCTTTTCATTTTAATCGAATAAGATAGAGTAGGTGCCAAAAGTGCTTACTCTTAAACAACCGTCGGATTTCCGGGTGAAATCGTGACACACTTTCGTCTTTCGTAGGCAGTGGTGGTTGTTACAAAAGGTAACTTCGAATGTAGCGTGAAATCTGCAAAAAAAATTCTGAAATTTGAATGGAGAACACAAAAATTGAATAGTTTACGTCAATAAAAAAGAGAAAAATGAAGCCAATGTGTCACATTACACTACATGCATCTCTCACCTCAGTGAATGAGATCAACTATATGATAACTTTTTCCCCATTATATTCTTGTGGAAAATTGACAAATAGCAACTTTGACCCTCTCTCGAATAAGATAGTAAAGATTTTTGAATTAGCTAGAAACTGATAAGATGTTTTCACAAATCAGATTTTTAATCTCTATAATGCATAATTCACTCAATATCTCAATTTTGATATTGCGAGATATTTTTGCTATCGGTTTCGCAATTTTGACACAATAACAAGAGGGTTCTATAAGCATTATTATCAACGTAGAATCTGAATATCATATCAGAAAATGTCGCAAATCTGACATTTACCCGACCAAATAGCAAAAATAATTGAATACTTTTCGCAAAAACTTTAAAAATCGATAAAAATATGAAATATAGATATTAAAGAGACTTTTTATATAATATTCATAAAGATTTTCCAAAAATATGATACCGCAAAATTAAAAAAGTGACGTCTTGAGTGGAGTCAAAGGTCGAAATTGCTAGCTAAATGTTTTTCTAGCGAAATTGCGTATTGTACGTTTTTTTCGCAAAACGAAACCCTTAGTCTGTGCTATGATTTGTTGATGCTTGGCTTAATTTTATTTGATAGAAGGAAAATTATCATGCTTTTGCTTGTATATAAATATAAAATGTAAAAATCCTGATCGATTAATATATTATAAACTTATTGAGGTCAATTTAGAAAATATATGAAATCTTTTGCAAGAACTCCATCAAATAAGGTAAAATTCCATGATAAGTCGATTTCTTAACAAGATATTTGAATTACAACTCTAATTTACGATGATTGATTTATCAATATCAATTTTTGTTGAGCGTTCATAGCGATATTACGGCACTTGATACTATCTTAAATTATAGACAAATGAAATCAGGAAGACAGATTGTAGAGCTTTTTCATAGTGATGACATCTCATCGTATACTTATCATCATAATTCAAATTTAAGAAAATTAATTGAATGGGGGTTAAATGTTTTTATTGTTCATAAATTGTAATAAGATTTACGGGAGCAAAAAATGAATTCACCTTTGCCTCTCAATCGAAAAACTTCATTTTCGAGAAATTATTTTATTTTCGTAGTAAATTCGGATTTAACTAAATTTTGAAATTCAGTTCACGAATTTTTCAGAAAATTTTTACAAAATTGTGCTCTCATTGAAAAAATTTTGAATAAAGATTTTAATTAATGCAATATTTTAACAATTACAGTGATGCGCTATTAAAAATACTAACGTTTTTTTTCTCGATAAAAAATTTCATCCGTAGGAATTTAAATCTGAGTTATATTCATTTTGTGCTATTTGGGAATTGAAGACGCAATCAAAATTACAAACGGAATTGTTTTTACAATCAAACAAAAAAAAATTCTTTTTACAAAATTTTGAAGGAATGGCACGAGTGAGTTGTACGTTTGGCGGAGGCAATTCATTTTTCCGGGATGAACCAAACGACATCTTTGTGAGCGAATTTCTACCAAAATATAAAGGTCCAGATAAAAATCAAATAATTCATCCTATTGTAAACTCAGTTTTGTCAACTTTTACATCTGCTTCAAATGATCCATTTGAAATATCATCATCCGATGAAGACTCTCCAAAAACTCAATATCCCACTTCAATCTTAAAAAATTCTTATCAAAAAAACACTAACATCGAACACCCACCAATTAACATTGAAGAATCCCCAAGAGTACCTGCGATAAATAACGTTCTTGGATCCGAAGATTCAAGCGATGACTTGCTTTTACCTACCGAAATGACAAACAAGATTCTTGCCGCCCAAAACACCTCAAATACAATAATTGACAAACCACTGCTCATAAAGCACGGATTAAACCTACCTCCTATCTTAACATGTAACGAAAATCAACCAAATATTAACAGACACTCACGCTTGTTAGGAGAAAAATCCAAGACACCGCAAGAGGCTCATTCATTCTGGAACAATGCCAATAACGATACAGACTTTATGCCAATAGAAATGCCGAATTCAGCTCGAGGAAATCCTCCAACATGCGATACTCCTTCTCGCATGATGTTGGAAATGAAAATACACGAGATGCAGGCAACCATAGATCAAATAAATACAAAATGGGAACAAAAATTCGCAGATACAAAAAGAAATTCAAGAATTCGAACAGAAAGGTTACTATCAACACATTCGATAGAACAATCAAATCTGGATGCAAAATTCATTGAAGTTCCTCATCCTGAATATCCAACTCATATTAAAGCGATTTTACGTGATGGGCCATTGATAGTTGCAAAATTCAAGCGCCTATCGGATCCTAACTGCGATACAGCGTCATTGGATTACGATGATCTGAAAAAAGAATTAATTAAGCGTCATACTCAAGAACTTATACAATTAAACGATGAAATTAAACTCGAATTCGAATTACTAAAGAAAAGGAAGGAAAAAGAACTCGAAAGACCAAAAGCAAAATTAGATACGATGGTTAGCGAATACAACGCTTTGCCAGGTACTAAAAAGATACAGGCAAAGTTGGACTCGAGATTAATCCCGGTTGCAGCGAAGCCGAGAGTTTCTCGAGTGATTTATTTAGTTAATATCTCCAAACCTTAATTTTATTCTTATATACCACTTCTGAATATGGATTTGATTTTCATATTTATGTGGTTTTATTTATTATTTGTTTTATATTTTTTATTCATAAAAAAATTTCGAAATATGTTTCTTTATATTACTTTAAATAACCCTCCTAACCATGCTTTTAATCATGACCATATTAGTTTTTCTTTAAATCCATCATAAACTCTTGTTTTTGTAATATGAAATAAATTGAACTTTACAATAATCGTAGTTTAAAAATCATGTTTTTCTTATTATCCTTATGCCTTTCTAAAACGCCAATGGTTGGTACAAAGCGTTTTCCTGAAAAGGTTGCAGCAAATCCTTACACTCTTGTTTTGTTTACAACAAGAGGTTGCACTGAATGCGATAAAATCTTGAATGTGATGGACGATATCATAGATAGATTCGAAGGAAAAGTTGGTATGATTTCCGTCGATATTGATGTTAGTAAGCCACTTCAAAAGAAGTATGACGTCAAAGAAATTCCTTCAGTTGCAATTTTCGCTGGATCAAAATTCCTTAGATTATATAAAGGAGAGTATACTCAAGCAGGTTTGATTTCCTTCTGCGAATCTCTTACAATTGGCGCAATGACAACTCTAAATAGCGTTTTCGAAGTTTTCGAATTTCAGAACAATCAATATCCAGCAAATATCGTTATAGCTAACAAATCATTACTTCCTCTTGCTAAAAATGTCATGCCATTGTTCCCAGGTTCACTTAAATTTGCTTTTCTTCAGAACGAAACAGCTGCAGCTCAATTAGGAATAGAAAATGCCCAAATAACAAGACCAGTCGATTTCTTTACACAAAACGTCTCTACAATCGATGCAGACGAATTATTGAATTTATCGAAGCCAATGATCGAATTGATTGTTAATCCAGAGAACCTCGGCAACCCAGATACACCACATACACTTATAGCAATTCTCGACGAAAGAGATCCACTTCAAAAGCACGATATCGCAAAATTATGGAGAAACGTTTCACATTTGTACAAAGGCAATCTTTCATACCAGTTCTGCGACTACTACAAATGCATGCAATTATCGCAGTCTCTTGGCATTGTAAATTACGGAAATCCTTTATATGTTCTTTCTTCAAAGAACGGAATCAGAGCCAAAGTCCAATTGTTCCAGAACCCAGAGCCAACACAAAGAGACCTCGAAATCTTCTTAAATAAGAACGTTTTAGGTATTGATGAACCAGAGTACAGAGATATGGATGGAATAGCTCGTCTTCGTGCTAAGGACTTCATGCGTGTTGCTCTCGACCAGAAACGCGACGTAATTCTCTTCATGGCCGCTCCAATGATGCCGAAATACAAAGAAGCCAAAGAAAACGCCAAAATGCTTGTCGAATTATTCCAGAATATCAAGGGTATAGAGATCTACGAGTTCAATCCTAAGACAGAGCTCGTTCCTGGCCTCCAAATTCCGAAAGTTGACAAAGCAATGTTTTCTATTTGGCCAGCCACTCCAAATCCATCAGGAGCAAACATCCCAGCAAACAATCCACTTCCATACATTGTTGATGAAATAATGCGTCAAATTAAAACTAAAATTGATCCAACTTACTTCAAACAAATCGCAGACAGGATACAACAATACATGGAAGCTCAGAAGTGATCATACTGATATTATAATTATATTTTAATACTGTATTCTTCCTCAAATAAAACTTTTTTTGTCTTTTTTTATTAAATTATAACAGTTTTCTTAGATAATTCAGTATTATTATCATTAATGCCTCTGTTAAGTTTTGAGCTTTTCCAACTAATGTAAAATAGTCTCATTTAATCATTTTGGTTATTATCAATAACTTTTTCTCAATTATGATTCAAATTTACGGGCAATTCATGATCTCCACAACTAATTTTATACATTTATCGAAAAGATAATCTTGTGATTCTGATATATTGGCTTAATTGAATACACAATGAGCAATCGTAATAAATATTCAAATGAGATCTTCCGTATACTAGTTTGTTGCTAGATACATGCTTATGGTGATCATTTTTTACGATGCAACAGCATGGTTTTATGTATAATTATCGTAATTTTATGGAAAAGATCATAGTAATTCACAAAATTTTAGGGAATTTCGATACTTTATGTAATAGTATGTATAAATCCCAAAGAATGCTCTCGAAAAAAGTGCGCCCAAAATTTGAGCAGAAATTTCGGTTTGGTCTTTGCTTAGCCTTTTTTGTAATGCCAGTAGACTTTGTTCCAAAGCACCCACGCGATAACGCTAAAGGCTCCGTTGAGCGCTCATGCAGAATTTGTGGCAAGCGCCGTGGTGTTATCCGCCAATACCGCTTAAACATTTGCCGCAGATGCTTCCGCGAACGCGCTGAACTTCTTGGCTTCAAGAAGTACGATTAAGAACTTTAATATAGCTTTCCGAATGACAGGTCTTATTTGAAAGTAAAAACTTCATTTATAAAATAATTTTACGTTAGTAATTTATTACACGATATCAATATACAATTAGGCTAGCTCTCACAGTACAGGCTTCTTATTTTATGAGGCTCATTCTGTTAATATACTATGGCCATACCCATTGATAGTAATTTTTTGAATAATTTTACTAAGAAAAATATGTCTTATGCATTGTAAGCTATTGTTCAACTCATTTTGGCTATTTATTTTGAGATCAAATTTTGGTATTTTGAAATCACGCTAAAAACTGGTAACTGATATAAAAATTAGTAAATGATTAACAGAACATTTATTAATATTATACATCTCTATCTAACTATGAATAATTAGTCCGAATCAGATTCTTTTGAAGATTTATTGCCTTTTGCATCAACTTTATCTTTTGAAGTACCACTCTTCAGCTCTTCAACCTTGTCTGATAAAGCTTTCAATGCTTGAGGAGAAAGGTTACAGAGATTTACGCTGACAACTGGTCTCTGTGAAAAAAGTCTTGGTAATATTGTCTTGATGCATTCTGCAAGCTGCGTTTTAGCATCATCAGTAGTAAATGAATCAATATCTGTTTTAAGATTCTCAAGATCTTCCTGAGTAAATTTGATTTCTTCGACATCGTCATCTTGAGTCATATCATATTGTTTGATACTTGGATTTGATGGCGATCGTTTCTTTGAACTGACTGAATTATAAGTAAGTGGCTTAGTTGCAGAACTTAGTTCTTCAATTAAGTACATCAATTCGTTTATCCAGTCTATATGAGGCTGATCTGAGATGAAGTTAAGTAGTCTTTCTGAGTATTGTTTAAGGTCAATAGCAAGCGTTGAGATTAATGATTCTTCTGACCAATACTTTAAGCAATTCGACCAAATCAAAGAAAGATCTTCTTTGAATTGGGCAACTGTTTTATATTCTCCGTTTTCAAGTTTTGATTGTACTGTCGATAAGTCGGAAGGACGTGTAATTAATTGAAAGTAGTCCGGACAGTGATCTTTATTTGGATCAACAGGGTCCATGAACCACTTAGATGTCGGTCTTTCTTTTATTTTTTCTAAAACTTCAATACATTTCATTTGAAGCTCAGAATTCATTAAGGGTGCACACGAGAGGATCATGTAAACTTCAGAATTTAGAACCTTATTTTTAGGCATTATCTTGGCTACCTATTTAGGCTCGAAAAGCAAAAAATATCAAAAAATACAACTTGACTCCATTATGACCCTTTCATTGAGGTAGTTTTTATCCGCTAGTATTTTCCCTTTGAATCTCTTTACAATTCGAAATCAAATTCAAACCTCAGTAGAAGAAAGGAAGAATCGACTTACTACGGTTGTAATACGAATAAATACATATATTTAATTATTTTTATTTACATAATAATTGTTTGAAGCTCATATTCCATCAAATTTTTAAATAAAAACATTAAAATGTTGAAAATGTTCATATATTTTAATATGGTTTTGGCACTTTATTGAGGAATTACTACATACATAGTCGAACTGAACTTGATATTTTGAAATTTAAATTAATTATCAAAATTAAAATTTAACTTGAAATTTATAATTATTTAGTCATATTTTGCATAATTCTAAGTAGATTTTGTAAAAAATCAAGAAAGAAAAATTTTAACGTGCTTTATTTTTTCTTTTTTATAATAATACATATTATTATATAATTAACATATTCATAATGTTTCACCCTTTCAAAAATATAATCCTCCTCCTCTCAAATAAACGGACATACGGGTGGCCTCTTTTTTCAAAAAATTAAAATTTGAAATTTTGGGCTCAAATATTAGAGATTTTTTCAACCTTCAACGATATATGTTGTCTATATCAGACCTCCTTTCTTTTTGATACTTAACATTGTTCCTAAATCTTAGCCGTTAAGGCTGTTCTGAAAATATTTTTTTTTTCGAAAAAATTCGAAAAAAATTCTTAAAATTCAAAAATCCCTTAATTCCTGAGGATTTTGGAAAAAAGTTTTTACATGAACATGTGTATATTATATGAAGTATATTGATAAGGTAAAAATCAAATTTTATTGCATATTCATCGAGAAAATAAACTAACGAATCCCTCAAAATTGAGAGGGTAATCCTCCTCCTCTCAAATAAACATACATACGGGTGCACCCTTAAGATTTTGATATTCCTTCTTAAAATAAATTTTTGGCATCTCTCAAATTTAATGATGGAGAGACACGACATTTTTACACCGATGATTGGGATTCACAGTAGTGTAGTAAATATATGCTATGGAAGTCATCCTCGTGTTTATGTTTAAAATATGAACTAATCTTGCTGATGTTCTTTTGAGTTCTACGAGATTATTTGAGATTGAAAAAACGTTTGATAACTCCTTTACTTGGACTGAAAATTCGAGATTTATGTCTAGAATATTTTATAAGAATACTTCTAATATGCAAAAGTTCTCCAGTTTGGAAATCTTCAATTATGTTGTCTATGAGATATTCGATAACATTCATTAGATTTAAATATCATTATAGTGATTTTTTAAATGAATTTTCATACCAAGCCAATGATTCGGTTTTGCTTCATTAGAGATTTCGTATTTATATTATTGTATTAACGAAGAGAAAAAAATACAAATATATATTATCAATACAAACAAAACATTTATAATTTAGTAGCACTTTGTAATCCCGTTTCATCCAAATTGATAATTGTTTTATCAGCTTGTGGATATTTCAAACAAGAGAACCTAATTGTTTGAGTGAATAGTAATATTGCAATTGCAATAAAGAATAGGTTAAGAGACGTGAATATGAACTTAAGACTGAGTTCCTTGTCTGTATAACTTCCTTTCAAAGGAAAATTAGGTATCAGATATCCAATAATGTCAATAATTCCTTTAATTCCATCGCTCAGGATTACATAGACAGACCACAGAAGAGCACCTGTGTAGAGGAGTACTCTGTTCAATGATATGTTGTAAAAGAAGCAGTTAATCGAGTAAACGAAATATGTGAAAATCAAAGATTTCGAACTAAATAATTCCTTAAAAGTCGTGCAAAGATTTTTTCTACAAAGATCTTCTCCGATGATAAATACTATGGGGTATATAATGAATAGTACTATCATTAGGTTAATGAGGCCAACAAAGCCGATGAAAAGCTCTGGATCAACTTCGGAATTTTGTAAAACATATTCGCTTAATATTGCATGTAATGCTTTCATTACTGATGCTATAACTAAGAAAACTATGTTGGGCATAGCAACTTTCAACTCTTTGGAATTTAGAATATCACTTACTATTTGAACGATAATTGAGCATGTTAGGGCAACAATTCCGATTATCATATGACCGTACATGGTTTTTCGCATGAATATCTTTTGAATAAGGATGATTAAAATGATTGTTAACGCTAATTCAAAAGAATCAAGAGACATACCTTTATTTATTGCTGCCAAATTACTGAAAAAGGTATTGAAAAGATCAAGAGTAGAAATGACTGGAACCAAAAGTTTCATATGAGTAGGAACATTAATTTTAATCTCTTTTGGTTGAATTTTCCTGGAAATCAGTGAGAATGGTATTGTTAAAGACATTGAGAATGACATAAATATTAGATTGAAGAATTTTATGTTGAATTTCTCTTTTACAGGGGAATAATCAACATAACAATAGGTTGATCTAATAACGCTCTTAATAGTGGTAGAAGTGAACTTAAATACAACTGTTAAAACAATGAACCATCTTCGGATGAAACGATTTGTATCAAGTTTATACATAATTTTGTTGATCAGAAAAAATAAGATTTAATTCAATTTTTCTGAATCCATTACATCAAATTCACGCCTCTACAACTTTTTCTACAACTGTACGACTTTTAAAAATGTGATAAATGTATTATCTTATGTCATTGCATTTTTCGCTTTTAATTACATTCAATTTTTGAATCAAAATAATCTTCTGCTATCCAACATATTCTTTTAAGATTTGTAATCAGAATTGTAACACGTATGCTCGATTTTATATCAAATTCATATGAAAATTTGTTCTCAGCTGCAGTGTAAATCAAATTTCGTATTAAGAAAAATCTTAAAATCACTGAGACCTAGACAAGAAATCTAAGCAAACGTATACCTGTGAGAATATTTAATTGTTATCAATTTATAAGACAAAAAAACAAAGAATATTGACAATTGAAATAAGTTTAATGAATATTTTTATTGAAATATTATCCTTGTTCAAGTTAAGATTATTTTCTCAATTTTTATGAAAAAGTAATAACGATAGAAAAATCCTCTAGGAACAAATTATCGATCAAATTCAAAGAATATGGATATTGTCCAAATTTTTGAATCAAAAGTGACAAATTTTCTTTAAAAATTTTCTATGACAAGCGAAGAGTATCCAAATGATGTTGTGCTTTTGCGTGGAGAGTACCATCATTATTTGGATCTTGTTATTGACAAGAAAACAACATATTCTTTCCCGATTTTTCCTACTCTAACGGGAGAAAATATAATTCAGCTTATAAATGACGAAGGCATCACAAATTTTGTCATATGTAATACAGAATCCGATAATTTACAGAAATGTATTGTTTTTTCAACAGATCAAGAAATTTTCAAATCAAATTTTGATTTAAATTCGTTTAGTAAAGCTTTAGTTTCCGAAATTGTAACACCTAACAGATACGTTGCAACAAAATGTCAACGAATGACATTGAATGTGTATGAGATTTCAGAATTTCAAAATAAACAATCGATAAATGAATCCATTCCGACGATTTTCAATTCATTTGCTAAGAGTAAAACACGAAAAATTAACGTTAAGATTCCTACATCCGCGATTATCGAAGTTTCAATCAATATTAAGTGGACTTTGAAAAAGATACACAAGCATATTTACAGTGTTATCGAGGATATATTTGGAGAAGGCAATATACCACAGCCGACACGTTTCCGATTCATTGTTATCGGATCACCAACTTTTCCTTCTTATGACTTACCGTTTGAGTTCTCTCCCGAGATGATCGGAGCTCTTTGGGAGCAGATCGAAGATCCGCACGGACTTTACTTCGATTTCGTTTTCGTTGAACTGGATAATTCTGTAATGAAATCTTTCCAGCAGTACGCTTCGGAACTCGACCTCTCTCTACCTGCACTTACACCAGATACTCTTTCTCTTTACTCTTCTCTATCAGATGTCAGATTTGGTGTCGAAACAAGCAGAATAACAAGATTATCTATCAATCCTCTCTTATCTAGAATGCGTTTGTCCGAAACAGATCCACCCTTACACACTTGCAATCTTCAATTCGTGTTCATTCGTGCAGAATTACGTGTTGGAGTAAATTCATCTATTACCGGAGCATCTTTTCGCGTAGAACGTGAAAAAACAGCTGATGATGCAATTCTTGTTCTCCTTAAGAAGATGAATCACCATCATATGGTCAATATTGAACAAGATCCTTCGAATTTTGCATTTGTTCTCCAAGGAACAGATGAAATCATAGCAGGACATATTCCAATGGATCACTTTATATCAGTTAGACAGTTCTTATTGTCCGGACAACCCGTAATGAACGTCCTTCTCTATACAAGAGATTCATTGATCGCTTCTGTTTATCAGAACGAACTTTCTCATCAACCATTAGAAGAACCAAGCAAATCCGAATTTTCTACGGACTTCGCTGTCGTAGGAATTCCGAAAAGAACGTTCGGATATATGCCATGTACTCCACATATATTATCTTATGCAAGATTCGGAATATTCTTAAGTTCCTTATATAATTTGCCTATCACGCAAAGGCTTCAAATTTCTTGCTCAATTATTCACGGAAAAAGTGACTTAGTTACACCTGTCACTTTTATTCAAGCATCTGGATACAGAACCCAATTAATAAATCGATACGTAGAGTTCCAGATTAACATCAACAGTATACCTCGGTCAGCACTTTTATCCATAACTATCGAGAATCCAGATGAAAAACCCGATAAACCAGAGAGATACATCGCATCTATGAACTACACGATCTTTTCTCACGACGGATGGGTCAGATCCACACCCATTGTGCATAAGATGTGGCGAACACGCGCTAAAGATTACTTACTTCCAACTAGACAAACATCAGAGAACAATACAGTTGTTATTCACTTCAGATTTACGAGGTTTAGGAATCCCCTCATGTTCATTTTCCCTCAGCAACAAAGCCTAAACCAGAAAGCCCCTCATTTACTCAAACATGAGGACCAATTCAGATTAAAAGAGCTCGAAGCATACGATCCGCTCATGGAATTGACAGATGATGACAGGAAACTCATCTGGCTCAACAGAAACAGATTCGTTGACAATCCAAAGATGCTTCCTTTGGTTTTGCAGTCAGTTGACTACACTAATACGACGCAAATCAACGAAATACCTTACGTACTGGCGATGTGGAAGCCTCTCGATCCAACAGGAGCGCTCACATTGCTTGATGCGAAATTCGCTGACGAAAATGTCAGAAAATACGCGGTAGACTTACTCGATCAGTTAAACGATAGCGAACTACTACTTTATATCTTGCAATTAACGCAAGCTCTGAAGTATGAAGTTTATGAAGACTCCGCGCTCGTCAGATTCCTCATTAGACGTGGTCTTAACGAGCCAAAGTTCGTCGGCCACCATCTTTTCTGGCTTCTTATGTCTGAAGCTCATATTTCCGCGATTCGTGAGAGATTTTCTGCTGTTGTCGTTAATTTCATATATGGTATTGGCCATTACAGAGATGAGCTTATCACCGGATTCAAATTTACGAAGATGCTTGTTGAATTGAACCATGAACTGTGCAAACAGTCATATTCAGAGGCTACTGTTACTCTCCGGAACAAGCTCAAGAGCGTTGTCATTCCCCCGGAGTTCCACCTCCCTGTCGACCCCCGTTTGGTCGTTGATCGATTCATCATTGAAGAATGTAAAGTTATGAATTCTAAGAAAAAACCGTTTTGGCTAACTTTCCATAATGCGGCTCCCTTCTCAACGGAACCGATTCAGACTATGTTCAAAGTTGGAGATGACCTTAGACAAGACCATCTCACGCTTCAAGTTATGAAAGTTATGGATTATATCTGGCGACAAAATAATTTAGACTTAAGAATGAGCAATTACAGTGTTCTTCCTACAGGTCTTAACCAAGGATTCATCGAAGTTGTTCCCAACTCCGTTACAGAGCAGAAACTGCAACAGGAGAAAGGAAAAATGGGAAGTTTCGATGAAAACACGTTTATCGACTACTTGAAGCTCATGAATACTACAGAACAGACTCTCCAGATGGCGAAAGAGAATTTCATGCTTTCATCAGCTGGATATGCCGTTGCAACTTGTATTCTTGGCGTTGCAGATCGACATCCAGGAAATATCATGCTCCAACAGGACGGGCATTTCTTCCATATCGATTTCGGCCACTTCTTAGGCAACTTTAAGAAGAAATTAGGCTACAAAAGAGAAAATGCTCCTTTCCACTTTTTGCCGGCTTGCGTTGTTGTTTTAGATGGACAGAACGGCAAGCTCTACAAAGAGTTCGAGCAGACATCAATCAAAGCGTACAATGTAATGCGAGAAAAAGCAAATTTGATCATGTCTTTGATGCTTCTGATGCTTGGAACAGGAATTCCCGAACTACAAAAGCCTTCTGACTTACAGTACATGAAGGATATGCTTCATTTGAACGTAAATGAACGAGAAGACGCCGATATTTTTAAGAATTTGATTAAGATATCAACGGAGTCTACAAAAACAGCTGTTAATAACTGGATACATAACCTTGTTTGCAAATAATTATATTTATTTTTTCATTTATTTGAATAAAAAAAAATTTATCATTTAATTTCGTAAATTTCTCAATTAATTTTTACATCATTAACTTTACTCGTAAATATATTGACTTCCTTAGGTTTATATCCTTTGAATTTACTTCAAATGTTTTCATATTTTAAATAAGTGAGCGTTCCAAGATCCTAAACATATACAACGATCAAAAATCATTTGATCAAATATATCTCTAAGCTTTCATGACTAGTTCTTGTTAAATTATTTTGGATATTTTTATAATATGATGATTTTGATGAATTTATATAAAATATGAAAAAAAGATGTGTATGAAAACAAAAATAATAACATTTTATTTAGTTGATAGATACGTAAGGAGTACTTGCTATAGGATCGGTAGAAGTTGTACTGATGAGAAGTTCTCCATCGGTTTCTTCATGTTGTTCAAGACCTTCCAAAGGATTTCCATCCTTAGTCTTGTGAACAATTTTACATGGTTTCCAAATGAATGGGATTGAGAAAAGAACTTGGAAGAAGCCTGCAAAAATGTAAGCAGAAAACATAAGTTGCAAATCATTCTTTTTGCTGAAAAAGTAAATTGCAGAGCTAGCAAGAGGGAGGGGAAGAAATGACGTAACAATAGAAAGCATTGTTGCTCTTCCTGGAAGTTCTAATGATTCTAAATAAGATAAACAAATTGATGAAATTGGCCAAAGAGCAAATGTATAATATCCAAACGGAAATAGCTTTTCCGCCCAATAAATATAAGCTTCATCATCATTCCAAAGTGAAACAATAATTCCTGGGAACAAAACTAAGAAAATTGAATAAATTAAACATGAAAATATTGTAATCCATAATGTATGCAATGCAAGTCTATGAACTCTTCTATATTTACGTCTTCCTACAGCATAAGATGCTGCTGGAAGGAAAGATGCATCAAATGAGTACATGAAACACAAACCAAGCTCATAAAATCTATTAAATGTATCATAAACAGCTAAGAATGGCTTTAATGCACCAACATTATCTGCAACTAAAGCCAAAAACTTTTGCATTGCAAATTCTGGAAAAGCACCTGAAATATTGAGCATAAATGCTGCGAACCCAACTTTAATAGCTCTAAATGATTGTTTTGAGAATCCTTCGATAAACATATGTGGCTTGAACTTGAGAGAAAACTTTCCTGATAAAATTAATGTCAAAACAGTCCATCCAACAAGAGCTTGCGCCACAACATTAGCTAATGCAGCTCCCCAGAGGTCCATCTTAAAATAAACCAAGAAAAGTGGATCAAAAACAAACATAATTAAACACAAACAAATAATTTGAGTTAAACCAGCTGTCATTGATCTACCTTCACCTTCAAGTATTCCGGCACCAAGGAGATATAGTAATTGTGAAAACGAACAACCCAATATTGGAATTTCATATTTAAAAGCAGCATCAGCAATGCTATCTGAATTTGAAATCCATTTAGCAACTACACGTACTAAAGGCAGTAAAACGGCAGCAATAATTGCTCCAAATATAAAAGAATAACGTATAAAATCAACGACCACTTTCGCGGCTTCTTTTTCACGATTTTTACTAAAAAGTAGAGATATTCTACTACTTACAGCAATCAGCATGAACTCTCCGCATGCAAAAGTGATATAATCAAAAACAAAAATGGACGCCGTAACTGTAAGACCGAAACGTCCATGCGTTTTTGATATCCATAATGATTCTACAAGACCATATACTGAATTTGTTACTTGACTGAATAAGGGCCCAGCCAATAAGGATAATAGCGTTACAAGAGGAGGTCTTCCGCCTAATAGATAGTGTTCGCTATTTTTATCAACGGGTTCTTTGCCTTTGGGGGCTGTTCCAATTAATAGAGTATCCATAAGTGATCGAAATTACGTCGCTAGATTTATGGCCTTTCAAATTATCGTTTGTTCGGTCTCAAAAATTGAATTCCATTCAAAACTTAATGACATGGAACGCAATTGAAAATATCGTATATGAATAGAATCTAATTAACTTCCAAAAATTTATCCATATTCAAAAGATTCGTCTTCAAATGGTCTCAAATAAAAATCTTCGAATTATTATAATTCTATTTATAATACTTAATAGAATACAATGTGGTTCAATTAACGATAAAAAATCAGATCAAAATACGCCACTTAGACCGAGGTTAGTTGATATTTGTTCTAAGTTTTCTGACGTAAAACATCTCGCGATGAAAGCTGTGACAACATACATTAGATTTGTCAAGCGCCACGAAGACGGCGAAGTCTTTGAAGTCCAAAATATCTTGGACGAACTTGAAGAATTCTCTTAAATTTTCGGTCTTTTGTCTGTCCCAGTTCCAAAACAAACTCAGAACGAAACAGATGAAAAAAAAAGTAAGAGCCGCTATGTTTCAACAGACGATGGTGAAGAATAGTATGATGAATATAAGTCAGAAGTTTTCTTTAAAGTTGTTGAAGACGAAAATGACGAAGAACCGAAAGAAATTTGTGAAACATCCGGGCCAAAACCGACAACAATGGAATTTAGGTCTCTTGATGATCCAATTCCACAGGAAGAGTACGATGCTTGGAGGCTGAGGCATAAAGACTCGTTTGATGAATGTAAAATAAAATGAACACACATTAGATTAAAAAAAAAGTTTAAAATAAAATCAACAAAGTGATAGATAATTACAAAGCCCGAGTAAGGGTTAATCTGGAATTTATAAAATCCTCAACAATTTGTTTTGTATTTATAACATCACCCATAGGAACAAAATCATAAATGTAATAAGCTGCTGTGTCAATTCCATATGCGGATAATCCAGATTCTGCAATGTTGGGGTAGATTGCTGGATTTTGTTGATATATACAGTCTTTCTTGAAAAACTTCTTCATTTGTCGAACAAGTTTTTTCTCTCTTCTGTTCGATGGAGATCTAAATTCAGAACTCAAGTAGAAAGGACCGTAAGAATATCGAGAGACAAACATTTGTGCATCAGCAATTTGTTTTGTATTTGAAACTACAAAGAGACTTGGGCCATAGAAAAAGAACACACGATCGCTGTATACACCGCGAAATGCAATGACAGGATAATAGTATTCGTCATTCAATCCTATTTCCTTTTTCTGGCTTTTGTTTTCAAAATAATAAATGTAATCATTGTTAATTTTTGGTATTGGATCGTACGAATGATCATAATCTTGATACACCCACTTTTGATCATTTTCCTCATCCAAATTTTGAATTTCTTGAATTTCATTAATTTTTTGATATTTATTATCAGATTTCTTTAATATTCGATTATAGGATTGTTTTTCTTTGGAATTGAGTTGCTCATTATTGCTATTTACTTGGTATACACATGAATTATTAGGATTCTTCGGAATGATTCGAGGAGGTTTCCCTCCCATACAAATAATTGTCTCAGCAAATGAGAGTGTACATTTGGTACCTTTTGGAACATATGTTATATCGTTGTCGTTAAGTAAATTCTTCTTAAATTCGAAAAATTTTGGAAGATCGCAGTTCAAATCTTGAATTTGTGATGCTAATGATTCTGATATTGGATTACGCAACAGATTTGCAATCTTTAACATCCTTTTTTCAACTAAATTAGCTTCATTAACTTTTCGGACTGATTCATGCTCGACCTTTGGAGTTATACTATCATTTTCTTCATACGTAAGCTTTAAATATCCTATTTCATTGTTATTGTTAATGAAATAATAGTCACAACCAACAATAAAGTCAAAATTTTCTCCATCACAGCATATTGGTATGATTGGGAATGTGTATTTGATTTCAAATTTTTTAAACCAAACACATTTAGGAACAATAACCTTTTTACGCTACTGGTGTGAAAATTTGATTGGTTCCATCTTAATAGCTTTGGAATTAGAATATGAATCTTCTAAATCAGAGATATATTCATATGGGGATGAAATACTTTCTGGAGATATTTTGGAGCAAGAGCTGCTCGAACCCATTTAAGGATACCTAGATGACAATATGTAAACCATTTAAGGATACCCTTACGTGTCAGATTTTTTGCGCATACGAAGAAGTCATGCTAGACATGAGCTATAAACCTGAAATTTTAGCAACATATTTAAAACTTTTTAAACTACAATACACTTTAATATTCAAGAACAAAAATATTCTTTTTAGAAATTACATAATTATTTTATGTGAAATCTATATAAAAACATATTTTGCGAGCGCAACTTTTTTCTTTATAAGCACCTTATATGACTGATAAACTGTGAAGGCACATAATTGTTAATTCATAGAGTTGATATGTTTCCAAAATTGAGAGGAAATTTGAAAATTGAATACCCTTTCAATTCAATTTTCAAAAGATATCAGCTCCTTCAATAATTGAAGGACGATTTTGATCATTTGCTCTTAAAACAAGTATGCCATGGAGAAAAAAGTTACGCTCGCAAATCTGAAATATAACTATCATATAAAAAAATTAAATTTCTAATTTTTTACTCTATAGATATTATTGGCCATTTGTGTAATGCATAAAAGTTTATGTCATATGCATACATTTGGAAGTATGGGAGACGAGGGAAATTACTTCTATGAGGGACTAGGATTTTTAAAAATTTCTCTATCGGACTCACCATTCAATTTCTCGAAAATTAAAAAAAATCAATAATAGCTAAAATGTATTATGCATAACAAATTTTAATGTTACACGGTATTTTTTGAACTTCATGACATGAATTTTCTTTATATTTTTTTTTTGGATTTTCTATGATTTATGCGATAGGCTGGAACAACATTGTAAGTGCAATGATATCATTTATAGAGAAATCTAAAACTTCAGCATTCAGAACTCGCAACCACAAAAATATTCATTTGCTAAGTAAGTAAAGTTGATTAAGTTCGACACTTAGCTTTTATACGTAAAACCAAGTGTGTATTGTTATTTCTTGTTAAATTATTGAGAAAAAATAAATTGTAAGAGAAACGATACTGATTATTGAAATAATATTGAGGGTAGCTGCAGATTTCTTCATTAACATACCGGAAATTTGTTAATCTTGGTTTTCTATCATAAAATCTGTCGAAGAATCTAAAAACGGAGATATGAAATAGAGATCATGTAAATCTAGAGTATCCTGTCAGAAAAATAGACTAAGCATGTAACCCTTTTTGGTCATAAACACTTTTTACCACTTAGTCATACAGATGATCATTAAATTTAAACGAGCACTTTTTGTCAGAATTTATTCTTTTACAAAGACAGAAGATTTTAGTATTATTTAATATTAGTGCTGTAGCAAAATTCAAAAAACGGTGAAAATTCAGTGAATTTGTGAATTCACATTTTTTTTCGACATTTTTCTTGATATATCCATGCACATTAAGAACACAGCTTTGATACGCTTAAAAAAGCATATTTCATATGAAATTGTTAAAGAAATAAACAATTTATATAAAAATTGCACTTATGGGCAGTTTAGATATATAATTTATATATAACATATATACAAATCCATAGACAAAGTGCAATAACTACAATGTTGTAGAAAATTACAGCAGAAATACTGACTTTTTGAAGGATAATAAGAATTCTTCTAAAAATACTGAAAATTAACATATTTCTGTACTCAATTTAGTATATGCACAGAAGTTATGATTTGGTGTTAGGTTTTTATGCCCCAAAATCTAGATTTTTGTGACATCAAATCTTATTAGTGGATAAATCAAAGACTGTCATTTTGAAATAAGCTCATATCAATAAATATCCATTTAAAAGCCTTATTGTAATATGTAACTAGCAAAAAGCCTAATATTTATCAAAATTAATCAAATCAAATGATCAATATTCATGATATGTCATCAGCAATAGCTAATTGATATTTTATTTTGTATTGATATTCATTTTTCTCATATTATACACGATTATATCTCTTTTTTTTAAAAAAAGTTTTTATATTAGACATGAAAGTTGAATTAATACAATTTTGTACTAGAGTTTGTTTGTATATTAAATAATAATGATATATACTTCAACATATTGCGTCTCACCATTACCAAAATGTAATTTTGCATACAATTTTCTTTCATTTAACAATGATGTTATTTGAAAAGTGATACTTCCATGATTATTGATTAATGTTCCATCATATATAGGAATGAATGTTAAACAAGACACGCCTGCAGCTGGGTGCATTCGTGGCATTGTGATAAGGCTTATATATAAAGACTTCTCTCGATCAGCATTACGTCAAATGAATATTGACCCATTATTTTGGCGATGCGCTAGTTCCAAGTAGAAATGCTTTGGTATATTTAGGTTATGTCTATATGTTATGAATCATGGTATTATTGATAAAAACGTTCTTAGTCATTAAATCAATCCTAGTATCTAAAGATATAATTTAGATTTTTTTGTTTATTGCTAAAATTAAATACAGTATAACTTTCTTTCATATTGTCGGTACTAACAATACAAGATTGTGTTGAAAAAAACTTAAATATGCATGAAAATTAAATTTAATGTGTAAATATGATAAAAATTTCAACTTTACTAATAACATACATAAGTTTCTGATAGTTTAATATAGTTCATATTGATGTGACTGTAAACTATATCAAAAAAATATTTTTAAATATTGTTATGCAAATAATGGGATTTCTAAGGAAAAAATGATTATATTTGTTATATAAAGCAATCTTTTTAATTATTCACTACGTTTATTACATTTTTTGCCGACCATTTACGTAATATGCCTCCACCAAGCAGACGCAAACAACAAAGTCGTGAAGCTAACGAAAAATCAATTGAAGCAAGAAAAAACTCCCAAGAAAAGAATGCGCCAAAGGAAGTCGATCCAAAACACTGGACTGCTTCTGTAATTGTTAATGGTGACTCTTATACTCGAGCAAGGAATTTATTTCAAGATAACAATATTAAAGTGCCGAGTGAAAAAGAGTTTTACCGTCATCAAAAAGAAATAGGTAAGGTAATACTAGAATATAAAGAGCAATCTATTAAAAATGCTCAACAAACAATGAAGAAAGATACATTTTTAAGCACTGATTCGCATTATAATGTTGGCAGAAATGCTACAGCGTGCCAAAGTTTAATGATGGACAACCGTGGAAAAGTTGTTGGTGAAACAACTGTTATAAAAAAGAGCTCTGGAGGAGACTTTGAAGGCCCATCCAACATGATGGAAACAGAATGTACAAAGAGGATGATGTCAAATTTTGACTTTACAAATGTTTCCACAGTGGTTCATGACAATGACAATAAAACGAAAGCCATCATCCAGCAATATGCTCCGAATGCTAAAATTACACTTGATCCTCGTCATTGTGTACGTGCAGTTGGCAGAGCTTTCGAAAAGCTTGAAAATGGTGGATATAAAGAAGCAGCAGGAAAAGAAACTGTTAATCAACAGAAAGAAAGTGAATCACAGCCAGCATTCCCAATCAAATCTAAAGCAGAAGAGCCGAAGAAACGTGGAAGACCATTAAAACACCAAGAAAAAGTATTTCATCAGATATATTCGAAAGTTATTAAGTGGTTCACTTTTATTATCATGCTTCCAATTGAAACAACGAAAAAAATTTTCCTATGGAAGAATACATTAAATCATTTTATCGGAAGGCATGAAAATTGCCTTCACGAAAAAGACAAAGAATATCCTGTGTTTCAGCCACTTACAAAACCTGATTTAGCGAAGCAATTTCAACGTTTTACAGATGATGCCGCAAAGTTGATTCCAGAAATTGATCCTAATGCTCAAACACAACAAAATGAATCGATACATCACTCAATGCTTACTCAGTGTCCCAAAGGAAACAACGCAAAATCGTTTGAAATGCGTACGGCTGTTACAATTTTACAAAAAAACGAAGGAGAGAAATGCAAACAAGAAATATACAATCGTGTCAATAATTACCAAATATCTCCTTCAATCCGCGAACTCCAAAAACTTGAATATGAGAAAAATAAATCCAGAAATCAAAAGAAAGCTACACCAGAAACAAGAAAAGAGATCAACAAGGCAAGAAATGCAAAAAGATTTCCTAAGGATAACCCTACAGGTGATTACAGAGGAGGAAAGTGGACCCCACAAGATATCTAATTTTCAAATTTGAAATAAACACATATTTTCTTTGTATTTGAAAATATTTTTATATTATAAGATTTTTGAACCTATAAGTAGCATGACAAAAATTATATAATTTGCTCCTTTTTTATTTTAGTATACAAATATCCCATTTGTTATATGTTCGGTATATATATGATGATATTGTAATCAATTATGCTTAATGAAGCTTTATCCCGTGAACCCCTCATATTATTGGAAAATAAATAGCGAAAACATGTAGAGCTGCTATGTTCTCAAGTGTATGCTGATTTTTGGATTATTTCATGAAAACTAATGGCGGGATATCTTGCATTATTTAAAAAAATTGAACTATGCAAAAATAAATAGTATTATATTTTTTCTCATGAAATGCTATTATGAGACAACCATAAAAAACCATATGTTGTATTTTTATAATTTGATTGATTTTTTTTACTATTTCATTAATCTTTTATGAATAATAATTATTTTTAATATATGTGCTATAAAAATTTCAAATTTTGACTAATATATCTAAGTTATCTGAACGAAACATTTAGAAAATATCATACTTACATTGAAATAGCAAGTAGAGCATATTAATAGCAAGTTTCTTGGCTTTATATCTATCATCTATTGTTGTTTGATCAAACAAAATTCACTCTATTATATGGTGTCAATTAATTAAAACAATTTTTAATAGTTATTTATTTAGTGCGAATAAGTGCAAACTCATAAATGAATAATTTAATAGTAGAAATGAATTATCTGATATAAATCTCACATTTTGTCCATCAGAAATACTTTAATTGCATACGCATAACTATTAGTAATACGTCTGGAGTGTCAATTAATAACAATCCCACAACAAGTAAAATTCAGATTTTTATTAAACTTATTTTTTCCTAAAAGTTTTCTCAAATTACTATATATACATATGTGGATAAAATAATAGTAATATTGTAAAAAATTAGATAATTTTTTTTATTTGAGAACCTCTCAAAAGTTCATTCAATTTATCAATTGTTTCAGTTTGATGTATATTCATTTCTGGAGCCTAAAACTTTAGCAATCATGACAATATCATATTCTCTTTCTAACTACGCAATGTAAGGGTATCCTTAAAAACAGAAAGTTTGTATCAATTTTGTTTTGAACGAAAATTTCGGTTTGAAATTTAATTTTAGCAGGATTTGCCCAAAAATCAAGGTGAAGGTTTTTCAATCAGACCTTTGCCACAGATTTGAAATCAAATATATTAATTCAGTTCGCCATCAAGATCGATGAAAAAGATGTAGTTGGACAAACTGCTCTTTATACTGCATTGGCTATTTCTTTTTTGTTGTAATATTATTCATGATGAAGAATGATAGCTCCATGACCATCTTTCTGTATGAATTTCCAGATTTTCGCATAAAGAAATGTTGTAAGTTTGTTTTTTCACACTATAGATCCCCAAACTATATTCACCTCAATAGAACTTAAAATAACAAGATATGCTTGCCTGATTTAAGATTTTCGAAATTATGAGACTTATCTAATTTAATTAAATATTGAATTGAGATGAAAATCTAGTGAAAGAGTAACCGATATCTCTCTGAAAATTGAGTGTATTTTATTGGCGCGAAGTCCTTTATTGTAACAATGACTCTCTATTTTCAATACATAGTATCAGAATGAGCATTTGAAGAAGAAATCTTGAAGGTTAAGAGCTCATTTCTGTTTTTTCTTCAATAAAATTCTGAAAATATACATAAAATTGCATATTAATGGTAAAATTATGTACCAATATACTAACACTGATATTTGTATTTACATATCTATAAAAAATATTGTTGATTTTATCCAATACAGTACAAAAGCTGACAGAAAGCCATACATTTCATTTAACAAACGGTATAAAAGGTCAAACATTATACTTTAATGGTTTACTCGTCATGGCATTTTTTTCAATTTCTTTTTTCTATGAATCCTAATGAAGCAAATGACCCTCGGGATACTTATTGGAATAATCTCGGAGACTCATTTTTAAATAGATGCTATCTCAATAATAAGATTTTGGACAAATGCTCACAGTTTTATACACCAACATTAGGCTGGTCTGAACCTTTTCCACTGATCTACCTAATATTTGTACTTTTGATTATATTTCCTACTATATTTCGCTTCGGACAATTCCAGAAGGCATCAAGAATCTATTCAATTATCAGACTTAGCTTACTTTCTTTATTTCATCAAACACTTTATTCATATACTTTAGTAACACCTATTTCTTCATTGATTAAGCAGGATGGACCCTGCATTTCCCTCAACGATGAAGCTTCATTACAATATAATTTTCCGTGTGATACAATAGCAAGCTCGTGCATATTTCTTTTCATGGTTACAAAACTAACAGGTATGAAATATCGATATAATATGCTAATATGGTTTATTTCCTTACCAATAATTTTATTTTTATCAATTGTTGCCGGATTTACATCATTATTCCAAGGAATTGTTACAATTCTATTCACTTACCTAGCTCATATGTGGCACATAAACTTACCATTTAAATACATTCATATCGAAAATGTATTGCTTTTTATCATGAATATTGTAGTGTTTGCGGCTACATTCGACAAAGAAGTATGGGCATATCAATTTTATTCTATGTGGTTCCCAATGATTTTACCTGTTATTGATGAAGTTTTGTTATATCGACATCATATTACTCGCGGTGACTTTTCAATGATAGAAAAACCAAAAGACATTAAATGGATGAATGAAGAAGCTACAATATATAGTATTAGACTGTTGAGTTCACTCGAAGAAGAAGAAATTGCTGCTAATGTCAAAGAAGATCTATTTACTTCTATATTCTGTTTTATAATTTTCTTCATTGCAGTTACAATTAGAGTTTTATTATCTCCTTTTGGATATTTCTTCAAACAATGAAATTTTTATTTTTATTTTTTTTGTTATTTTGTTATATTTGCGAAATAAAATCATTACCTTAATAATTAAGCCATTTTAAAATGCGATATTAGAATCAATTGTGATTTGTGAAATGAAAAAAAAATTAAACTAAAATCATCTGCTACAGTAGAAGATTGCGTTAAGCATTTTAAAAACATTACATGAAATACTGATTTTTTTAGGAAGTCAAAATTTTTAATAATGAAAAATTCAGTTTATCCTTTCCATTCAGCTCTCAATCATCAGCTGGAAAATATCGACAGTAGTTTATCCGCAGAAGATAAGTATCGTATTGCTAAGTTTTTTATGCTTAGACCAACAAAAATCTCCCTTAAATGCATTACGGAGTCCCATTTATTCAGTCCAATACTAAAATATATTATATATAACAATATGGATTATCTGACATTTGTTTTTGATTACTCTATTAACGAGAAACAATCAAACGAGATCTCTGATTGCTTAGAGCTTACGAAAATAACAAAATTAGAATTATGTTATGTTTCAGATTATTCTCTCTACAACATTAATCTCCTTTCAGATATTAAATATACAATTTACTTTGATGTCGATTTTATCAACTTCGAATATTGTTACAATAATCTTAAGGCTACAATCAACGACGAGAGAGTTGAAAAATTAAAAATTACAATTGATTTCAAAAAATTTTTATCAAATGAAGACTCATTTAAAGAAATTGACCAGAAATTTAATATGCTCAATGATGTCAAGACAAAAATAAACGAGTACACATTCAAAAACATAAAGACTTCACATTTTTATTACATTTTATCAAAAATCGGTTCTTCTAATAATCAAATTTCAATTAAGGTCATCAACATTCAGTACGATATTCAATTTACTGAGCAAAAATTCACTTTTGATAACTTGGATTCAATAAAACAACTCATTTTTGATGGAAATCAACTTTCTGACATGTTCTTTGAATTGTTGGACAAAATGAACTGTTTACAACTGCTTTCTATGAATAATTGTCCATATTCGAATAATTATTTTGATAAATTCATGGATTACATGGAGAAACATGGGAATGTGTTAAGAGGACTTGGTATTTCTAATTGGGATCTCAAATTGTTCCAATTAATTAAAATAATTAATTTTATTGAACAAAATCTGAAAAATATTCAAGAATTGTCAATTGGCAACAGTAAAATGAATGCAAAAGTAGAAAATAGAATCATTGAACTCATTGTTAATAGCAAAATCAAAGTTTTTGATGGATATTCAAATTATTACAATCCTGATACATATTTTGAGTTCATTAAGAAGGTTAAGCAGCAGCAATACGCATTCCAAATCAAATGGCCCATGGAAATCATCCAACATTTTCAAAATCTTCTAAATTCAGCAACAAACGAAAATATCTGGCCAATAAAGTATGTGCACAACTATGTACAAACTGCTGATATGAACAATGTCTGTATTCACTCAAATTTTGTTTCTCAAGATATTTTTTACAAAGAACTTCACAATTTCCATGTCAAAGTCAACATCGATTCAATCAAAGAGGAAGAATGTTATCCTGGGTTCTCAATTTTGCATTATTTCAAGAGATATGTAAATAATGAAAAACCAGGAGTTTATTTATGCCGTGATAATGACGTTTATCCACCACGTTATTATGCACTCAAGAGATTCAATCTTGAGGATCATCAATGCAAAGATTTTGAAAAAATAATTTCATCTTGTAAATTTTGCTGTGAAACACAAATTAACAAGAAACTTGGTAATGATTATTTCACAATTATGGATTACATACCAGGATTTCATCTTAGAGACTGTATTGAGAAAGATTTTTTACCAAAAGACCCTGTTAAGCGTTGTCTTGTTGATTTTAAGATAATTTGCAGCTTTGCATCACAAATGATCACTTTGGTTGAGAATAATGTCTATCATCCAGACATTTCCTTTAATAATTTAGTTATTGACAATGATTTCTATGGCCACCTCATTGATTTCCAAAATGACTTGAAAACTCTTGGAACTCTTTGTTGTGTGGTACCTTTTAGATATCCAGAACGTGAAAATTTGACGAAATCAGGTTTGATGATGTATTCTTTTGGTTCCACTTTGTATAAACTGCTTTCTGGAGAGTACATATTCAAAGATGTGGACAGATTCGGTGATGCAACTAAATTATATGATGATACGTATCAAAAAGAAGAGAATTTGAAGAAATTGCTTCCTTATCAGCAAAAATTGTTCACAGAATTGATTTATCCTATTTGTTTTTGTTGGGATGATGAAGAGAACAGAAATCCAGAAATAATCAAAGATATTCTATACAAAATTGTAAAAGAATTTGTTTTCAAAGAGAATTTCGGATCACGAGAATATGATGACTCCTTTATATACGAACTTAATGAAATTCTTTATTTCTGCTTCGAAGAAAGCAAAATTAAGGAATCACCAAGAATTCCGCAGTTTTGGGGATCTCTACAAGAAATTAGAAAGTTCTATGAGAATTACAAACAATATAAGGAAATCGATGAAATACGAAAAATATCTCAAGCTCTGGAAAAAGAACTGAATCTCTTTGGCATAAACAAATAAATTTTTCTTGTATGTTTTTGAAATATGACACAATAAAGTTTTTTAGTCAATAAACATCCTCTTTTTCCCCAGAGATAGATTTGTTTCCATAGGTTTAGATTCATCAGAAGCTAAACTATAGACCTAGGAATAAAATTGTTCAAATTTAAAAGAATGAAGATTAGGATATTTCTTAGGATGTTTCTTATTAGTCTTTATGGATGAAGAGATAAAATTTCATGTATTGGGAACTCTCTCAAAATTGAGAATCATTTTCCTTAATTTGAGAATATCCTCCAGATTTCATAATTCTTGACCAAGATTGAAAGCTTCTTCAAGAATTACAAAATAGTTCGAAAATTGAAAACCGCTTCACTCATTCAATTTTTGCCCTATTTTGCTAAAATATAACATTAACCTTATTTTTTAATGATGCAAATTTCTAAATTATGCAAAGAATTAGTGCGTGAACAAATGAATACAGAAAATGATACATTTCGTATCAATGTTAACGATCGAATCATCATAACAAAGAAGTCTTCGGCGATTTGTTTTTCAGATTTAATCAAACAACAATGTTTTAATTATATTACAACAACATCATTCGAAATAAAAGTAGACATAATATGTCCAGATTCGTATGGATGCTTTGCAAACTCAAGAAGCATTGTTCCCATAATAAAATATCAAATCATGCTTATGATATTTCATTATACTAACACCTCTTTTCAATCATTCAAAAGTATTATCCATTTTGAAATAATCGTAAAATTTGTCCGGATTGAATTCATAATAATCGCTTTTGGCACTTTTGCACCCATTAGAAAATCTCAAAATGCTGAATTATACCTCTAAGACTATAATTTGATGCTATTATATTTCTAATTCTTAATAATCATAATTTTCAAAATACAAAGTTTTTTTTATCACAAGACGACTGAAACTCAATTTCAAATACTGAGGTCCAACCTACTCACCAAAACAATAAAAACTTTGTCAAATCATTTTTGTAACTTATTTCACTTCCCTTGGAGTATCTTTTTAGCTTTCAATTTTCATCAGAATAAAAGTGAGTCATGAATGCTTTCTACTTATATTACTTATCAATATATACGTAAACCACTTTGTGTTGAATCTTGGAAGTCCAAATTGCAAAATTAAATTATTCCTTGAAAAAGATCCAGACAAACAATTCTAAATAAATGCTGAAATATAAGCTTGTAAATGCAAGCAAAGTTGGCGCACGAATCAATGTTATTGAACATAATCATCAATATATTTTCAATTATCCATGCACAAGTAGCACAGATTGTACAGATTACGAGATCACATTTCCACCTGGCGTGTACAAATTCGAGCTTTATGGATCATCAGGTGGCACCACTTCAGACCATGTATCATCATATCGATTTCCCAATGGCAGTTGTATTTCAAATGAAATTGTAAATTTGTATCGCGGTAACACACAATGCCTGACTAAACCTAATATAGGTGGTGCGGGCGGATACATATCTGGAATAATCCGCTTGAGGCAATCAACAAAATCGTATGCTACCATTGGTGGTCAAGGAAGAGTTGCCACTCCAAAATCTGGCTGCGAAAATAAACCTAGCTGTTTCGAAAGAAGTCTTTATTCTCCAGGTGGGTATGGAGGTGGAGGTAGTGCACCTCCGCACTCTTCTGTTGGAACTGGAGGCGGCCAAACTGCTGTCAAATTCCGTGAAAACACTTTATGGCATCGAGTGATTGTGGCCGGTTCTGGCGGCGGATGTGACAACATTGTGGGCGAGTTTATGAAAGCAGATGATGGCTCAGGAGGTTCCGGAGGTGGCTTGACTGCACAAGGATGGTTTGAGAATGGAAAGTATATTGGTTCTTATTTAGCTAATTCTACTTTTGGTTTCACTTTCGGATCTGGGGAGGCACCTCAATTATCTGGATCGATGAACATTAATGGAGTGCATAAATACTCACAATCAGCTGATAAACCAGGATCTGGAAGTGGATGGTTTGGTGGCTTTGCTAGTCACGACCCAGATTCTGGCTCTGGAGGAGGCTCTTCATGGGCATTAACTAAAGACGCGATTATTCCTAAAGGAAATATCAATGCAACAGATGACTTTTATACTTTGATTGGAAGTCGTGAATATGAGTTTTCAAAAGCAGATTATTTATTTTCTAATGTTATTCATCAAGCAGGAATCTGGGAAGGCAACGGCAGACTTATCATCAGAATCTTAGAATATGAGCCATGTCCCACATATAAATGCTTTTTAAGTCGTAGTTTCCTTTTCACAATTATTGTATCTTCGATTTCTGAATAAACTTGAAAAAATTCAATCATATATCCTTGGATTCCCTTGAATCAATAATTTCTTTTATGGTTGTAATTCCAACATAAAGTATATCGAATATTGCTTTAACGATAGCTTAAACAAGTAATTGTTCGATTAAAAGTGGCAATTTCTTCATTAATGTTTTTGACTTCATAGATGAATAATAAAATTATAACTTATTAATGCAATAACAACAAGCACGCCTTTCACAACTATAGTACATTTATAAATTAACATAAAATGTTGGAAGAGGCATCAAAACATTAAATAATGTCATTTTCCAAATCCAATAAGTATTACCAAGACAGCATTCAAAATGATATAATTGTTTCATTGGGCAATAGTTTCAAATAATAATCCCCAGGACACTCACAACAATACAAGACCTAAAAAAAAATTCATCGTTATTCAAGAACGATATAATCTGTAGTGTAAATTCACTATCTTATCGCATGATGCCAATGTTACAGATGTTTTTTTTATAACTTGTAAACTGGCAGAATTCGGTTTTGCCAAGTGGTAGATATCGACTTTAATATTTTTATTAACGCAGCTAAAAATGATGAGGTAAATCTGATTGTAAAGTTTTCAAAGAAGGATCTGAAATTTAACATTTTAGAGAAGATGTTTCTTTTCTTATTTGCTGCATCAGCTGCTTCATTAAAGGAGAAAAACGGCCTTACACAATGCTCAATCTGCAATATTCTCGCAGAAAACATTGAAAAGGGACTTGAAAGAGGAATAGAAGAATCTCAAATCAAACAACAGCTTAAGGAAAATTGCGACAAGCTTGGTATTTTAGCTGATGCCTGCAACATTATTGTTGATCAGTCATTCAGCAAGCTCATCTACTTCCTTCGTTCTGGTGAATCTGGTAAAGCTGCTTGCAGACTTATCGGTGCTTGCAAGCCCACTGCATATTATGAAAACCAAGAAGATGATTTCGTCGAGTAATTGACCAAAATATAACACGTAGCCAATTTTGGCGAAATTAAAAATCTAAATAGTTCATTATTTGCATTTTTAATATTTGGTTTACAAAATATTACATGATATGATCCAAAACTCTATTGAAATGTTTCAAATTTTTGGAAATATTTCCTCATTTTTTAGTAATCAGCACTCTGTTATTAAATTAGGAGTATTAATAATTTTTTGTTATAAATTTAGAATGTGATACCCCAACGGTAATAATAAAATTTACCGATAATTATATTGATGGTATTAGATTAAAATAAACCGATAATTCTAAACTAAAGTGTGACTAAAAGCGAACTCTTGGAATGATGGTCTCAAATTCTCTATTTTATAAAAATATATTGAAAAATGAAAGCTTTTAATTTGAAAATAGCTTAAAACATAGTAAAATAAAGCTTTATATCAAACAAATAAACTCTATTAAGGTCTTTCAAAATATTTTGAAAATATTTCGCCAAGAATTTGATAATCCTTGTCTCTGAAATGATCCCAAACAGCTTTTGCATAACTTCTGAAGTTTTCGCATATATATGTTAAACCTTTCATGATATCTTCATCAATTTTCGTTCTAAAGAACTGACTTCTTTCTTTTGGCCGAAGCAGATAAGCACCGGCAATAAAAACTCCACATTCGACCACCAAATCGTAAGATTCTGCATTTTCATACAAAAAGTTGCGAATTGCAGCGAAAACTGCATCATAATCAATCTTCATCTTTGATTTGAAGTTGGATACATGGAAAATTGCACTTGACAAAGTCGAAATATTTGGATTTTCTAAAGAATTTGGATCCGTTACGGCCAAAATGTTCAACATGCATATTATATATGATTCCCGTGTTTCTACGATAGCTTCTACCATACTATTAATGACATCTATCAATTCTTGAACCGGATAAGCAGCATTACGCATTAAAAAGATGTTTGTGAGTAAATTGGCAATATTTTGGGCATGTTCATCATCATAATTGTCCTTAAAAACTTCAAAAATTGTGAAATACATTGAATCGATGTCTTCTTCTGCGAGTTGGGCATTTTTGACGTATCTCATTATAGTCCTACACATTCCTCCATACAAATGAGAAGAAACGAAGGGTAATGAGTCAATTATATGAATAATAAATTCAAAATGTCCTAATCTGACCAATCCAACAACAGATCTGTAGAAATGCTTTGAAACAGTAAGATTATATTCAAAGTTTGTCTCAATAAACGGCTTATATTGGCAAGAAAAGATGTTAATAACAATATTCAAAATTATTTCAGGAACTTCATCACAAACATCAAGTATTTTGTAGATCAAATAGAACATAGACATGAATAGTGCTGAACAATCCCGTTCTTTCATGATCTGATCGTAATATTCCAAAATTTGCAGAACAAAACTTGGATCAAACATATCTAGATGGTCAGCAATGACATAATTGGCCGATACTTGTAATGGGAACTCATTGGATTTGATCATATCCGTTACAGAATTGAAAGGAAAAACAAATTCTTCTGGAAAAGGAGTTTCTTCTGTATCCAGGAAATCCATGAGAATAACAGCATCACTACAACATGTTTGTCGATATTCGGGAGAACAATTATATGTTCCAACTGCGTATTTCACAAATTCAACGTAAGCAGCCATTAAAATGTCATGAAACTCATCAACGTATAGGTCATCTTGAAGTATTTCAGTAAAGAATGAGTTTACCATATCGAAATCCTCAGCTTTCTCACTCTGAAGTAATAATATTGCAAAATTAAAAATTCCTTTTTCTTTGTAGAGAGGAATGAGGTCTGAATTATAATAGCATATATAATAAAGAATCACAAGTGCGTGGGCGTTAAGCGGATAACTGCTTCCTTGGAGAATTGCCAAATTAAATTCCAACAAAAAATCAATAATTTCGCCTTCTTGCATGTAACAAACGATCCTGCGCATTAGCCTGAAGACTTTATCATAGTTCTCTGCAAGAATGTTCTGAAAATGATCCGAAATAAACTTAGAAAAGTAATTTTCATTGGATTCATCGACCGTTTCGTGTAAACTGAGGACACATTTCAAAATTGTGCGTTGAAATTCTGGATTGTCGACGTTTGCGTTAAGAAAAGGAAAATACGTGTTCATACGGAACGGCTGGTTATTGTGGTATGCCAGGAAGCCTTTGGATGCATAAAACAACAGGTATCTGGGCATATTTGGCTGTTGCAGCAAATTTATTATTTTTGATAGCATAGAATTGCAAATTTCCAAACGATACTTGTCATCGAAGCCACGTACAAGCTTGGACAAAAGAATTCCGGCTTCGATAATTGGTGATTCCCTTACAAATTTGTTTCTGAGGTAAAATCTTATGAAATCCCCGGAATCGTTCTCCATAAAGTTGTACAATGCTTTGAGATGTTTAATATGTTTAGGAACTGCGTGATTCTCTTCATAAAAACCATGCATATGCCTGTAAATAATTTTTATGATTAATTTGTTGAAAGAATTACTAAATACTGGACATAGTCTGAAGAATCTGAATAAAAAATCGATTCTGAGTGCTATATCCTGCGTACCAAGGATGTTTTGTAAACATTCGTGAAATTGTGGAAAATCTGCGTCAAAAATGTCTGGTTTTGACTTTTTCATTGGTAAAATCTGTTTCATTGAATATTTGTATAAGTTTTCATCGAAATTATCGTTCATTACAAGATTTATATAAAATTCTAAAATTTTCGCAAACAAATTGGGATAAGTTCGTATTATTTCACTTGGAACTTCTGCTATGTTGATTATATCGATAAATCGTGGTAAATATTGAGATTCGCATGTTTCTGAAGCTAAAGAAATTAAATTAACAAAATTTCCGGCATTTTGCTTGATAAATTTGTATGGAAAAATGGGCTGTAATTTGTTAATCAAATAAGGCTTGATTTCTGGATTTGGACTCTCAGGATCAGCTAAAAAATTTAAAATTGGATCAGGAACAGAATGCATTCGTAATGACACCAACTTTACAACTTCACATAGGTAATAGATACAATTATGATCAGTTACATTCAATGTTAGTTGAAATAAGTGATCCCAAAGAGAATTCATTGCTCCTTCGTCAAATTGATGCAGATTTTTGAAAAGAAATATTGGTAAAGCTTGTAAAAAAGCCAATACTGTTGAGACATCAGTAATATTAAGGAGGACGTTGTCAAATTGTGGAAAAAATGAATCCAAATCTATTTGAATTGCTGTATTTGTTTGTTCAGCTTGCTGAGGTGACTCTTGAATTGGTTCTACAGATTGTTGATTTGAATCTGTTTCCTCCAAAATTTTGTGGCTATTTTATTTTTGTAAACTTTGTAAAGTGTCAGATTGATTTATTGATACAGTGGGTCTTCAAATCCGTTATTTTGGAACAAACTCGATAGTCCGTCCTCTCAATTTTTAATGACGTTAAGCATACGTGTACTAGAGGGAGAGTATTTGATCCAGATACATAGGTACTAAGTCGGAATATCAATTCCTTGTTGTCTAAAACAATAGGTTACTGCGAAGCGCCGATAGAATTAAGACAGTGTAGATATAGGGGACAACACAGTAACTTTTGACATCATGAATTTACAGTAAATTAGCATCCTATATTTATATTTTTTATGACTTAATTTTGATAGTTTTCGTTCAGAAATTTTAATCATATTTTAAGTAAACATATGTTGGTATTCATCATTATTTGTTTGGCGCTTTGCGCCAACCAAATAGTGTATAATTCAATTTTTCAAAAAATTATTTAAATTGGCCGAAGGTGGCGTGCTTGCCCTTCGGGCAAGCGAAGCCACCTGAGGCCCCAAATTATATTTAATTAAATATATATCTTCACACTGCAGATCAATAAATCACATGATAGGCTTGTTGATGTAGATTGAGATTTTTATATTCAAAATTAGGGTTGCAAATTTGGAAAAAAAGTGAGAAGTTTCCAATCTCAAAAAAACACAACTTCTAAAAGACGATTATAAAAAAATTATTTTTTTTTACTTTACATTTTGAAATCCAGAACTTTTTTGGAATTTTTTGGGTGTCTTTCATAACAGCCAATACATACGATAATATATACTGAGCCATTTAAACCATGATTTGAGTATCTTTAAGAATTAGTAATGCTAATGACCTAATCGTTGTCTGGAAATTTCCTTTGGAAGTTTCCAAAATTCTTGGCTTATTAAATTTGAGAGAGAATTGGAGAAAATTCAAGGGCTGGAAGTAACGTTCACTTTTTGGAAGTTATTAAAATATGTTTTAAAGTGCATTTAGAAACGATATTCTGCAGCATTTCATCTTAAAAAATTGAATTCAAGAAGAAGTTTTTTGAAGCTGTAAAATAATTTTTAATAAAAATGCATAAAATAGTATATTGAACATATTTGGTATCAAAAAATTGAATAAAGGAAAAAGTTTTTGGAAGTTAATTTGAATTGTTTACATTTTTTTCTTGATCTGGAAGTAAATAAAAATTCACTATTTCATGCATGCTATAAAGAGGTCATTCACAATATTTCATGTACACATTATAGTTGATTGAAAGAAAGATTCCCAAAATTTGGAATCTTATTTTGCTTCCTAAGAAGAGATTGAAAACCACAGTGGAGGAATTGCATCTTATATCTTTAATATTATGTTTTCACTCTTTAGATTACCAATTATATAAACGTTTGTAAATGAAATTGTTTTGATTTCTTCCTTTTCTTTTGCATTATAAAGAATATTCAATACCTTTCGAAATATAGTAAATTTCATCAATATCAATTAAAGTTAGATATAGTGATTATAGAAATAATTTAATTATTTATCATACAAGCTTATTTATCTTATGAACAAGCATTACATATCATATAAATCTTAACAACAAATGAATATTCATATAATCTTTTAACTTCCAGAAAATCTTCCAAAAATGAATTTTTTCTCTTCCAAATTTATGCTGCGCTTCCAAATTTGCAACCCTATTCAAAATTACAATTTATCCTATTGACAATTTGTCTAATAAGATTAAATAATTGCCATTCAAATTGTGAATTTTACAAAATTTTTAATGGAGAAATCCTATTACTGTGAACTTATGGATTTATTCAAAGCTTATATTGGCATATTCCAAACGTTGTACAAGCTAAATACGTTCGATGAAAACAAAATAGACGAACTTTTCAAGCGAATCAAAAATAATTTAATTGAAACAAAACTTTTTACAATTTATGAGATCATCTTATCAATTGAAAATGCAATTAGATGCAATAATCGATATGCAAAATCTTATATCATCCTTTTAAAAAAAATCATTAAAGAAAATCCAAATATTTATAATGATCTACCCGATCGATTCAAAACCATACTTGCTAAAAATTTTAATATAGAGATTATCTATTGTCTCACAATGGAAGATTCATTATCCGATTATTTAAATAATTATTATCTCAATGAAATACCAGTAATTAAAATAATTATGGATGATGATGTTAAAGCATTTATATCATATATAGAAGAAAATTGCATTGACTTAAATGGCATATATAGTTTTCCAGCTTATCATTTATATGGATATTGCTCCTATTTTGGTGCAGTCAATTGTTTTAAATATTTACAAACAGAAGTTCATCAAAGATATTGTTTTGAAGAACACTTTACTTGGAGATGTCTTCATCGTTCATTTATAGGTGGAAATCCACACATCATTAGTGAATGCTTGAAATATCAAAAAACTGATTATTTTTGTATGACTTGGGCAATTGCTTCACCTAACATCGATTTTGTTACTTTCTTGATGAATGAATACAACTTAAAAATTGATATCACAGATTGTATTAGATATAATAATCTTCAAACATTTTTAGTTTATTTAGACAAATTAAATGATGTCAACAAATGTGTCGCAGAATCAGTTAGATTTAATATTCCATCCCTTTGTGAATTTTTTATTACTCATGGTTCAGATGTCAATGGAAAAGATGATGATGGGTCAACTGCGCTTCATATTTCGGCGAAAGAAAATAAAATCAATTTTGTTAATATGCTTCTTTCACATGGTGCAGATGTGAATGTCAGAAATAACTATGGAACAACTGCACTTCATTATGCAATTTATAGTAGTAATTTAGAAATAATAGAAGCTCTTATTTCACATGGCGCATATGTCAATGTTAAAAATGATTATGGACAATCTCCTATTGATTATGCAACTACTGAAGAAATTAAGGATTATCTTAAATTCCATGGCGCAATTTAATATATTCTAGTCACGAAATATCAAATATCGATGATCAAAATTAATTCTTATACCCATTGTTCAATATATAAACCGATATATATATTGAAGAAATGGCGGAAATTTAATCTGAAGATCCAGAAAATTAGGGGACAGTATATATGTACAACTGTATTATTAAGATGCTCTATGGATGAACATTAATCGTTGAAACAAGTTTAGCTTGGATATGATAGTTAGAGTTGATATTGAAAGATTTTTACAGTAATATTTAAGGATGCAGATTTGGCAACAACTTATTTCGAGTACCCCAGATAAATAATAACGAAAAGAGTTTTAGTATTATTTTGAATTTATGGGCTATGACAAATAATAAAATTCTAAAATTAACAATTTATTTTAGTCGTTTTGATTTTCTAAAGCTTGAAATGTATTATTGATTCTTTCAATTAGATCTGGGAATGATGATGTGAATTGTTCAAAGCAATTTCTATCAATAATAAATTTTGTTTCACCTCTAACAGTTTCAGAGAAATTCAAAAAATCATTAAACACGGCAGATTTTTCATCATTATTCAATTCATCTGAAGTAATAATAAAGTAAATATCATTTATTGGTCCAAATGTTAAGTGTTTCCTACGTATCTCATCTCTAACTTTATCATTTTGTTCGTTAATGAATCTATACATTAAATAATTCATTTGGAATGAGAAAAGTTTTGCCATTTTCTTGAAATCATTATAACTTCCACTGAAATGGTACGAATCACTAATTTCTGCTTGAGCAAGTAGCTCCTTTGATCTCTCAGGACATTTGCTAAATATTTCTGCTAAAATTAGCTCAATTTTATCAGCAATTTTGAAATCAGAATTCATGCCTTTTGAAATTCCTTTATAGAAAGGAATAATTGACATCCATATTTCAATCAGTTTCTCTTCATTGTTAAGATTTTTAACAATAGAATAAATAAGATTGACCAAATTTAATGTAAACATTATTGAATCATTCCCTTGAAGTTTCTTAATTACGAAATCAGCACACATTTCAATTATATTTCCACTTTCTTCGCCAAATATTTCGATGATGCAATCAAAAATAAACAATGAATCTTCTTCGTAATCATCAATGATAGAAGCAGCGAAATTAATAATATCTTCTGCATATTCAACAATCTGTTTTCCTGCATTCTTCATAAAGTTTCCCAATATTCCAATAAATTTGTTGAAAATCATACTTTCTGGTTGATTTTCAAATAAATTTGTAGTTGTTTTGAATAAATCAGGAATTAAAGCTAAACTTATCTCGCTATTTATATTTTTGCTGATATCAACCATTGTTTCCATTATATCAATAACAATTTCTTCATTTTCACACTCAAAACTTGATAAATTCTTCCAAATTTCAATTGTTAAATCTTCATTTTTCTTCGATACTAATTTTTCAATTGCCGAACATCCTGCATTTCTTATATCTTTGTCTTCACTATATGCCATCTTAAGAATTTGGTTTAGATGTTCTTCATCCATTAAATCAATGTTTGAGATTGTTTTTGAATACAAAATCATGAAATCTTTATCTAAATCAGGGAAATAAGAAAGTAAATTTTCTGAAGAAAAAATTTCATTTGTTACTTGTTGATTGAAATTATACAAAATAAGATATGCGTTAATGCCACAAACTATTCCTTCTTTCGTTCCACTGTTTAAAAACTCAAGAATAATGTTCATTAATTGTGAAAATAATTGTTGCGAAATTTCATTATATTTTTGCATTTTTTCTTTTTCAACGTATTGACCTAACTGAATTTGATCAGATATCGGCAATTCCCATTTTGATGTACGTATTCCGTTCACACTGAAATCCAAAAACTTCAAAATATATTCTGAAAAATATTGAAATTCAGGTTTTTCTGGATCTAAAGCTAGCAAACTGATTAGACGCCTTATTATTGGCTCATTATCATAATTGTCAATGAAAACATCCATATACTTGAATAAAATTTTTGAATAAATTAAATATTTTTCATCTGAAGAAAAAAATAGTTCTGCTATCTGTGGAATGATCTCTTTGATCTCATCATGATATTCTGAGCTATAGTATACTAGAAATTCTGTAATTTCTTCTGGAAAATTTTCTAATGAATTCACAATTAATTCACTAATAATTTCATGTAAAACTTGGTCGTCGCTAGAAAAGAACATATCATTAAATAATGTTAAACCTATTCTTGTGACCTTTTCATCATTTTTTGATTTGATAATTTTCCAAATTGTTTCTGGTTCGAGTAAATTTAGTATAGTGAATCCAGCATCACTAAACATCTTTATTATTGGAGAAACATCTGTGTTTTGGTCGATTATTTCAATAATATTTTCAATAATAATTTTTTGTTCATCAGAACTAAGTAAATTAAAAAGAGTTATGAATATTGATCGACATACACTACCAAGGTCATTGTCAATGTGTAAATATTGCTTCAAAATGTCGTAAATTTCTGAAAGATGATTGTGTAAGTCGGGATTTTGCTTGGTACAAAAGCCATCTCTGGTCTTAAATGGAACTGACAATGATTTTATAGCGCTGATTCGCGTTTTATCGCTCATTTGACTGTCATTGATAATTGAAATTAGACCAATCAAATATTTTTCTGGACATTCTTCATTTAAATTTGCTAAAAATTCGAGAGTTTCTTGTTTTGGTGTCTGGCTTTCAACAGATTCAATAAAGCATGATGTAAAATACATTATAATTGATAATTTTTAAGAATTTATAAAATTTCAAAATTTGAGACGGTTCACAAAAAAAATTGAATGTACTTCATTCTCATGTTCTTTGGAAGCTGCTGTTTAAATAGTTGAAAAATCGTATATTTAAGAGTGGTTTCAAATTCTGGCTACATTTATTCGAAAGTGCTTATTCAGTAAATATAATTATCTTATATTTCGAGAATGCATACATGAAACGTAGGCTTTACTATCTGCATATGTAGAATGATAATAGTTTATGATTAATAAACATGCTTATATTGAAAAATCCATTTAGTTTTATGATGAAAATATGAACATGAATTAACTGAATTCGAATCTATTCAAATTATATTGAATCAGATATGCAATACTGCTATTTATTCATGATAAACATAATTAGGAAAATGAATACTGCTGAGAGGAATAATATATTTATAGATACATGCATTCCTAATCCCAAGTATTTCTCAGAATGAACAGATTAGCTATACTGTTAATGTTGGGAATGGAATCACTTCTTATAATATGAATTTAAGAATAAATCGAACTTCTTTTAATATGGCTGCAAAAATGCATCTTTGAACTATATAGAAATGCAAGTATTTGATATCAAAATTGAAATCCTGAAATTAATAATAAATGTTAACATATATTACTTTATTAATCGATTAAAAATGATTTCAGCAACTGTTCCAATTTCACCGGATATATCAATCAAGCTTTCAAAAGATTCATCAATCAATGGCACTTGATAGATTAATGACAATAATTCTTGGCAATCTAAATTCATTTCAATTGACTTGAGAAAGTCTAAATGATATTCAGTAATTTCCGAAGATAAAACATCTGTTATGAGACGAACTAACTGATTCATTATTGATTCTCTATTGTTTGTACTTAGATACCTAATGACAATAAGAATAGCTGTACAAGCTATTATTTTAGCTATTGGTGAAATAAATTCAATGTTCTCGAGAATTGTTTCAATGAAATTTGATTGTAAGAAAAGATCTGAGTTATTCTTTGCAATGAATAAAAATATTTTCATAACATCCATTTGATAACTACCTTCTCTATTGGAAATATCAGATAATAAGTGATTAAGAGTAACAGCATTTAATATATAACTTCCTTCTGCATTAACATAAGATAATAAAAAAGATATAAAATCATCGGTTAAAACTTCATCAATATTTTCAATATATCTAATAACAATTTGCTCAAAGTCTAACTCCTTGCATATTTTTAATGTTTCTTCGTTTGAAACAAAAAATCTGAAAATTAGAAACAAATTGTTGAGGATTTCAATCCCGATATTTGGTTTGAATAGTGGAACTAGATGTATAATGAAACTTGAATAAATTGGGAGATTTCCCTGATCTTCTCGTTGAATAAAAATCAATAATAAATAAACTAGACAATTAACATAAGAAAGCCTTTCCTGCATAGTATCATCGATGTCAAAATTGATTACATCATCCAATTGTGTTAATTTAAACAATAAATGATCAATAAAATTTAATTTCTTCAGAGCAACAAAAATATCAATACCAATGAATGAATCTAAAATCAAATTAATAATAAGTTGAAGAATTGACAATCCATAAGAATAATGGAGATTTGCATCCAAATCGATCAATGTCTTTAAAAAACAATCATTACAAAATTGTGTTGCATTCTCTAGTTTTCCGCATGATATTGTTGTTAATATTTCTATTTTAATAATAATGATTTGAATATCTTGAGTTGGATCAAATGTGTTTATAAGAAATTCATGCAAACCTATTTTAATTGCATCATATGGAGTCATATTTTTGAGAATTTTTTGAATCTTGATGCATGCAAGCAATACTTCTTGTGATTCACCTTCAACGATTTCATTTAAACACGCATGCATTAGTTCATCATATTTGTTTGTAGTTTTTAATGATATTTGTTCTGGTACTGCAAGCTCAGTTTGCTCTAGATGATTGGTGATTGGAATTGGTTGCATCGTTTCATGAAAAATAGTATTTTTTATTCATTCATATCAATTAACAATGAGATTTAAGGCAGTTCATAACATCAAAGCATCAAAATTTAATAATTATTGAGAGAAATGATATTGATAATAAAATCTTTCATCATGATATGTACCAAATTTGCTATTTTTCAGAAATATAAACCCCTATTCTCATTAAATGGTTCTAAGTTCATCCAATCAAAATGTATAACCAAAAATTTCGAAATAACATAGCTCTTTTATTCTTTTATGAACACTCTAATAAATGTGGTAATAATACTAATCTTTCTTTGATGAAATTTTTGTACCAGAGCGTGACGATAAATTTGACGGTTAGTTGTGGTCGGCCTTTGCAATGTCTGCTGATCTTGCCTGCGTTTATGCCGCTCTCATCCTCAACGATGGCGAAAAGGAAATCAATGCTGAATCCCTCGCTAAGGTTGTTGCTGCCTCTGGCCTTAAGGTCGACGAGTTCTGGATGAATCTTTATGCCGATTATTTCAAGAAGGCCAACGTTTCCGATTTAATCAAGAATGTTAGCCTCGGTGGTGCTGCTGCCCCAGCCGCCGGTGCTGCTCCAGCTGCTGCCGCTGCTGAAGCTCCAAAGGAGGAAGTCAAGGAAGAAGAGCCAGCTGCCCCACTCGATCTTGGCGACATGTTCGATTTCTAAATAAACCGAACAGTTTATTGATTTCAAAAGCAATAATATACACTTTTTTTAAAATCGATTATTACAAAAAAAAAATGATTTCATTTTTTTAATCTTTACTATATAGCTACAAAACTTTTACCTTAAGTAATCCTTTATGTTGCTAAATTTCAAAAAGATATTTCCTAAGATATAAAAAAATTGTCTTTTTGAATTAATAGTTATAGCATATAAAGTGAATATTTATTTGTACACTGGATAATATATTTTATTTCATTTGTTCCAAACATGATTTTGTGAGATTTTCGTCTCTATCACAAGCTTCGAATACTTGAATGACATCGGTGGTATCGAATCCGAGCTTTTCAAGCCTATGAATAGCTTTCTGCTCTTCTTCTGTGAACTTTTCCATCAGAGTTTCGAATTCTGATTTATGCTTAAGTGATGATAAATCAAACTCTGAAGGATTAACACCTAAGGATACAAGGAATGAAGCTGGGTCATTACGAATGAGAGGGGCAACAGCTGGATTGTTATCAGCTAAATCTTTGAGATAAATTGGAAGTAACTCTGGATTCTGATGTAATTGACGTAAAAACTGAAGAGTTGATGCTTGTTCATCATCTTCCTCATCAGAATTATCGTCATCATCATAATCTTCTTCTTCATTTGCCAAATCATTCGGATCATATAACTGTGGCATCTCTGGAATATAATTTGTTAAGAGGAACTCTGCGGCTCTATCTGGATTGTAAACAGCTGCTCTTAAAGCATGAGCTGCATCACCTTCGGAAAATCCCATTTCTGTAAGTGTCTGAACTAAAGCATTAAAGTTTGGAGGATCAACAAGCTGATGCTTTGCTTCAAGCTCTGGTAAAGGAGCTACCATAGAATGGCCAGGTTGTTCAGGCTTTTGTGTAGCTTCCTCCTTAGGCTGAGTTGGTGCTGGAGCAGCAGCTTCTTGAACCTTAATTGGAGACTCCTTTTTAGGTGATTTTCTCTTTTCTGATGATTTCTTTTGTGGTTGCTTTGCATTTTTAGAACTTTGAACGTGCATGATTATAGCTTGTCCTGGTTGAATGTTAGATTCGGCTATTGTTTTAGAATCATCTAAAAACTTGGCAGAATAAATAAGTTTAATTCCTTCTGGAGCAACATTAGCCTTTTCAGAAACAAGTACTTTAAGTTCTGCAATAGTTGTTGTTGGCTCAACAGCTTGTTTATAAGTAACTCCTGAGATTGTGCGTAAAGATACTTCCATGGAGAAATGTTTGATTTTCTAAACGTATGCAAAAATCGCCAATTACAACAGATGAACGCCTCACTACATAAGCCGACACAAAAATATGAATCTTTCTGTTTTTCAATTAATAAATATGTGCTGCTCATGGATGAGCCAATGAAATCGATTCAAAATCCGAAATAGCAAATTTTATCTAACTCTAATAAATGGTTTGTGCATTTGTATGTGTTTTGTTTTCAAAGTTATTTCTTAATAAATTTGATTCTATGACCGTAGAAAAATGATACTTTTTAAAATGTCACTTTTTATTTGCAAAATGTTCTTTTTTACAATATTTGCAAGATCTATCAATATTGAAAAAGAATTGGTTGGTGAATGGGATGTTCTCACTCCAGGACAGCAAGAACCAGGTCCACTTTATACTGCTTCCGTTGTTCCTTTGGCAAATGAAGAAAATCATTATACAGCAACGATTTGGAAAAACGATTACTATAAAGATGCGAAATTATTAACTGATAGTCAATACTATTCTGTAATTTTTAATAATCAAACAGGAAAAGGAAACTTTATCGATAATTTAGAAGGTTCTTTTACAATGGAATTCCTCGCAAAAGAAATCATCGTTAAATCAGATGCATTTAATGCAAAATTTACTATCGAAAATGACATTCTCGTTCAATATCAAGGAACTGATGGTGAACAAATAAAATTAATTGCTAAACGCCACCGTAAAGTTAGTACTTTCAATTTCTTCCTCGAGCCATGGCATATATTCGTAGTAATTGGAATATTAATCTTATTCCAGTGTTTCATGATTTACAACTCTATTCTCAGCTACAAAGCTGAATCTAAGAAGGCCCAAAAAGCTCCTGTTCAAAAATTTGAAGAGCGCGAAGAGTTGAAGAAATTAAATAATGAAGAAGAACCAAAAACAGACAAATTAAAGGCCGAGTGATCATATTCGAGCTTTTCTGTTTGTTATGTTGTATTTGTATATATAAATGTTATATTTTTCATAAAATATAAAAATATTATTTTAAAATTCTTTAAAAATTTCTCATATACAACTCTAATTTAACAATACAAAACAAAAAACATAAAAACAAAAACAAATATATTTTCTAATCAACAAGATCAATATTAACATGAGCAATTGACTTATTATTACTTCTTGCCTCATCAATTACTCTTTGCCATGTTGATTTGCATAATCCTAACTGTGCTTTCCTTCTTGTGTTCATAATTTTTTGGGCTTCAACTGATTTCTTATAACTGTTAGCGTCGTATGATTCTAATAACGCTAGTGATGTACAGGACTTCTTCCGAACATCAGTACTCCAATGGTTTGCAGATGTATCAAGTAATGCTGTAACTAAATTGAAAATTATACCATTTGAGTGGTCTTTAATGATTGGATAATATCCCTTATTCGATAATACAGTCATAACCTTGTCAGTTACTTGGTAACTTTGATCTGATAATAAATTGCATAAAAATTTAAAGAACATTTGGAAATGTTGCGTCTGACTGGCTTGTGAGTACTTGGAGAATATAATATCGAGCTCATCAATGAATGCAACTTGCTTATAAACGTTCGCAATTGGCCAATGAACAATTATAAAATTTGCGACGTAGGCGAATAGCTCTGGCTGCTTAACAATGAATGTATACATCAGAACTTGTATTTGTTTTGAATAATCGCAGAAATTTGGTAAAGTATGTAATGGAAGTAAAACTTTCATAAACATGTCAATGGAATCTTGCTTTAATGGTATGCTTAATCCATTAGCGTAACTGAGCATCCAATCGAGAATTGCTGAAGCGCAATAATTCGAAGATAAAATGTCAACGATACGTTTTCTTATATGGACTCTGCATTGAGGAAATTTATTGCTTATGGCTATTAGTGTATTGCAGACTTGCTGCCTTTCGCGACTATCAAATGAGTAAAAATTTCTTGCAATATTCGCAATAAAGTTAGGTGGGAAGTCTGGAGCGTTACTTATATCTATCATTCCATTTAGCGCTTCGTAAATGATAGATAAATGTGTCCAAGAAGCATCCTGGACATCTGGGATTGATCCGTCATGGAGATCGATGATTTTAACAGGTGGAAACTCGCGAAATAAATTACTGCTAATCATATTGTAGAATTCCTGTATTAGATCTTGAGATAACGACCTCGCAATATGAGGTATTTGGTAACTTGATATGATATGCCTTAGGAGAGATATTTTATTTGCCTTGGCTTGGGTATCTTTGTTCGGATTCGAGAAATCGCAAATTTTTGCGCATTCGTTACATTTAATTTTGAAATACAATTTGCAGTCTTTTGGGGGTAATTCAGGAAATGGTTTTGAAAATACGATTTCTATATCGTTTTTAGAAAAATTACGATGTGATGTATATGATACTTTGATATTTTCCATTTCTGGATCAGAAACGGGTTGAGTTTTAACATTAGGAAGAGTATCAGGTAGAGGCTTAAGGGAACTTGGTGATAAATTTTGTGATTTGGTTCTGCGTCGAGGAATAACGAGCTTAGGTGTACTAAGCCGTCGTTTATTCATTGACTTTTTTTGTTTCCATTCAAATATCTTTTTTTGAATATTAATTTCGAAGATACTTTTAAAAGAGAATCTATGAATATATCGCAATAGGAGAACAAACCAAAATTGAATATTTTGTGCCGCCATGGCACCTTTCAAATAGAAAATTTTCATTACTTTTGAATGTAAGCGATCACCATTAATGAATTTGTTGGATTTTTGGAATGGAAACTGTTCTCATGAATTATGTTTCAATACAATTAGCGGTTCTAAATTTTTTACATTGTTCGTTTTGACAAATAATTCGTGAAAAACTCGAGTTTTGATTCAATTCATATTTTTATCTTAGCACATAAAGATAGCTGATATCTTATAGAACTCCTGGTTATATTGTAAGTAGTGATAACGAGCATCTCCATTTTTTTCATCAAATATTGAAAAGAGCAGAAATCAATTTTGTAAATTATTTAGATAGCATTAGGTGTTTAATGTATATTTATATATAATATACATAATTAAAAGCTATTTAAACATGTTATTCAATGTTTTTGGATTACTGAATACTGAATAAAGATTTTGCTGTGCACTGAACTAAAACTTCCAATGAGTAATTCATTTCAACTCAAAAAAGGATTCAAAATTGAATAAAAATTGAATCTGAGAAATTATATTAAAAAGATTAAATCATATAGAATTAAACTTTTATGGGAAGTAAATAAATATATATAACTTTATGATAGAATGAAAATTAAATCAAAATTTTTCCTTAATGATGGCAGAATGACTTGACACCAAGGAATATAGCAGCTGGTAACAAAATAAACATTACGCAGTAACCTAAAGCTAAGAGTTGAGATATTGGTTGGTCATATCTAACTGCGCTAATTGGTGGTAATAAGATACTCTTTTGCTTCTTAGCAAGTGAGTAAGCAGCACTAGCAAGAAGTTTTGGAGCAACAGCGCGACATTTTTCAATATAATTATTGCTCAAAGGCTTTCCATACTCAACATTCTCATAAACTGAGCGGATAGCTGTATCCAATGATTGGTTGAATACGTCATTGATTGTATCTAATCTTGGTGCGTTGCCATGATCTTTTGAAATTTCGTAAGTGAATTGATCAATTTCTGCCCATGCATCTGCAGTGAATGGGTAATGGTTATTCAGTTGTCCGCATAATGATCCCCAGAAATCATGAAGATTTTTTTTGACCCATTATATTCAACGATAAAATCTCTACCGTTATTATCTCCATCAATGAATTGATCAGAGTGGTAGTTTGCAACATTTGTTGGATCGAAAGCTTCTAAGTATAAAGCAAAGTATGATTTATACGCTGTAATTGTTGTCCAAGCACCTGTTATTGTTTGTGGTAAGAGACTCTTTTCAAATGATGCTAACATAGAATCTAAATCTTCAGTAGTGTAGTTTTTAGAACCTTTTGGAATTCCTTTTTTAGTTGATCTCCAATGATTGAAGCATTTTGTGTTAAATGGGGCACGTTCAACATAGTCTATCCATGATCCGAACAATGAGAGTCTGTCTAAATTCTCGCCTGTGATGCTCAAAAGCTGTTTGATAAAATTCTTCCCATCATCGCCTGTTCCACGGAAATATACTTCCATAGCAACAGTCAATGCTTCATCGTTCCACGAAAGCGAATGGGCAAGGAAGATGCTTAACATGTCAAAATTGACTGAATTTAATTCAATTTGGACTTTGAGAGGACTAAAAATCTTATCCGTTTTCCTCTGGTTTATTATTGACTACGTTGCTCTGAAAGCTGATCTTAAAAATGGGAGGTTTTGTAATATCGTATGGCTCACTTTAAATTTTTGTCATATCAAATTGATAACTAATGACAAGGGATAAACAATGTAATATTTAGCCACGCATGGAAATTAAATAGTTCATAGAGAGTAGCTTAAAAATAAGAAGTTTTTTATACAAAATATTTATAAAACAAAAATGGTAAAAATAATAATAGCATAAATTATATTATTTGTATTAATGATTTCCTGAGAAGAACTCCCAAGCTCCTTCAAGCTTTTCAAGTTTGAAAATCATTTTTAAGTCATTATTGCATGGATGATCGATTGTTGTTGATGCTCTGTAGCCGAAGTGATTGAGAGCTCCTGAAAATACGCCGGCAATGAAGTTTGAATAGCATTTGAACCAGAATAATTGTTCTTCTGAGAACATTCCATTTGCAGACGTAAGAGACATTAAAATTTGTGGTAGTGTCTTAAATGTGAGAATGATATTACTGTCTCTAAGTTCTGCTTTCGCTTTTGTTCCAAGGATTTTATTTGATAGTATTTCTGCAATGAACCTCGCCGCTTCAGTTTCATTTTGTACATTTATGTTATCAAGGCACATAAATGCTGCTATTGCAAAGCCTGGTTTTCTTCCCAAATTGAAAATATCTGATTCTACGTGTAAATTTCTGTCATTCATGCCTTCATATTCATTTCTTAAGTTCTTTATTGCTTCTGTAACTAAGAGAAATGAGATGTTATTTGATGTATTTTCCATTGGAGAAAATAAAAAAAACTGACAAATTTTTATATCACTTTTCAATCTGCGATCGATAAAAATTATTTTGATTTTTATATTGATGGGATCCAACTTGGGAACTTTGTTCTGTTTCTCTAGTAATGTTCTTGAATTTTCATTTAATAATCTGTTATAAAATAGCATATTATTCAAGAGCGTTTTATAATCTGCTATATTTAGCCAAAGGTAGTATTCATAGCCGAAACCCAAGCGTAGCCATCTGAAGCTTAAACAACCGAAAAGTTATTTTGATCAAAAAGGCTGAACGTGATTATTTTGTCATAGTGTCATAAATAAAGTAACTTATGTTAAAAAATTTCTCAATGGGCATTTTATAAACTGGCATTAGATCAGTATTTGAACTCGTCGATAATCTTTGAATATGAAAAAAAATTAGAAACATTACAATAATTTTTGATTCAAATGCTGGAAGAATTTTACTCAATTCTAAAAAAAATAAAAAAATATATGGAGTGTAAATGATCAATTGATGGATTTTACTATGCAAGAGTACAAAATGATATCATGCAGTTAAGTTGCTCTTATATGAAAGTATTATATATATAATAAGGGTTTCGTTTTGCTAAAATTGTCACTTTTATAGCATATTTGTTTTTGGATGTTTTGCGAAACCAAAAAAAAAACTATGATATACAATGTGTGTGTAAAGAAAATACTTTATTTACTAGTTAAAAAATCATTTGGTATTGATCAAGTTTTTTTTTCTGGATAAGATATTATATGGATAATTGGATAGAAATACAATTATATAATCTTGTACCTGGTTTAATTAAGCTAATTGTCATCAGAAACTTGTAATTTTTATGAATTTCAGATTTTCTTTTCATTACTGCTTTTCTTAATAGGTCAAGTTCTTATTTACGTTATAAAGTATGATATTTACAAATATCTAGTTATCGTGTTTTTTGAGAAATTATGAGAAACAAACAAAAATGAAAAAGATAGGAATAGCAATGAATAGTGATGTGGGTATAGAAAATGTAAGAGATATGAATGCAAAGCAATCAGTATTTAGGACATTGACCATAGATTTCGAAAAAAAAATGCTGCATATTGAGCGAAAACTATGATTATATTATAAGGCTGTCATTTAAAGCATAATGAAACTATTCCCTTTTCATTTTAATCGAATAAGATAGTAAAGATTTTTGAATTAGCTAGAAACTGATGAGATGTTTTCACAAATCAGATTTTTAATCTCTATAATGCATAATTCACTCAATATCTCAATTTTGATATTGCGAGATATTTTTGCTATCGGTTTCGCAATTTTGACACAATAGCAAGAGGGTTCTATAAGCATTATTATCAACGTAGAATCTGAATATCATATCAGAAAATGTTGCAAATCTGACATTTACCCGACCAAATAGCAAAAACAATCGAATACTTTTCGCAAAAACTTTAAAAATCGATAAAAATATGAAATATAGATATTAAAGAGACTTTTTATATAATATTCATAAAGATTTTCCAAAAATATGATACCGCAAAATTAAAAAAGTGACGTCTTGAGTGGAGTCAAAGGTCGAAATTGCTAGCTAAATGTTTTTCTAGCGAAATTGCGTATTGTACGTTTTTTTCGCAAAACGAAACCCTTATATATAATTTGATTTTGCTTTGTTAGAGGGGAAAATGTTTATTTGGTTTTGCAAAACAATCAAAGTTTAATGTTTTGATACAATGCTTAAAATGTGTTGAGGTTATAAAGTATGCATATTATGATTGCATTAATTATTTAAATTTTAATTAATTCTCCTGTGAAGTCAAAAACATTAATCATGAGCTTATAATTATTATATGAATGTTTACTTGAATTCTCTATTGTTTGAGTTAATCTGAAAGCAACAAAATAATCGCTAGTTTGAAGTGGGAATTCGTTAATCTCTTTTTGTCTAAAATTATATGATTGTTCATCTAATACAATAGATTTTCCATCTTCTTTGAGACCTTCTAGTTTCCAACCTCTCAACAAACAAAAATCACCAATGCATGTTGATTGTAAAATATATGATTTTGGCTTTAATTTATATCCTTTTAGATCAGCCTTTAGCCATGAATTAAATTCATTATTTGTATAGAAATTATCATTATTTGAATAAGAATTTATTGTGGATAAGCTTCCACCACCAATAGAAGAAGCCGTCATTTCCATTTTAATTTCTTTAGAAATTTCTACATATCTTGATTCATAAATACTAATAGATTGATCTGATAATTCAAATTGATTTTGAATTAAGGGATTTTCGAAAGAAGTGATAGATTGATCTGTAATTTCAATACTATCCCTTATACTTGAATGATATTTCAGTGTTTCATTATAAATTGCTAAAAGGCTTGATTCAAAAGAGTTTTCGCATGCAAAATTATAAATCTCGTCATAAACTTTAGATGAACAAAATTGTAAGTTAACAAATCCAAATAAATCAAATAATGCTAAGTTTCTTCTGCATACCTCTAAAAGTAAGAAACAGAGTTTGTCTTCGTTTTCAATTTTGAGTTGTTTTGATTTCAAAATTTTTTCACAAAATTCAAATCCATTTTTGGCAAAATTTGTAATGATATCATCATCATTTAAACAGTATATATGGGACGAAATATACTCAATGCATTCATCCATTATCGTAGAATCATTTTCGTAAGCAGAAAATTCATATTTCTGAAAAACGTTTTTATTTGTAAGATATTTGTCTGATTTAATGCGTTCGTTATATATTTGTATGAGTAGTTGATTTCCAAAGCATTTGCCGATTTCAAATATATCATGATAATGAGACTCATCTGCTTCAAATTCGAGTTTTCCTGTTTCTATAAAGTTTAAGAGTATATCAATTGAATCTTGGCATATAATGTTTAGATATACTTTGAACGATCTGATTGATTTATCAATAAAATACTTTTCTTGGATTAAATCTGAAAAACAAATCGCTGAAGACTTATTTGTTTCAATGATTCTATCATTAATATTGATACAAAATGTACCACATTCTGTAATGACCTGTGCACGCTTTAATTCATTGCACAATTTCGATATTTGCCCCATGAAAAAAAAGTCAATATTATTTTTACTATGGTTTCACTTCTATTATCATCCTTTTCCGAATTTGAAATACTCAGAAAAATACTCAATATGATGAAACGATTTGGAAAGTGTAAAGTGTCAAATAGAAATTGTAATGTGTCAAATCTGTATCCACAATAGTACTGCATTTGTTTGACATATAGGTCTATGTCAATGATATGTTTTTCTTGAAAAAATAAATACAATAAATTAATTTAATCTTCTCGAATAAATATTTTCAGTAAAATAGCAACAATAATTGACCACTGTTCTATAATTGCAAATTTGAGTAAAGTCTTTTCTTTAATTTCCTACTGTATTAATACCTGCGTCGTGTGAATCAAGTTATTAAACCAAAGCAGTTAATTCTGCAATATGAAGTGCAGTCTTACCATTTTTTCTTTTGATTTGATATCATCTCCATTTAATAGAAAATTATCGTTAACTTCTTTGCTGATATTATATAATGCATAAGGTTGAATTGTATTGATGTTATCATCTATTGCACTCGCACATTCACCATATAAAATTAACAATTTTGGATACTTTTTTACGGGCGCTTTAGTGCCCAAAAAGTATATATAATTGGAAGTATCTTGATTGTAATTATTTTTGCTTCTAATGCCGAACATTGTGATTGTGTCATCTTCTTTATAAATCAGATGATATATAAGCCATCATACAGTAGTTGCATAAACTATCTTGGAACTCATATATAGAAATAAATAAATCTATTTTTTTATATCATATAATACACAAATAAAATAATATCAAAGTTAGAAATCTAAATTCTTTGGAGGAAGGAAATCCAAAGGTGTCAAATCTTTCAAATCTGGGAAACATCCTTTCACTAATCCGACAATATGTGGTGGAAGAGATGTTGTCCTTCTCGGCATTCCTGGTTTTACCGAAACCCAAGAAAGATCTACGAAATTTCTTGCAATTGAGCGAAGTTTATCAGATGTTCCGCCGTAGATGCTGATTTTATATGATTCCAGCGTTGGCGAAACAACTAAAACTGTGCTATCTGGTCGAACTCCGGTAAAATTAAACCGACTTTCAGAAATTTCGACAATTCCGTCAGTTCCCATCTCATCTGATACCTGGATACCTGTCATTGGGAACAAAGAGAGGATTGTACAGTCAAGTTCCGACATCTCATTTTGAATTCTGTTTAAAATGTTCTGAGGCATGCTTTCTGTGAATATCGTGATGACAGTTTCGATGGAATTAACGCCTAGAATGGAAGGAATGCCCTTTGCGTAATTTTTTATTGAATCAAAATTTTGAATTTTGTCAATTTTAAGCATAAGACACTCGTGATCGGAATAAACAGCTACCTGGCTCTTAAGATCAAGGGCTACATGAAGAACAAAAGGATTGTCCGTACTTAAAATGAAAGGAGGCTGATATCTCATATTAAAGAACAAATTATCAGCTGGTGGAACGATTTTATCGAAACAGGAGGTTATTTCGAATGATCCGAATGGTTCTGACCTTAATTCCCTGATGCGGGCGTAGATTTGGAAACCAATTGAATCAATGTCAGTCAAATTAGGGGATTTGACCCACTCTGGACGTACAAAAACAAAATAACCTTTCATAATACTATCAAAGTTATTATCAGAAATAACAAAAATGATATATTTGTTATTTGCAAAATCTAATGTTGTATTTCCATCGAGATACTTGACAATAGTGTCTTCCAAGGCTTCATTTCCACTCGGAGATAAGATTTCTTCTGGTTGATTGGCAGGAGTCATCTTTCCAAGCCTAAATTTTGTATATGAAGAAGAAACTAAGTGGATGTAATCGAGAACTTGTTGTTTCGATTGGTCTGTTTCGCAAAATATCAAGTAATGTAAGTCTTTCGATCCAGAAAGTGGGCATCTGCAATTTTCGACCCATTGATCGAAAATTCTATCGGCTTGGATAATCTGAACCGATTCTTTCTCAATAACTTTGAGATTTGGTGGGTAAAATTGATCGTAATTGAATTCATTAATAATTTGGAATTTTGGACTTATGATTTGGAGCTTGGCAGTAGGAAATCCGAGATTCAAATCTATAGGAGTGATCATTATTGTGTGTCTCATCAACGGATTTCTTTTGATTGGAATTGGAATTTTTCCGGCGTATCTTTTTATGCTTTCTTTCATAGCTTCCGAGGAACATTGGTCTTTAATGAGATCTTCTACCGTATAAGGAGCGTCCTCAAGAATGGTTTGGTTCTGAGAATTCCAATTTGCTGTATTTTCGTCATCATTAATCACGAAATTTGCTTCATAAAAGTCTTTGAAGTTTGTAGGAGTAAACGAAAATGTCTGTATTGGCGCGAATTCGCTTGAAATTTTTTCATTTGAAGAAATTCTTTTTGGAGTAGATTTTGATTTCAAGAAATTTCTTGAGTACTTTGTTAGAACAAGGAAGTCTGTATTTTCAAATTCGTATAATGTGATATTTCCATCAGGAATTTGAATTGTGAAAGAATCTGAATTTACGGACAAAATCGTATAAGGTAATTCGTTTGGGCATATGAGTACTGATGATCCCGGTTTCAATAATTCTGGAGTGTTTGGGATTGTAGTTTCGTCAAAATGATTAATATGTCTGACTCCAAGTTTTCCTTGATGCAAAACAGGCATTGGTTTAAAGAAGAATGGTTCGTATGATACAGGATCTTCTTCAATAAACAGGAATGAAGTAAAGTAAAATGGCGAATATTCGTGTAATGCGTATAAATAATACAAAGTAAGGGCTTTTTGGAACAATTCAACTATATCTTTTTCATACATTTCCGACGGATGCCATTCAATTGATTGAAATTTGCACCAATATGGAATGGAAATTTCATCAAATTGATTAAAGACATCAAATGCAATGCAAAAGTTCTTCTTTTCCATTGTTTCGAAGTATTTCAATTGATTTTCTAGAAAAAACGCAGGAACTTTTTGATATGAAATTTGATGAGACAAAATGTTCATCCTGAGGGCAACATCTTCGGCGGAAGCTTCTGAATTATCAATATCAGCATAAATCTGGTATATTTTTATGCATTGATTATCAAAAATTTCGAGATTCCACTTCGCCTTGTTCATATACGGTATTTTTTTTTTGAAAAAAAAAATTTCAATATTTTTATATATATATATGGGGTGCGCACATTCAAAGGAATCACCACAAGTTGCGCAAACCCAGCGAATACAGAGAGTTCTATCATCAAAAAGTGGTCAGCTTGTTAAACTAGATATGAATGACCCTATGACAGAAATTTTAATTCAATTCACGACAATAACAGAAGGAGTAGAGTCGATAATATGTCCACCAGGCATGGTACCTATAGCTATATTAGAACAACAGTGTTTTTGTATCGCAACTGCAGCCCTTACTATTAACGAGGATGAGCAAACCAACGTCAGACTGCCAATTATAGCCGCTTCTATTGCTAAGCCTGGTAAACTTCTTTGCTTAGGACATATTCAGATGCTTTCTAACTACTATATCTCGAAAAATTCATATTCTACTTTCTTCCATAATTTATTCATATGGTTAACATCGAAACAGCTTTTATCATCAAATGTGTTATTACTTAACATCAACGAACGCTACGAGTCACAACTCGTGAAGATCGTCCGTGCACTCGGATTCATCGTTGATAAGGGAGATTTCAAAAAAGACTTTTCTCGATATAATTTGATTATTTGCGCTAGTACACTCAAAATGACACCAGAAGAAATGGATAAATTTTTACGTTACGCAAATAACGGAGGATCGATATGTTGCTGCTATTGTCCGTCGTTCTCCACACAAGAAGAATGCTTCAATATAAACAGCTTTCTGCTCGAATTCGGCCTTTCTTTCATGGATTGTTCGATCAATTCAGAAACTTCAGAGCCGATTAAGACAAATATACCAGTAACATATGATTTGGTCAAAAATAAGCCTCTGCCATTGATGGTGAACACGTTCAAAGAAATGATGGCACTTAATAATTTTAATTCAGAAACAATAGACGATTTTGTCACCGAACTTAGATATGTTTGCTTATCATGTAAAGGCAGATACTCTAATGTGCTCTGTGACATACTGTCCGCATGCTGGGACTACTTAAATCAGACAAATATCAGAAATGAAGATGGTTTCTTAGATCCGAACATCATACAGAACATCATTATCGTTTTAATTATCGATGTATACAATCAGCTTCCTATCGATAAGCTCTCAGTCATTCCAGATTGTTCAACATTTCCAGGTCTCGCCAAAATTAGGGAATTCAAGGAATATACTATTGAAATTCCTATTCACGAGCAGACACTCCACTCAACCGGCCTCTGGTTGCCACCTGGTGTCACTGCAACTTGCAAAATTGAAGATAATTTCACAGATAACATCGCAATACAGATCGGTGCGCACTCACAGTCGCTTGTATCTCAACCTCCGCCATGGAAGAGATGGCCCCACGTTGTCATGGCCTATAAAGTCAACAATGGAGTCACTGAAATTTTCTCTCAAGTTGGCGGAATGGTCTACATCGGTGTTGCAGAGACAAGTGTTTCATCCCTCAAGATGACGTTCACGAATTGCGCATTATATCCAAGAGCAATCCGTTCAGATCCGAAAATTTTCGAACAAACTCAAAATTTTGACGTTCCTTGGTCCGAAATTTCTGCCAACAATGTCACATTTGTCCTACCGACTGTGGAATTCAAGAAGATATATGATATGAATGAAATCTTCAAATATTACGATGATTATATCGAAATTGTCGCAAAAATCATGAATTACAACATTCCTCGACCATTTAGAGTTGTTTTTGATGTGCAAACACCAGATGATCTGCCAGTACCAGGATATCCTATTACTATTCCAATTGATTCGATTAATAATTTATTTTATAATTTGGAAGAGCCAAATTGCGATTTATTCGACTTGTTAACAAGTATTGCAACATCCTGTTTGCGAGAAGGATACTTCGACTCAGAAACTGAGCGTGCTTTGAGTCAAATTGTAATTGCTCAAATTTTTATGGACAAATATGATGGTTTTGATGTTGAAAGCGACGAAAGCTTCCAAGTAACACAATTGTTCCACGAATTATGGAGAATTCATAGAAAAATTAATAATACCGCGCTATTCCAGATAATTAGAGAGTCAATGAGCCCTGATGGACCTGAATACTACGATGATGAAGAGAGATGGACAGCTTTCACAAGAGATTTGAGTCATATTACGCAATTGAATTTGACAAAGATCTTTGAGAGACTAAAACGAATCCCATTGAACATTAGTGCCAATTTAGAGATGTTCCCTGCTTGTCCTGATGATTAATTTGTTTGATTTTTATTTTATATCTTTTTTTCTTTTGTCTTTTCTATTTGTTTAATAATCATGAATGGAAGTCATTTATATTGATAAAAATTGAATGTTTTTAAGATCTCAATGCTGTTTTTTAGATAAAAATATTTTAGTTTAAGATAATTAAGCTCCTTTTATTAGTGAAAACAGCAAAAACATTAACCGAGAATTTCCAAACATGATCATTAGTCGATAATTTTGATATTAACTTGATATTAACTTGCGATTTATTCAATATCAAAAAAAAAATAAATCGACTTTAAGTATAATTCTTGTATTTGAATGCATTCACTATGGTATATTGAATGATTGTCTTGTTTTGTGTCTTCACGCCGATAAAAATACTTTTTTTATGAGCGACCATCATATTTATAACGAGCTTATCAGTAAATATAAAGATTATGATGATACATTTAATGCACTACACAGGCTTCGGTCAAACGAAGGCGAAGAATTCAATTTTCTTGAAAAAATATATACATAAAATGTTTCTATATTAGTTGTATGTATATGCTCAAACTATATAACAAAATGTAAAGATTCAAGCTTTTGCATTAACTTTTATTCCAGAAATTATGGTTTTAATTCTCTTCTTGGAACTCTTCTCTTAAATAATTTTTGATGAACATGTCCATTGCTGCTTTGTGGACAAAACTTATGTGAAACACAGATTTCTGATGGTTTCTCGCCTGCCTTAATGTATCTGATTATTTCGCGCTTGTAAACATCCATGGCATTACAATAATCTCGGCATGCAAGCGCGGCTGGTGATCTTTCTGCGGTGCAAACACAGTTGAATTCCCTTGAAATTTCTTTGTCGCTTTTACCTTGTGCAAGCAATTGTGGAACTCGCCATGTTAGCATATTGCATACACTGCAAGATTGTTCTTTAAATGAAGCTCCAACAAGACGGGCACATAACAAGAAAAACATTATTATAAAATGTTGTCATGTCAGTCTTGTCAAATGACAACTTTTTTTCAGAGAGTTGATAAGATATAAAACTCTCATATAGGTTATTTAAATACCATATAATATAGAGTACGAATTCTCAGCCTGTCTATTATTTTTGTTTTCAAAACCTCTGAAAATTGAAAACACAAATGAAAAAGTTTGAACTAATAATTAAATATCATTTGAATTGAGATTACTATACAAGGGCTGTTGAGGGTAAAAAGTGACATTCAAATTTATGCTCGGCATAAATCTCGCAAGTGCTCCGAGCAGCAATATCCCATAAGCTGAATCAATGGTTCTTCATAAGAATAAGATTTGATTTATTTCGTTTTTCTACAGAACACAAGCAAATTATAAACTTGTTAGCAGTATTTCTTAATCTGAGATCGATGTAATTGTTCCAAAGATATTCTAGAGCAACAAACTCTAATTTATATTCTATTATACTAACAAGCAAATAAGGTAGGTTAAAATAATACCATCAAAATACTAAAAATGTTAATTTATTAGCGTTAATTTATCAGATAACGAGAGTTTGTACGGATATACTCAACTGAACGAACAAAGGCATAATAAAAATTCAAAGTTTAAGATCATAAAATTGTTTCGACCATTTTTGAGAATAAGCACATGAGTTTTAAGTAATATATGAATAAATAAATCGACTTTAAGTATAATTCTTGTATTTGAATGCATTCACTATGGTATATTGAATGATTGTCTTGTTTTGTGTCTTCACGCCGATAAAAATACTTTTTTTATGAGCGACCATCATATTTATAACGAGCTTATCAGTAAATATAAAGATTATGATGATACATTTAATGCACTACACAGGCTTCGGTCTAACGAAGGTGAAGAAATTACAAATGTTTACAAACAAATCAAAAATAACTTGATCGAAACATCATATTTTAGTGCAGATAGTATGATAAATATTATTAAAGGTATCATTCGATTTAATAATCGATATGTTAAAGGATACAAATCTCTCATGACAAAACTTTGCCAAGAATTTCACCTTGATAAATATGACATTATTCAATCCATTCCAAATCTTCATGAAGAAAACACAATTTATAATGCTATTGTGAACGATGACATTGATGCATTTATTTCCTTCACTGAACAAGAAGGTTTTAATTTAAATCAAAAATCGAAAATTGATTTATATCCAATTCAAGACTTTCCATATTCACTGATTGAATTATGTAGTTATTATGGATCTGTTAAATGTTTCAAACTATTGAGATCAAAATATAATTCAAAAACTACTCGTCTTTGTCTTTATAATTCGTTTTTAGGAGAAAATCCAGATATTATGAGTGAATGTATGAAAGAACAAAAAATTAATGGCAGTTGTATGCAATATTCACTAGCTGTACATAACATTGATTTTGTTACTTATCTAATGAATGAGCACAACCTCGAAATAGAATTGAATTATTGCTATTACTATCATAATATTCATGCATATTTCATTTATTTAGATCAAACAAACAATTTCAATGAATGTTTTACTTATTCACCTTGTTTTTTTATTCCTAATCTCATTGAATATTTATTTTCACATGTTTCCGATATAAATTTTACAAATAAAGGAGGTATGTCTGCACTTCATTATTCTTCAGTTGTTAATAACAAATCAGCCGCTGAATTTCTTATTGCCCATGGAGCCAATGTTGCTACAACAATTAAAATGTCTCGTAAATCTTCGATTCATATTGCTGCAGAACATAATAGTTTAGAAACTGCAAATCTTCTTATAACGTATGGAGCTGATGTTAATGCAAAAAGTAATCAAGATTTGACTCCTCTTCATCATGCAGCATTGTTTAACAGTAAAGAAACAGCAGAACTCCTTATTGCATATGGTGCTGATATACATGCAAAAACTTCTCGTAGTTTTAATGCTCTTCATTTTGCAGCAAGAGAAAATAGTAAAGAAATTGCAGAACTTCTAATTGCATGCGGTATTGATGTCAATGCTATTGAAGACAATTATAAAAAATCTGCTCTTCATTATGCCGCTGAAAATGGTTGTGAAGAAATAGTAAAATTTCTTATCTCAAATGGTGCTGATATCAACATAAGAGATAATTTAGATTATACTGCACTTCACTGTGCATCATGTAATGGTAATAAAGAAATTATAGAAACTTTACTTTCACATGGAGCAGACATCAATGCAAAGGGTTTTCATGATATGACTCCCCTTTGTTGTGCAATAACTCATAATGAGGAAGAAGCAGCTAAATTTCTAATATCACGTGGTGCAAAAATTAAACCATAGTTCTTACTAAATAATTGAATTTATTTATTTTTTACACCAAAATAATAAATCCATTTAGTTTTATAGTAACTCCATTTTCAATTCTATGTGCCGAGAGAATATGATTCTAGTCATTCTCTTATTTTCATTAAAGCCTATAAATTCATTATAAATAATGAAAAAAAATGCATAAGGATATTACAAAGACTTTTTGGATTATCAATTTTGATAATTTTCGATGATAAATCTTAATAATATTTTAAATGCATTGCTCCAGCCAGTATTTGTTTATGTGCAATTATTTTAAAAACACATTGGAAACTTACTATTTTTATACTTTAGCGCATAAAGAATCTCAGTTCAATGTGTGAGCTTTACCAAATAAATGCAATAAATGCTCACAAAAAAAATTAGAGAATTTGCAGTTTCATTTCCCATATTCAGATCTAATCTTGCTAAGTATCACATTGTTCTAATGTCTTATTGCAATATATCCATATCCTATCAATCTCCTAATAAGTTCTTTACTTACGAAATTGATCTCGAAAATTCTCTAATTTCCAAAATAATTCTCTAAATAAAATCGCTTAGTGTCGCCAAAAAAGTGATGAAATTAAAAATCACATTTTGAGTACTTCCTGAGACTCTCTTTGTCAGAAAGTATACATTTGAAAAAAAAATATTTATGAAATTTAGAAAGAGAATTAGAAATACTATATATTTATATCCAAAGTTTCAAGCATAAAAAGAAATACACATTCAATCTCACGTTTCTGACAATAGATTGAGCCAAAAAATTTGCAGCGAATGATGGCATTTCCTTTCAAAAAAAATTGAATAGAACACAAAAAATCAATTGAAGCATAAGGCGACTTCTTCCAATAGGCCAGAAATTCCATATTGAAACCGAATCCAACACATTTGTTGCGGTTTATTGCAAACATTAAGGACCTACCTGCGTTTATTAAACCAGAAATGAAAATATCAAATTCACATTTCCCATGAAATTATCATAGAAATCCGATGTCCATGAGCAAGATGCTTAGTAGACTCATTACTCACTACGATGTATTTTTACTATTGCTAGAATAAACTTTTTTTTCTTATTGAGAATTCAATTTTCTTGAAAACATATAAACATAAAATGTTTCGATATTAGTTGTTATGTATATGCTCAAACTATATAACAAAATGTAAAGATTCAAGCTTTTGCATTAACTTTTATTCCAGAAATTATGGTTTTAATTCTCTTCTTGGAACTCTTCTCTTAAATACTCTTTGATGAGCATGTCCATTGGTGCTTTGTGGGCAAAACTTATGTGAAAAACATATTTCTGATGGTTTCTCGCCTGCCTTAATGTATCTGATTATTTCGCGCTTGTGAGCCCTCATGGCAGAACAATACTCTCGGCATGCATACGCGGAGCTTGACTCTACTGCGGGGCAAAAACAGTTGAACTCCCTTGAAATTTTTTCGTCGCTTTTACCTTGTGCAAGCAATTGTGGAACTCGCCATGTTAGCATCTTGCATACACTGCAAGATTGTTCTTCAAATGTAGCTCCAACAAGACGGGCACATAACAAGAAAAACATTATTATAAAATGTCAGTCTTGTCAAATGACAACTTTATTTCAGAGAGTCGATAAGAAATATAGGTTATATAAATACCATATAATATAGAGTACGAATTCTCAGCCTGTCTATTATTTTTGTTTTCAAAACCTCTGAAAATTGAAAACACAAATGAAAAAGTTTGAACTAATAATTAAATATCATTTGAATTGAGATTACTATACAAGGGCTGTTGAGGGTAAAAAGTGACATTCAAATTTATGCTCGGCATAAATCTCGCAAGTGCTCCGAGCAGCAATATCCCATAAGCTGAATCAATAGTTTTTCATACACAATTCGAGTCAATGAATAAGATTTGATTTATTTCGTTTTTCTACAGAACACAAGCAAATAATAAACTTGTTAGCAGTATTTCTTAATCTGAGATCAATGCAATTGTTCCAGATACATTCTAGAGCAACAAACTCTAATTTATATTATATTATACTAGCAAGCCAATAATACCATCAAATTATTAAAAATGTTAATTTATTATAGTTAATTTATCAGATAACGAGAGTTTGTACGAATATACTCAACTGAACGAATAAAGGCATAATTAAAATTCAAAGTTTAAGATCATAAAATTGTTTCGACCATTTTTGAGAATAAGCACATGAGTTTTAAGTAATATATGAATAAAATGTTTACTTTTTGTAATTTCGTATATTTCAATTAGTATTTTTAACTCGATTGAGCATTTGTACGAAAAAAATTCTTTTGAACCTGCTATGCTCACATGCTTTTTCTTGATATCAGAATTAAATGAGCATACAAAGTATTTTTTCTTTCTTTCTGGTATTCAAACAGAAATAATTTCAATTTCAATAAATAAATCGACTTTAAGTATAATTCTTGTATTTGAATGCATTCACTATGGTATATTGAATGATTGTCTTGTTTTGTGTCTTCACGCCGATAAAAATACTTTTTTTATGAGCGACCATCATATTTATAACGAGCTTATCAGTAAATATAAAGATTATGATGATACATTTAATGCACTACACAGGCTTCGGTCTAACGAAGGTGAAGAAATTACAAATGTTTACAAACAAATCAAAAATAACTTGATCGAAACATCATATTTTAGTGCAGATAGTATGATAAATATTATTAAAGGTATCATTCGATTTAATAATCGATATGTTAAAGGATACAAATCTCTCATGACAAAACTTTGCCAAGAATTTCACCTTGATAAATATGACATTATTCAATCCATTCCAAATCTTCATGAAGAAAACACAATTTATAATGCTATTGTGAATGATGACATTGATGCATTTATTTCCTTCACTGAACAAGAAGGTTTTAATTTAAATCAAAAATCGAAAATTGATTTATATCCAATTCAAGACTTTCCATATTCACTGATTGAATTATGTAGTTATTATGGATCTGTTAAATGTTTCAAACTATTGAGATCAAAATATAATTCAAAAACTACTCGTCTTTGTCTTTATAATTCGTTTTTAGGAGAAAATCCAGATATTATGAGTGAATGTATGAAAGAACAAAAAATTAATGGCAGTTGTATGCAATATTCACTAGCTGTACATAACATTGATTTTGTTACTTATCTAATGAATGAGCACAACCTCGAAATAGAATTGAATTATTGCTATTACTATCATAATATTCATGCATATTTCATTTATTTAGATCAAACAAACAATTTCAATGAATGTTTTACTTATTCACCTTGTTTTTTTATTCCTAATCTCATTGAATATTTATTTTCACATGTTTCCGATATAAATTTTACAAATAAAGGAGGTATGTCTGCACTTCATTATTCTTCAGTTGTTAATAACAAATCAGCCGCTGAATTTCTTATTGCCCATGGAGCCAATGTTGCTACAACAATTAAAATGTCTCGTAAATCTTCGATTCATATTGCTGCAGAACATAATAGTTTAGAAACTGCAAATCTTCTTATAACGTATGGAGCTGATGTTAATGCAAAAAGTAATCAAGATTTGACTCCTCTTCATCATGCAGCATTGTTTAACAGTAAAGAAACAGCAGAACTCCTTATTGCATATGGTGCTGATATACATGCAAAAACTTCTCGTAGTTTTAATGCTCTTCATTTTGCAGCAAGAGAAAATAGTAAAGAAATTGCAGAACTTCTAATTGCATGCGGTATTGATGTCAATGCTATTGAAGACAATTATAAAAAATCTGCTCTTCATTATGCCGCTGAAAATGGTTGTGAAGAAATAGTAAAATTTCTTATCTCAAATGGTGCTGATATCAACATAAGAGATAATTTAGATTATACTGCACTTCACTGTGCATCATGTAATGGTAATAAAGAAATTATAGAAACTTTACTTTCACATGGAGCAGACATCAATGCAAAGGGTTTTCATGATATGACTCCCCTTTGTTGTGCAATAACTCATAATGAGGAAGAAGCAGCTAAATTTCTAATATCACGTGGTGCAAAAATTAAACCATAGTTCTTACTAAATAATTGAATTTATTTATTTTTTACACCAAAATAATAAATCCATTTAGTTTTATAGTAACTCCATTTTCAATTCTATGTGCCGAGAGAATATGATTCTAGTCATTCTCTTATTTTCATTAAAGCCTATAAATTCATTATAAATAATGAAAAAAAATGCATAAGGATATTACAAAGACTTTTTGGATTATCAATTTTGATAATTTTCGATGATAAATCTTAATAATATTTTAAATGCATTGCTCCAGCCAGTATTTGTTTATGTGCAATTATTTTAAAAACACATTGGAAACTTACTATTTTTATACTTTAGCGCATAAAGAATCTCAGTTCAATGTGTGAGCTTTACCAAATAAATGCAATAAATGCTCACAAAAAAAATTAGAGAATTTGCAGTTTCATTTCCCATATTCAGATCTAATCTTGCTAAGTATCACATTGTTCTAATGTCTTATTGCAATATATCCATATCCTATCAATCTCCTAATAAGTTCTTTACTTACGAAATTGATCTCGAAAATTCTCTAATTTCCAAAATAATTCTCTAAATAAAATCGCTTAGTGTCGCCAAAAAAGTGATGAAATTAAAAATCACATTTTGAGTACTTCCTGAGACTCTCTTTGTCAGAAAGTATACATTTGAAAAAAAAATATTTATGAAATTTAGAAAGAGAATTAGAAATACTATATATTTATATCCAAAGTTTCAAGCATAAAAAGAAATACACATTCAATCTCACGTTTCTGACAATAGATTGAGCCAAAAAATTTGCAGCGAATGATGGCATTTCCTTTCAAAAAAAATTGAATAGAACACAAAAAATCAATTGAAGCATAAGGCGACTTCTTCCAATAGGCCAGAAATTCCATATTGAAACCGAATCCAACACATTTGTTGCGGTTTATTGCAAACATTAAGGACCTACCTGCGTTTATTAAACCAGAAATGAAAATATCAAATTCACATTTCCCATGAAATTATCATAGAAATCCGATGTCCATGAGCAAGATGCTTAGTAGACTCATTACTCACTACGATGTATTTTTACTATTGCTAGAATAAACTTTTTTTTCTTATTGAGAATTCAATTTTCTTGAAAACATATAAACATAAAATGTTTCGATATTAGTTGTTATGTATATGCTCAAACTATATAACAAAATGTAAAGATTCAAGCTTTTGCATTAACTTTTATTCCAGAAATTATGGTTTTAATTCTCTTCTTGGAACTCTTCTCTTAAATACTCTTTGATGAGCATGTCCATTGGTGCTTTGTGGGCAAAACTTATGTGAAAAACATATTTCTGATGGTTTCTCGCCTGCCTTAATGTATCTGATTATTTCGCGCTTGTGAGCCCTCATGGCAGAACAATACTCTCGGCATGCATACGCGGAGCTTGACTCTACTGCGGGGCAAAAACAGTTGAACTCCCTTGAAATTTTTTCGTCGCTTTTACCTTGTGCAAGCAATTGTGGAACTCGCCATGTTAGCATCTTGCATACACTGCAAGATTGTTCTTCAAATGTAGCTCCAACAAGACGGGCACATAACAAGAAAAACATTATTATAAAATGTCAGTCTTGTCAAATGACAACTTTATTTCAGAGAGTCGATAAGAAATATAGGTTATATAAATACCATATAATATAGAGTACGAATTCTCAGCCTGTCTATTATTTTTGTTTTCAAAACCTCTGAAAATTGAAAACACAAATGAAAAAGTTTGAACTAATAATTAAATATCATTTGAATTGAGATTACTATACAAGGGCTGTTGAGGGTAAAAAGTGACATTCAAATTTATGCTCGGCATAAATCTCGCAAGTGCTCCGAGCAGCAATATCCCATAAGCTGAATCAATAGTTTTTCATACACAATTCGAGTCAATGAATAAGATTTGATTTATTTCGTTTTTCTACAGAACACAAGCAAATAATAAACTTGTTAGCAGTATTTCTTAATCTGAGATCAATGCAATTGTTCCAGATACATTCTAGAGCAACAAACTCTAATTTATATTATATTATACTAGCAAGCCAATAATACCATCAAATTATTAAAAATGTTAATTTATTATAGTTAATTTATCAGATAACGAGAGTTTGTACGAATATACTCAACTGAACGAATAAAGGCATAATTAAAATTCAAAGTTTAAGATCATAAAATTGTTTCGACCATTTTTGAGAATAAGCACATGAGTTTTAAGTAATATATGAATAAAATGTTTACTTTTTGTAATTTCGTATATTTCAATTAGTATTTTTAACTCGATTGAGCATTTGTACGAAAAAAATTCTTTTGAACCTGCTATGCTCACATGCTTTTTCTTGATATCAGAATTAAATGAGCATACAAAGTATTTTTTCTTTCTTTCTGGTATTCAAACAGAAATAATTTCAATTTCAATAAATAAATCGACTTTAAGTATAATTCTTGTATTTGAATGCATTCACTATGGTATATTGAATGATTGTCTTGTTTTGTGTCTTCACGCCGATAAAAATACTTTTTTTATGAGCGACCATCATATTTATAACGAGCTTATCAGTAAATATAAAGATTATGATGATACATTTAATGCACTACACAGGCTTCGGTCTAACGAAGGTGAAGAAATTACAAATGTTTACAAACAAATCAAAAATAACTTGATCGAAACATCATATTTTAGTGCAGATAGTATGATAAATATTATTAAAGGTATCATTCGATTTAATAATCGATATGTTAAAGGATACAAATCTCTCATGACAAAACTTTGCCAAGAATTTCACCTTGATAAATATGACATTATTCAATCCATTCCAAATCTTCATGAAGAAAACACAATTTATAATGCTATTGTGAATGATGACATTGATGCATTTATTTCCTTCACTGAACAAGAAGGTTTTAATTTAAATCAAAAATCGAAAATTGATTTATATCCAATTCAAGACTTTCCATATTCACTGATTGAATTATGTAGTTATTATGGATCTGTTAAATGTTTCAAACTATTGAGATCAAATAATAATTCAAAAACTACTCGTCTTTGTCTTTATAATTCGTTTTTAGGAGAAAATCCAGATATTATGAGTGAATGTATGAAAGAACAAAAAATTAATGGCAGTTGTATGCAATATTCACTAGCTGTACATAACATTGATTTTGTTACTTATCTAATGAATGAGCACAACCTCGAAATAGAATTGAATTATTGCTATTACTATCATAATATTCATGCATATTTCATTTATTTAGATCAAACAAACAATTTCAATGAATGTTTTACTTATTCACCTTGTTTTTTTATTCCTAATCTCATTGAATATTTATTTTCACATGTTTCCGATATAAATTTTACAAATAAAGGAGGTATGTCTGCACTTCATTATTCTTCAGTTGTTAATAACAAATCAGCCGCTGAATTTCTTATTGCCCATGGAGCCAATGTTGCTACAACAATTAAAATGTCTCGTAAATCTTCGATTCATATTGCTGCAGAACATAATAGTTTAGAAACTGCAAATCTTCTTATAACGTATGGAGCTGATGTTAATGCAAAAAGTAATCAAGATTTGACTCCTCTTCATCATGCGCATTGTTTAACAGTAAAGAAACAGCAGAACTCCTTATTGCATATGGTGCTGATATACATGCAAAAACTTCTCGTAGTTTTAATGCTCTTCATTTTGCAGCAAGAGAAAATAGTAAAGAAATTGCAGAACTTCTAATTGCATGCGGTATTGATGTCAATGCTATTGAAGACAATTATAAAAAATCTGCTCTTCATTATGCGCTGAAAATGGTTGTGAAGAAATAGTAAAATTTCTTATCTCAAATGGTGCTGATATCAACATAAGAGATAATTTAGATTATACTGCACTTCACTGTGCATCATGTAATGGTAATAAAGAAATTATAGAAACTTTACTTTCACATGGAGCAGACATCAATGCAAAGGGTTTTCATGATATGACTCCCCTTTGTTGTGCAATAACTCATAATGAGGAAGAAGCAGCTAAATTTCTAATATCAGTGGTGCAAAAATTAAACCATAGTTCTTACTAAATAATTGAATTTATTTATTTTTTACACCAAAATAATAAATCCATTTAGTTTATAGTAACTCCATTTTCAATTCTATGTGCCGAGAAATATGATTCTAGTCATTCTCTTATTTTCATTAAAGCCTATAAATTCATTATAAATAATGAAAAAAATGCATAAGGATATTACAAGACTTTTTGGATTATCAATTTTGATAATTTTCGATGATAAATCTAATAATATTTTAAATTTGCTCCAGCCAGTATTTGTTTAGTGCAATTATTTTAAAACACATTGGAAACTTACTATTTTTATACTTTAGCGCATAAAGAATCTCAGTTCAATGTGTGAGCTTTACCAAATAAATGCAATAAATGCTCACAAAAAAATTAGAGAATTTGCAGTTTCATTTCCCATATTCAGATCTAATCTTGCTAAGTATCACATTGTTCTAATGTCTTATTGCAATATATCCATTCTATAATCTCCTAATAAGTTTTTACTTACGAAATTGATCTCGAAAATTCTCTATTTCCAAAATATTCTCTAAATAAAATCGCTTAGTGTCGCAAAAAAGTGATGAAATTAAAAATCACATTTTGATACTTCTGAGACTCTCTTTGTCAGAAAGTATTACATTTGAAAAAAAATATTTATGAAATTTAGAAAGAGAATTAGAAATACTATATATTTATATCAAAGTTTCAAGCATAGAAATATACATTCAATCTCACGTTTCTGACATAGATTGAGCCAAAAATTTGAGCGAATGATGGCATTTCTTTCAAAAAAATTGAATAGAACACAAAAATCAATTGAAGCATAAGCGACTTCTTCCAATAGCCAGAATTCCATATTGAACCGAATCCAACACATTTGTGCGGTTTATTGCAACATTAAGGACTACCTGCGTTTTAAACCAGAAATGAAAATAACAAATTCACATTTCCCATGAATTATCATAGAATCGATGTCCATGAGCAATGCTTAGTAGACTATTACTCACTACGATGTATTTTTACTATTGCTTAGAATAAACTTTTTTTTATTGAGATTCAATTTTTGAAACATATAAACATAAAATGTTTCGATATTAGTTGTTATGTATATGCTCAAACTATATAACAAATGTAAGATTCAAGTTTTGCATTAACTTTTATTCCAGAATTATGGTTTTATTCTCTTCTTGAACTTTCTTTAAATACTCTTTGATGAGCATGTCCATTGGTGTTTGTGGCAAAACTTATGTGAAAACATATTTCTTGATGGTTTCTCGCCTGCCTTAATGTTCTGATTATTTCGCGCTTGTGAGCCCTCATGGCAGACAACTCTCGGCATGCTACGCGGAGCTTGATCTACTGCGGGGCAAACAGTTGAACTCCTTGAAATTTTTTCGTCGCTTTTCCTTGTGCAAGCAATTGTGGAACTCGCCATGTTAGCATCTTGCATACACTGCAAGATTGTTCTTCAAATGTAGCTCCAACAAGACGGGCACATAACAAGAAAAACATTATTATAAAATGTCAGTCTTGTCAAATGCAACTTATTTTCAGAGAGTCGATAAAATATAGGTTATATAAATACCATATAATATAGAGTACGATTCTCAGCTGTCTATTATTTTTGTTTTCAAAACCTCTGAAAATTGAAAACCAAAATGAAAAGTTTGAACTAAATTAAAATATCATTTGAATTGAGATTACTATACAAGGGCTGTTGAGGGTAAAAAGTGACATTCAAATTTATGCTCGCATAAATTCGCAAGTGCTCCGAGCAGCAATATCCATAAGCTGAATCAATAGTTTTTCATACACAATTCGAGTCAATGAATAAGATTTGATTTATTTCGTTTTTCTACAGAACACAAGCAATATAAACTTGTTAGCAGTATTTCTTAATCTGAGATCAATGCAATTTTCCAGATACATTCTAGAGCAACAAACTCTAATTTATATATATTATACAGCAGCAATAAACATCAATTATTAAAAATGTTAATTTATTATAGTTAATTTATCAGATAACGAGATTTGTACGAATAACTCAACTGAACGATAAAGGCATAATTAAAATTCAAAGTTTAAGATCATAAAATTGTTTCGACCATTTTTGAGAATAAGCACATGAGTTTTTAAGTATATATGATAAAATTTTACTTTTTTGTATTCGTATATTTCAATTAGTATTTTAACTCGATTGAGCATTTGTACGAAAAATTCTTTTGAACTGCTATGCTCACATGCTTTTCTTGATATCAGAATTAAATGAGCATACAAAGTATTTTTTCTTTCTTTCTGGTTTCAACAGAAATAATTTCATTTCAATAAATAAATCGACTTTAAGTATATTCTTGTATTTGATGCATTCATATGGTATATTGAATGATTGTTTGTTTTTTGTGTCTTAGCGATAAAAATACTTTTTTTATGAGCGACCATCATATTTAAAGAGCTTATCAGTAAATATAAAGATTATGATGATACATTAATGCACTACAAGTTCGGTCTAACGAAGTGAAGAAAATTACAAATGTTTACAAACAATCAAAATATTGATCGAAAATCATATTTTAGTCAGATAGTATGATAAATATTATTAAAGTATTTCGATTTAATAATCATATGTTAAAGGATAAATCTCATGACAAAACTTTGCCAAGAATTTCACCTTGATAAATATGACATTATCAATCCATTCAATCTTCATGAAGAAAACAATTATAATGCTATGTGAACGATGACATTGATGATTTATTTCCTACTGAACAAGAAGGTTTTAATTTAAATCAAAAATCGAAATTGATTTATATCCAATTCAAGACTTTCATATTCACTGATTGAATTATGTAGTTATTATGGATCTGTTAAATGTTTCAAATATTGAGATCAAAATTAATTCAAAAAACTACTGTCTTTGTCTTTATAATTCGTTTTTAGGAGAAATCCAGATATTATGAGTGAATGTATGAAAGAACAAAAATTAATGGAGTTGTATGCAATTTCACTAGCTGTACATACATTGATTTTGTTACTTATCTAATGAATGAGCACAACTCGAATAGAATTGAATTATTGCTATTACTATCATATATTATGCATATTTCATTTATTTAGATCAAACAAACATTTCAATGAATGTTTTACTTATTCACTTGTTTTTTTTTCCTAATCTCATTGAATATTTATTTTCAAGTTTCGATATAAATTTTACAAATAAAGGAGGTATGTCTGCACTTCATTATTCTTCAGTTGTTAATAACAAATCAGCCGCTGAATTTTTATTGCCCATGGAGCCATGTTGCTACAACAATTAAAATGTCTCGTAAATCTTCGATTCATATTGCTGCAATATAATAGTTTAGAAATTGCAAATCTTCTTATATCGCATGGAGCTGATGTTAATGTAAAGAATACTTCAAAATTGACTCCTCTTCATTTTGCGTCATCTAGAAACAGTAAAGAAACAGCAGAACTCCTTATTGCATATGGTGCTGATATACATGCAAAAACTTCTCGTAGTTTTAATGCTCTTCATTTTGCAGCAAGAGAAAATAGTAAAGAAATTGAAGAACTTCTAATTGCATGCGGTATTGATGTCAATGCTATTGAAGACAATTATAAAAAATCTGCTCTTCATTATGCCGCTGAAAATGGTTGTGAAGAAATAGTAAAATTTCTTATCTCAAATGGTGCTGATATCAACATAAGAGATAAACTGAATGATACTGCACTTCATCATGCAGCATGTAATGGTAATAAAGAAATTATAGAAACTTTACTTTCAAATGGAGCAGACATCAATGCAAAGGGATCTCATAATATGACTCCCCTTAGTTGTTCAATAATTTATAATAAGAAAGAAACAACTCAATTTCTAATATCACGTGGTGCAAAAATTAAACCATAGTTCTTACTAAATAATTGAATTTTTTTTTAAACTTATATATTCATGATTTATATATATATATTACCAAAATAGATTAAAAATTGAATGAGTGAAGCGGTTTTCAATTATTAATATGTTTTAGAAAATTTAAAATTTGAATTGTTAAATAATTGATATGATTACAAAATAATTCTAAAATGTGGAAGCTTTCGTAGCTCAATCGGTAGAGCGTAGGTCCCATAATCCTAAGGTCGCGCGTTCGAGTCCCGCCGAAAGCAAATTTCCTTTTTTCTTTTTTTCCTTTATTGCAACTGATGAGGAAAATTATCAACAATAATGATTCTCCAATAGGATTAGAGCTTTTCTACACTTTGTTGTTGTTTTGAACCTAGTTCGAAGACAATATTTCTGCTTGTTTCGATAAATTTTGTTATTTTTTAACCATAGAAGCCATGTTATTTATCTATTACTCTAACTATGATCTTATTTCTCTAACATTTTAAATCATATTGATAACTTTGTATATTTTTCAAGAATTATTATAAATTTAAATTATTTAGCAAGTAATATACATTTATTCATACAAAAAATACATATCTAACAAAAATAAATAAACACATTATAATTTTGGAAATCTAGAATCCGAATTCGTTTTTGGTCTTTTTGTTGGCGAATTCATTCTTGTTGGTTGTCTTGATTGATTCCTTGATCCAAGTGTTGATCCTCTTGGTGTCGGATTCATTCTACTCATTTTCTGTGCTCTTGACAATGTTTCATCATCAACAGGAGTCAAATTTAAATTTCCTTTCTTTTCTGTTCGAAACTGCTTCATTCTAGACACTGTTCTTGGTGTTGCAATTGTCGGCTGAGGGTTCATTGTCGATGTCTGAGCTGCAATTGCTGATGTCAAGTTAATTGGCAATTTTGTGAATTTCGGATTTGGTTTTTCCGATTTTTTATGAGTTATAGCTTTCATTGCGCTATCATATGGTTCTAGCTCTCTTGCTTTTTGTGTCTCCAGATCATTCCTTGTTTTTTCATTATATTCTCTGAGTTTTTCTTCTTCGCGCCAATGTTTCTCCCTCATCATCCCTATCTCTTTGCGGATGCTTTCCTCTAACAATTGTTCGGCCTGCTTCTCTTCCTGGCTCTGTAAATCATCGGCCAACTTTTTTGTCACTTTTGCATCATGATATCTTCTTGACAAAGCCATTTTCTTCTCTTGGTGACGGAGCTGCAGTAGTCTTATTGATGGCTTAGAGAACTGCCTGCAATATTCTTGCGATTGCCACTTAGCTTTCTGCTCTTCCAGCTCTTGTAACTGCTTTTCTTTCAACTTTTCAAGCCTGATTTCGCATTCTTCTTCGTGTTTTTGCAGTTTTTCACGCCATTTCTCTTCCATGGCCTTCTTTTCGCCTTGTAAATCACTTGTTCTCGTGTCAAGGCTCTTAAGTCGACTGTGGTAGTCGTTTCCATTCTCGTTTCCGAGACGAGATAATTCGATCATTTGTTGGTCGAGTTGTTCTGCGAGGTCGTAATCGCTATCCATGAGCGCTGTGGCCTTCTTCCTGTTGATATACTGAACGATCCCTGGTCTAAGGTTCTGCGGTGGCGGCGCTCCGTGTTTTGCAAAGTCATTGTAGGCTTTTTCGACAGCTTTAGGATCGAAATATGGCTGCTGTCCGTAGTTAAAGATCAGGGGAGTGTCGTCGGTCGTAATAAAGGTCTCTGTGTGATTATCCGAATCATCATTGTTTTCGTTTTCATCATTTGGAAGGGGCGGAAGTGGCTCTGCATGGAATGCCTCGATTTCGATGATCTGGATGAACTGTTTTTGGAATGATTTGAATCATTTTCTTTTTTCTTCATTATTTGGTCATCTTGTGAATTAAACAGCTTTTCTTTGATCAATTCTGACATTTCTAGCTCAGTTTTGCTTTCTTCATTTTGATCATTATTTTCTTCTTGTTTTTTCTCTGTTTCTTCTGCTGGAGTGTTATCTACAGACTCTTTTATTTCTTCTTTGATCTCTTTTACTGGTTCAATGATGATTTTCTCTTCAAGATTTTGTTTTTCCTCTTTTTCTTCAGTTTTTTCTTCGTTTTCAACTGGTTTCTCTTCTTCTTTGGCTTCTTCTGGCTTATCCTCTGTTTTTTCTTCTTGTTTTTCTTCTTGTATTGGTATTTCTAACACTTTTTCTTGAATTTCGTGAATTGGTTCTGCAATCATTTGATTTTCTTGTTTCTTTTCTGGTTCTTCTTTATTTTCTGTATTTTCTTGTTGGTTTTCTGGATTCTCTTCTTTTTCTTTTCGATCTTTTGCTCGTTATTTTCTTTGTCTTTTATTTGCTCTTCAGCTTGCTGAATGTTCTCTTTGATTTCATTTATTGGTTCTTGTTTATCTTCTTTTGGTTCTTCTTGCTTCTTGTTTCGGCATTTTTCTTTTCATCTTCAGGTAAAGTAGGAATAAGCTTCTTAATGTTAATATTTAGCTCTGTATCAGAATTCACATCAGTACGGATATTATCTTCCGACTGATTTTGGTTCGTTTCCTCTTCTTTTTTA